GATTTATCCCGGGAATGCAGCAACATGTAGAAAAGTTTTGAAATTTCTCTTAATTGAAGGCGGTGCTGATTTCAAGCTTTAACGAATTAGAGTGAAAGACTTAATTAAGTGCAGCTTTGAATGACAAGCAAAGTCAAGTTTGGAACTTTTGAAACACTTGAATGCTCGCAATGCGACTTTTTCGCGAGTTCACTACTCAAGCGAGCCTCACTCAGTTCGATGAAAGCTTCGACGATTTCTCTGCCAATTTTTCACATTGAACATTGAAATATCATCGCATGCCACAGATTTACATAACAAAATTTAGCTCAAATTAACGTCACAATCAAATTGCCGCTCCAAACGAATTGATTGCATGCAACTCGCAAATTCCAACACTCGGAAACTTCGGTAAAGTTGTAGAAACCAAAAAAAGCATTTTCGAATTACCACGAAACAAATGAGAAATTTCTTATACGCGAACGACCTTCGACGGCCTTGATGTGCTTGCCACAGTTGATTGAAAATTTATTTCATGTCGTAACTTATAAGTGACTTGGAAACAACGAAAAAACAGCACCAGATTCTGAAATATCTGATTTAATATCGTATTGCAATTGAAGCACACGTTTTGAAGTCGTGGCGATTACTTTTGCAATTCAAGTATCAAACAGTTTGATAAAAAAAATCTATAAGCGAAATATCTTGACGAAGGTCACAAGAACTTGTGATTTCTATTGAATCTCGTTCATGTTCTCGTTCATTCGCGAATATTTAAATTGGCACCCGTAATAACAAATCAAGAATCTAATTTTAATTAAATAGCACACGGCACAGTCAATGTTTAGTGAACTTCAGAAGGATTGTCAAAGATAAGTTTGTGTAATATGGAATGAGAAACTCCCAACCGGAATCAGATCAAATCTCAACATATTGCGCACTCGTAAGTCTCATAAGAACTCCAACATTGTGACTTAAAATTAGATGTGGCTAGTTGAATGTATAAGGGAACAAAGCAAGGGAGACTTAGTCAGTTGTGACCTTCTCTGAATTTTATTCAACATGCAAGCGATCGCGCGGTTAATGTCTGCTCTAAATTCAATAAAAAATCTCGAACAAAAGAAGCTTTTAATGATTTATTTTCTTCTTCCACTACTCAACAAATCACTTTTCGTAATTGAAATCTGTCGAAGTTGAAGCAGGAAATCAAAAATGTTTCATAAACCACGCGAGTTCTGCCTTCATGACGTTTTTCGATATCTTGGCGATCTGATTTTACACTCAAGTAGCATGAATATAACGAACTTCGATAGATCGAATCATGCTGAGTATTATAGATACGGCCAGTCGTAGATACGAACCTTGTGATGTTTAAATTTGATCGATCGAATTTGTTATTCACTTTGAATCAAAAGAAATGTTTTAAACCGACACTTGGACTTCTCCACAGGAGACTAAAATATTTATCACTAATTACGTTTAATACTTTTATGCAAGAATTAAATTAAAAGCTCACCTGAATAAATTTTCTCAATCACAGAAAAACTCAGGTAGATAAAACTTTGTCGACAAAAATAAAATTTTAAGTTGCTTTTACTTCTCTTTTCAACATTTAGCATATTTTTTGCACGATCACGAATTAGCCATAAATAAAACCATAAATATTCCTTTCTATGTCCATTTTAGATTAAGTTCAGCTGATACCGACTGTTAAATCACATAAAATTCCATAAAGTTCCATAAAATTGGAGCATATTATGAATGTTAGTTTGACTGTTGCCTCAAGCTAAGTATTCAAGTTTATTTATCGATATCATTTCATTATGCAAAGCTTAGGTGAAGCTAATTTCTTTTGATCACTTCAAAACAGAATTGTGACTTGTTTCTGATTTATTCCTTTTATGTTCGCAATCATTATTATTGTTGTTATTGTTTTTTTTCCATTTAATCTCCTTCAAAGCTTTCTTCCGCTTCAATAAAAATATTTTCCATTATAAAAGCCGTCAGAATTTCTCATGTTTCTAGTTTTAATTTTAACCTTTCATTAATCAACTCTTGTGGAAGTGACTTTATTGCAATTAATTTCCGTATTGGCTTCCAATTAATAATTTTTCCCACGTCATCACATGAGTCACATGAATTTGAGAAAACTGTGCGGCACTTCATATGTTGTTGTCCTGAATAATTACCATTCTTACTGCAACAGACCTAGTCTAGGTCACGATCTAAGGTTGGGTGTTTATAGATCAATTACTCGAGTAGAAAAGAAATAATAAAAGTCTCGAAATTAATGTTTCTTGAAGCGGTTGCCACAAATGCGATAAATCACCATCAGTCAGCAGAATAATACAAAATAACAAAAAAAAAATTTTCAAGGATAAAAAGTTTGAGCGAGAAAAGCGATAATTAAAAGGCTGTTGAGGTCATTCTGGAATTTTCATAATAAGATTGAATTGTAATCGTCAACATGAATAATCTGAATATTCCAACAAACTCTTCGTAGTGTAAGCATTCAATTCAGTTTGCATTTAACAAATGAATAAACCCAGAGGCAGAACTTTCTTAGACATAAATGGTAAAAAAATTGGTCAAAGCCATGTAATGAGATTTTTATTTTTGACCATCGGTTCAAAACACAAAAACCGACAATGGAATGCGGTCAACAGTACACAACAAGTTCAACAACAAAAATTCCATAGAAGTTGCTTCCGTTTGTAATAATTCGTTAGCTATGAAAATAGAGTAAGAAATCAAGTTATCATTAAGAAATCAGATTCTGGGCGCAGTTTCAACCTCAATTAGATTTTTTTCTTTATTGTCTCTGAAATTATTTGTGTTAAGGTGTTGAAAGAAAAATTATTCATTAAAAATATTTTTATGAAAAAAGCTGCCTGCAAATTGGATTACTTATTTAGAAACAATTACTTAAGTTATTCGACATTACACCCAACAATAAATATATAAATTAAATCATTTAATGGAATTTATGAAGTTGAACATTCTTTATTCTTTCTTATGACATTAACTTTTATTATCTTTACTTCAATTTTGTTCGTTTCTGCCTTTACTATGTAAGATTATTTATAAATGTAAACGCATAAAATAAAACTTTATTGATTTACACGGCGAGAGTTAAACGTTGGGCTTTATGAAAGCGATAATTTACTAATTAGTGAGACCAATTTATGATTGACGGCCTTGCCACTCAACTGCGGTGCTAGTCAAATATTTCATAAAGTTATTTTCTTAAGCAATGCTCATTGCTCGCATTAAAAGTTCGAAAGTTTCATTTCTCGTCTTTCTTAAACGATTTTTTTTAATATTTTTTCTTCATTTTCACGGCCTTTATTTTGTTGTGTTGTTAACTGCTGTTTATGATTTCGTGATCAAATTATGTCTTTGGTTCTATTCAATTATGCAATCGGATAAATGGTAACACACGCCTGGAGTGCCGAAGTGATAGTTTAAATTTAACACTCCTCGATAGGTGGTGACTGATCTAGATAAAATAAGATTAGATTATGATTTGAATTGAGAAAATAAAGCGGCATTTAAGTGTTTGGAATAAATAAGGGAAAGGTAACGAAAAGAAACTGTTTGATAATTAAGTTTCGCACGTATAAATATTTATGTCAAGGAGTGTAAAAGAAATCGAAAGAATGAGTTAATTAAACTTTATAAAATATAAAATTCTTTTCTTAAGAAAGAGTCGAGTTTAATTATGAAAATTCCAAAAAGACTCAAATGATCAAGAAGTTGATATTGTTGAACACAATGTCAACTGGTAAAAACATGGCGAATAGATTTAGATTATAAAATATTTAATATTTAAATGGTCAAACTTAGAGAAACAAGGTACACTTGAATAAACAAATTTCTTATCTATGCTGCATAAATAATAAATTATTTAATCTAGTAACGGCAACCAACGCTCATTAGCATCAAATTTAAATAAACGAGTCAACAAAAAATGTCTTTCGCTTATTTATTCAAATTATTGCATCGTGTGAAACGGGTTTTGGTGTCGTTGAAGAAAGAGAAAAAAACTAACGTTAATGTTGTTAATCACTGCATCACATGTGGAACTAAATAAAATCGAAAGTGTTTACAACTTTTTTTTCGTGAATCAACTTAGACAGTAATAAATCTTACATCGGATCTGCTTCTTTCTACCAAATCAAATCGATTTTCTTATTTTATTTTGGTGCCGAACTGAATCCGAATTACGCAAATGATTGAACAATTTGTCAGGAAAACAAATGTGGTTGATAAAAACTTTATTTACAGCTTTCTCTGATCGAGAATCATTAACAACAATTAATAAATAATTGCGGAACATTTTTAATCCCACAAGATGTATGTACAGTGTGTCTGATCCCGATCGCTGTCCGATATCAACTGACTCTCAGTGTGTGTGTATCCTCGTACCCACCCGCTGTCGGTGTGGGTAATCTAGTACCTCATACCGGTACAATGTACTTGCACATTTACCACACCTCAGAACTCATTTACATCCGCAACTAAGAACGATCAAGAACGTTTGTTCTCAATGTAGTTGGGAATCGAATTCCAGTGAATTTTCATAAATGTTTTACATCGATACGACTCAGTGTAATTAAAACGTGAAATAATATTTCTCGCTCTTTTATGAACTACTTAAATTAAAGTTGAGCAGAGTTTCGTTGGCTTCGAACGAGTTTCTTACTAAAGCACAAATCGTTAAACCATGTTGAGCAGGATAGAAAGAGAGAAGGAAAATTAAATCTGAATTACCTTCAAGGTCGTCTAGTGACAACGGCGACGACGACGACGAGTGTTGTTTGTTTTACCTTTTAACTAAACAACCGGTGCCAAAAGTCATTCATCAGGATCTCTGAAGTAGAAGCTGCATGTAAATGTTATCTCCCTTCTATGTGACAACTTCGACATTTCAAACGATCATTAACAACTTTGGTAGTTGCGTAGAAAGATAACAAAAGAAAGATTCAGAATTCGCCCTCAGACGAGCTCAATCTAATGTCAGTATCGTATTCACTTCGTAAATCCAACATTGTCGAGTTTCAAGTCTCAAATCTCAGCTTTCATGTAAGCAAAGAAATCTTTTGTTGAACTTCAACAATCATTGCTTTAGTTTCCGTCAAGTTTCGCTCTGCGTGTCTCTTTGATTTCAAATTAATTTCAGTCTCATGAAAGAATTCACAAGCAAAAAACTTTAATCAAAATAAGTTTTTTTGTTCAATTTTCCTTCCTTGAAGCGAAACCCAACAAACGAGCACAAAAAAGAGAGATTTTGTCATTGATTGGAAGTGACAATAGTCAATGGCTCAAAGTTTAGCAGATCACATCGTGATGTGAAATGACGACAAAGTTAAGTTGAAAGTTTCTTCCTATAACCAAATTAGTCGTGAACCGCGAATTAAATGATTAACTCGTTCAAACTGAAAGCCGATAGAAGGAAAAATTTTAAATGCTTCTCATTTCACTTTATTTTCACACTGTTAATTGTTTCAATTTTACTTTGATTTGTTTTCATGTGTCATTTGAATTTATTTGAAAACCTTCTGTTGACAACAACTTTCTACTAAAATCCGCGTGATTTTTTGAATGTGAAGAAGAAAACTTTATGTCTATCATTGGCGACATTGCGGAAGGTCAAGAAACTTTTTATTCGACGTCTGGATGAATAATTGACATTTCGGATTAAAATAACTCAAAACGTGCTGCAAACAATAAAGCTTAGAAACAAATTTTGACCTTTAAAATGAGCATGAGAGTGGAAAAAATATTTGTGAAGAAAGTTTCACGATCTCAAGAGTATTTCTTTAATTTCTCTTAAGCTCCAACATAAGCTGTTATCACAACATCAAATACAACATTGTGATGGCCAAGATAAATTTTTCTCTCAAGGTTAATTGTCCATTACCAGTTTTTCTCATCATTTCTTTCGACTTTTCACTTTGCTTGTGTAATTCAATAAATTTCTTTCTCTTTGACTGCTGTGAAATGTAAAATGAGTTGTTGGGGAAGATAAATCTAAAGATTTATGCATCATTGCACTTGAACCATGAATAAAAAAGTGCAAACCGGAAAATATTTGCATCGAGATTACTCGTGAGTTGAAAAATTTAAAGCATGAAGAAGAGAAATGCAAAGAAATTTTCCGCGCTGCGATTAAAATTCAGAAAGTTAATATCTTTTAATGCACAAAATTAATAAGCATGAAAATTCAAATGAACCTCTTGAGGTGTTGAAAGTATGTTCTCAAATATTTTCATTAAAATAAACTCTGCGTGTGAAGTGAAGCTTCAAAATACTTCGTTCCGTTTTAACTCATCAACAAGTCGAAGAAACAAAAGGCGAAGAAGAAAAAATAAATCGTTTCACTGTCACTTTTCAAAGATTGGTTTTGACATCATTCGCTTCAAACACTTGACTTCTCTTTGCTATTGTTTTAACTGCTACTTGTGCCTTGCTATCGTTTTGTTGATAGACAAATATTTACTGTGAGAACTTTCGGATGTTTTACGCTTTATTGTTACGCTCGCTTGTTCGCCTCTTTTACAAACTATTATGAATATTAAAACATCAAGATTTTGATTTCGCAACAAAATTAAGTCTAAGAAAACTTGATTTGTGTTTGTGTTGTTAAGAGTAGCATTCACCTTGTCTTGATTTCGTTAGATAAATATCTAAGTATCTATTTGTTGAATTGAGGTTTTTATTTTTCTTTTTCACGTGATACAAATGATAACATTAAAGCAACATCATATAACATTTCATTATAAAGCGAGATTAACAACTTCCACATTTTCATAAAGAAATTGAAGACGAGAAATTGTGAGTTTCTCTTATGATTTAATGAATTTAATTTATTATTTATTGATCATAGACATATCGTTAAAAAATCATGTTTTTACAACTAAATTTTACATAAATTTAATTTGCATACGCAATCATAACTCCAAAGATGACATAAGTCTTCACTAATGTTCACAAGTCAAAAATCTTCATGAACCACAAATTGAAATTTTGGTTTCAGCCTCTTTTTGTTAGATAACAAAACTAGAAAAAAATTCATTAAAATTTGCAAAAACAAGTTTCATGTAGCCATTTCAAAACACATTCAATTCAATTTTATTTATCAGAATTGAAAACAAAGGAAAAATTATTCATCGAAATGAATCATTTCCAAATATTAAATCCTTGAAGATGAAAAATCTTTATAAATGATTAGGAGTGGCAATAGCAATGATCTTGATAGATTGCTTTAAGTTGTTTAGCTTTGGAAGAAGCCTTTCATCATTCTAAATGTATTTCCATTCTACAAATCATTTCTGCTACTTGAAACATTTTTTGCTTTGCTCAATACAAGTTTGACCTCATTTCTAAACGTTCTTTTTCTTCTTTACCCACAACCAACAAATATGTATGAATTACGAGCAATATTGTGGAAACATCAACGTTATTTATGTTTTATGAGTCTTAGAAAGAATGCATAATTGCACAAGAAATGCAGCAGTTGAAGTTCAATTATTTAACAACAAAGCCAAACACAATAACAACGATTGGTGCATTAAATAAATATCAATGGCAGTAGTACAAGAAACGTTTTGAAACGTCGTTATAAGCTCGCTTACAACTCAACAAGAAAAGAATTGAATCGAAAAAGAGACAAAGAGAAATAAGTTCAATAAAATTGATTGGTATTTGACCCCACTAGTTAAGTTACTTCAGAATTTCAGGCACGTGTTGAAACCAAATGAAATGGAAAGTGCACGAAGTAAACTTTTTTGTTGTTATTGTCGTCATGTCTTAAATTTTGATTAATGGAAGTGGCAAATTTATCATCAATCAAATTTATAGTTTTACAGGTTTTAAATTAAAAAAGAACGTGAAGTGATAAGAAATTCTTGTTTGTCAAGCCACTAATTGTTCTCCATCTAAACTTAGATGAATGATGTAAATAATATTTTTGGCATTTGCAATGCAGATGTCATAATTACAGCTTTGTTCTAGTGCGTGCTCAAAGCAAGGTTGATTTTAGTAAGTGGCGCTTCTAACAATCTACTCAAGCTGCGTGTTATGTAATATGCAGTAGAGCATGCAATTTCACAGCAATCAATGGAAGTCGCTTCTGAAATCGTCACATGAAATTACTCAAGTTTTCTTTTTCCACCCTCAAATTTTCCGCTTCATTCAAGCAAATAAATAAAATGGAATGTTTGAGAAAAGCTCTTATGGTCATTCGTAATACTCACGAATTCATCATCATGCGATCAATGATGCAATAAATATTTCATTGATCAACAACAGAGAGTGACTGCCAATTATTTAAAAAGTAAACTTTTTACAATTATTACAGTTCGTTACATCTCACACTGTCACTGTCTCTGTCTCGATCCTTTTAAATGCTTTTGCATCAATTTTTCTTGATGGCAATTTGTCAGCTTTGCAGATATCGTTTCTCATTCATTATTCACATCGTCTCATGCTGTGGAAATCAAAGAATATTCCGATTTTCTGCTTCTCTGCATTTAAAATTTCTTTGCTTTCGCTGCTAGGCGGAACTTCATAAAGAAATAAAAAGTTTTCGTTTAAATATTGTTTTGAAAACCTTGCATGTCTCATACATTCGAGTATAAGAAAGAAAAACTGTCGGATATGGATATAAACCTGTTGTTAAATTCTGTTTGTTTCTATTGTTTTGTTTAGCATACTTTACCTTTACTGAGACTACAATGATAAGTGAGTTGAAGTTAAGCCGACTTAAACCACTGCTAACGATTGTTTCTTCGGACATGTGTAGATAGATGGAATAACTTTTATCTTAAATATTTGTTTTTTTCTTATTTATTCATCGTGGCAAGAGAGTCGATTAAGATTTGAAGAGAAAAAAATTATTAAAAAATGCCAAATTATTGCGTGAATAAGGTCGAATAATCTGTTAGAGGTCATTTGCTTTGAGGCCCTCGACCGGCCATTAATAAGTCAACGAATTAGATCTGGGCCTAATCACTAGATGGTTTTGTTAATTCAACTTCTTCTCTTTGTGAACAATAAACCGTTGAGTGAGTCTTTTTTTTCATGATTGCATAATTAATTCTATTTTAAACTATGAGTGGCTTGAAACAAACAGAAACAACATTTGATTATGAACGACTGAAACGTTTTCAATGTCAACAACCGTAGTCTGTTTGTCTATGTTAAAGAAGCATTTTACTGTGAAGACAGAAAACAAACTCGTCTGCTTCTTCTAATAAAGAAGAAGTCGTTTCACTAACCTTTCAATCACTTAATTCCTCTTCAAACATTGCTTGATTAATTGCCGCTAATTGACGGAACTTCATTGGAACTTCTGATGAGCTTATCGTGTAAAGGTTCGCTCGTTAAATTAAAATAATAAAAAATAAAATGTCATAAGACGCATTCTCATATTGCGCAATTGGGATTTCTTCTACGGAAATCATTCGAAGCTTTTTAAAATTACAATAAAATAAAAAGAGAAAAAATCATACACGATTTTCTTTCTCTAATTACTTGCGATGAATCGAATAAGCTTCTTTCATTAAACGTCGCTTTTATTATTTCGTTAAATTGTAAAGTTTTATAATTTGTCGTAATCAAAGTAATTAGACGGCGAATTATAATTCAATTGCATATTGAGTCAGTCAATCGCTTGTGCAAAGAGCGAGAAAAGAAAAGTTAAAAATATTAACAATTGTTTCGATTTAAAAATTTCATTTTCACTTCCGACACCATGACGCTTCAAAGTATTTAAAGATGCTACCAAATGTGATCAATCTTTGTTATTCATCTTTACACGTCAAATATCGTCGATCTCTTAAATGACTTTTCTTCCCTTTGGTTTCAAGTAGCGAAAGTAATTAATAACTTACGAACTCTTTCTATTCAAATGTCTTCAAATAGAATTTCCTTCGATTGTATTCAATTTCTTTTGCACCTTTTAAGACATCTGACTAATAATTTTTTTCAAAGATTTTGATAACCGTGAATAATTCGACATCTTTTCTTTTCTTTCATTTCACTCAAAAGTGCCGTTCACGCCACTTAGTGTTTAGTAACAAAAGTTTTAATAAATCATCGGCGAGATTTGGCGAGATATTTAATACTATTACTGTATTTCCTTTCTTTTTGTCTCGAGCATGACGAGATAGCCGATACCGAAAGTCGAGCCATGAAACTTGCAATGTCTGTGTGGTCTTCAATAATAAATTCAAGAAATAATTTTTCTCATGCAACAATTTTTACTTTTTACTTTTGATTAATTGAAATAAAGCGGCAAAACTGTCTTCAACAGTTGTCGATTGTTCGTTGAAACTAATTTGGATTTGATTCAACCACGAGGAATGAAATTGAGTCAATGCAAATTGTTGCGGTAATTGAGACAATTCCACCAACACACAACATTTAATAATAACGAAAAATTTGAGAATAAATTTATAAATGTCGTGATAACGACAGAATCGACCTTGTCAACGATATTGAAAGCAAACTGTTGGATAATGAGATCCCGGGGCGAGTAACGAGCAAACAAAGAATTTATGTAATTAAATTCAGTTCAATAGCCATGAACCAGTTTTTCATAATATTTCACTGCGGCAGCGTTAAAGTTTCATGAAACGCAACTCTGAGACTTTAAAGCGATAAGTTCAACATGGATGAAATCAAAGTTGCGAATTCTTAAAATTTTATTTATCATTTAATTACACGCGAGGCGATTGAGCGATAAAAGTCATTTTTCAAGCCATTAACATCTCAGCAGCCAGCAAAACTCTTTTTTATCGTTTTCATGATCATTTCGTTTACTTCCGATCAACTTAATCTTGTGCTTCATCTGCTTTGTTAATGCGTTATTGATGATACAACTCTTGAAATTGAGTAGTTTAAAAAGCCAACAAGCTATTGAATTGCTACTTCAATTTCCCCGCTCGGTCCACAAATAGACGACTAAGTAGAAAGGGAAAATTACTCCGAGACCGTCTCTAATCAATGACATTAGCTTCACAATCTCTTAGGCGAATCAATTGAAATTTCCTCGCTAAGATGAACTGGAAAGATTGTATAAACGACATAGTTTGATAGTTGATCATGATTGCATCTCTCGTTGCGCACGATTCATGATCGCGGAATAATCGATCAGCTGAAAGTGCGACTAAAGTTTAGCAAATTCGTCTCTCGTTCATGTTTGCAAACATTTCTTCATCTTTATGCTTCGGCTTCCTGATCTTGTTACATGATGGCGATGAAGACGATGATGATTTGATTTATGACGCAATTTATTTTAAAAGCAATAAAAATGGAATTTTATTGAAGATTTTTCAATTTTTCTTTTTTCTTATTTGTGAGAAAATTTGTTGAATTGAAAAACTTTCGCTCCATTTTCTGAATCAAATCTTTTGTGTTGTCAATTTTTTTCTTCGCTTCATTAGACAAAAGATGAGTTTGAGAATGGAATCGTCATAGAAAAACGATGAAAAGTCACGTAATAGAAAAGTGCAAGTGAAGAAAGAAATGGATTAAAGCAGCGAAACATGAAATTCACGATTCCCACGCAAACTGCACGCCGTTGCTGTTGCGCCAAAAAATTCACTCGAAACAATAGAAAAGTTGAATTATCGGGAAACAATTCGAAGCAAACTCCAACATGTACACGAAATTATCGGTAATAATCGTTAAATAAACAATTTTCATTTCGTTTTCCTTCTATCTGAATGCAACTTGCACAATGGAAATTGCACAAATTCTTCAAAAAGTGCCGAAAGTCAATTAAATTCCTTTCACGTTAAAATGTTGATTATAAATTTATATTCATCGTAGATTAAAACACTTTACGACTTGAAAGCAAATCAGTTCGAATGATAATCATTCGAGGACATTTCGGGGAATTCAAACTTTCGAATAAGTTCGCGAATGGAAAGGAAAAATTTATCATGACAAAGTGGCAATCACAACACTTCGCAGAAACTTTGCAACATTTAATGGCAGCTCATTAGTTTTATTGCCACATGCATCTTACATCGTTTTCTACTTATTGTTGCGCTGCACCAAACATGCATCATTTGATTCCCATCGAGGTCTTTGGTGGTGGTTTGGAGTTCACTTTAAGTCGTTCAATGTTCAGAGAAGAAATGTTCGCGCCATGCAATCAAGCGAGAGTGAATAATCAGAGCACTTTTTGACTTCCATGCGCTTTTAAATGCATGAATGACGTGAACAACACAACAAACAGTGAAATATTATGTAAGATGCATAAATCAATGCACTCAAATCTGCCTCTGCCTCCACTCTGATCTGATTTCTTCTTATTTCTGTGTGGTGCATTCAATTCGCTTCGCTCCAATTTACCCAAGCCAAGCGAGCCTTTTCCCTCTGCTCCATATTTCGACCTGCATTCAACACAATTATTGAGCTAATAATAAAAGTTACTTTCTCTTTGATCGCCTTCTTATGCTTCGCTATTATGCTGTGTTAACTTAAAATACTTCGACGACGAAGAAATGTTTGAGTTTTAAGCAATTGCATAACGATTATTGTTGCACATCGCACGAGTGGACATGAAAGACCGAAAACTGTATCGAAGTGACAAATAAACTTTTATTGCAATGCTAACGGCTTTTTCTCTCTTTTATTTCCATACGTTAATATATTTACATTCAACCTGTTGCTGCTGCTCTACACTTGCATGTGAAATTTGCGCAATTAAACAATTTACTCAACGAACTTGTTTCCTGGTCTGGTGACCAAACAATCTTAACTTGACGAATTATAAACTTTTATATTTTGATCTCAATTTTAAGAGCGCTTTTGTGATTCAGTTCATTGCCTCAAATCTCATGCCGCCCTTCGGCTCATGAACGATGTTGATGCTGGTACTTCTAAATTTCAAGACCTGAAACCGTCACAAGTGCTTTTGTTACCTTCCCGTGTCTCGTAATGAACAATTAACGATCATTTATCAAGCGACTTATGATTTGTTCCCTTTCAGCTTAAATTTCTTCTTGCTTCACTTCGTCATATTTCAACTACGCTAGAAAATCGTTTTTATCTGTTGATCTTGTGTTTGCTTAAAATCACAATTGCAATGACTTGACTTGACTTGACCGCCTTCAGTACCTTAAATGAGAGTTTAGATGTTCAACAATTCTTTTGACTGAGAGTTTAGATAACAAGTTCATGAGATCATTAACTTACTGATTCCAATATTTATGAGAAGTAGATCAGGTTTGAGATATTCAATAATAATGACTTGAGATAAATAATTAAAAATTAAACAAAAATTAAAAACTAATAAGCTGCTGATTGATATAATTTGTAAAGCAAAACGTGAAACTCCAATCTGGAAATCAGAATTCCAAGCAATTTGTAAATAATTTGCACAGTTAAAAGCTGCCGGTATAATCACCAGTCATTAGTTAATACATAAAATTGCTGGTGATGCAACTGAAAATAAAGCAACATAAAATAAACATAAAAACGAGAAAATGTGGGTGAAAATGTTTAAAAGAAATAATCCTGAAATTGTTCGTAACATTCGTGGCCTCAAAATTCCTTTAATTACTCGAATTTCATTTGCACAACAACTCCAGAGTAAAAATTAAATTTCCAAAGTAAGATGGGAGAAAAACAATTATAAAGCTCATGTTGCTAACTCATCGTCGCTTTACAAATTCTTAAAACTCAGCCATTGTTTCTCGAGAAAACACTTCTTCGAATAAATAGAAAAAACATGAAGAAAAATAACTTAAAATTGCTCAATAGAGACGCCGAAAACAATTTCACAGCCGCCAACAAATTTCAAGTTTTGTTTCTACCACCTCAATTATATATTTGCAATTTTATTTCAAGCAATAAATAAAGTAAAGTGAAGCGAAGTGCAAGTTGTGATTAACAATAAAACTACGGGCTTAAGAGACACTCAAAGCACCGCTTTCGTAATTGAACAAGCGATTGAAATGAGAATGGTAAACATGTTTCGTTTAAAGGAATCGAGAAGATATTTATGTATGTTGGGAAATAATTTGTGATTGCTGCATTCTTTTGAATGCATTGTCGTTGTTATTAAACAAAATATTGTTACCATTTGTCATCTGAATCCATAACTGACCCCCGAGTTCATTTTAAATAAAAAGTCGTGATTCGAAGCATATAAAAAATAAAATTATAGCATAATAAAACGAAAATGGTCCTGAAGGCTGTTTTTGAATCAAACTTTGCAATCATTAAATCGACAGCTGCACTTTCAGTTGGCCTAAAGTCTCATTATTATCGAGACACGCTTATTTGCATGTCAAGAAATAAATATGTTAAAACAGAATTCAAAAAATTGGTTGAGATTAATCCAATATGATTTCTTATTCTGGAAACGACCTTTCATTGTTGCTTTTGTTGCATAAAACTTTCACAAAAGGAGAAAAAAAATACTGAATAAAAACCCGATCAAGGATTGTTTGATAAAAAAATGTTAACTTTAAATGGAAGCGATTGCCTGTGCTTAAAACGATAAATGTACATAAATAAATGGATTGAAATTCATTGTCAAAAACCAGCTAGAGATTGAATATAAACAAAGCTAGGCTTTAGAGGAAATCCGATTAATTTTAAAGAATCTTTTCATTCATGATATCTGATGATGCAATTGACTTCAAGATCATTGTCATTAATGCTGTTGCTGCTGTTGCCTTTAAATGTCGTTTCACCTTGGAAATCTATTAGATTTAAATAAAATTTTCAGTGACTCCGCTTTGACTTTAAGATGATAATCGAATGGAATTATGGAAATTTAATTAAACGTGCGTGAGAAAAAAAAATCATCTTTAGCGCGCGACCAACGAAACCTTCTTTAAACATGGCAAATAAAAAATATTTTGATTGTTGCAATTCTGTCGTCAGTTGAGGTATGAGCGAATAATTTTTCGTCCAAAATGAATTAACATTTAATTGAAGTAGACTTGAGTAACAGCTTCAAATGGCAACAATCGTTTGGTAAATTCAATTATAAAATTTCTCATACATTTATATGATTTCATTTCTTTTTTCTTCTTCTCTTCTCATTGCGCAATTCTGTGCCACCTGCGATGAAACGAAGCATAGCAAACATTTTATAAATATTTCGATGAAATTTGATAAGCATTTATGAATGCGAAATGATTAACATTCTTTTATCAATCAACTATTGTCGAAATTATTCAAATATTTTTGTGAAAGCGATGCAAACCTTCACCGTTGAAGTCTTTTTCATCTTAATCGTTGACAGAAGTTCATTTGCATAAACTTCAATAATCGTCAGGGCGTTGAATAAAAAACCGCGCATTAATGCTAGCGGCGCTTTGAAGATTTATTTGTTGTCCACCAAATCATAAATTAATGTTTATTCGTATGTTGAAGCATAAAAACGTGATGTTTTATTTCAATAAGAATCAAAAGACTTGAACGCCCGAAGAAACGACGAGCGCGAATAAATGTTCATATAAATTTTCATCGTCCAGACGACCAGACGATGATCATCTGTTGTCGTCATTGAACAATTCATTGTTGTTTTCATTGATCATCAAAATACGCTCATAATTCAGCAATAAATATTTATAAAAAGAAAAGGCATAATTGATTACTTCTTCCTTCCATTCATCATCGCTCATCAATTTACTTCTTATGAGATTGCGAAATATTTCTTGTTCAACATTCTTTCGAATCAATCTCTCGAATATTTTATTAATTGTTCCACGCCACGACTATAGTTCATCACAGTTAATAAACTCATGAACCTTCAAAGTGTCGGTTAATTGAAACCAACGATTTTTCATAACAATCTCGTTGCACTAAAATGTCGCAATACGCAAAACAAAACCGTTCTTTCTCTTCACTGATTTTGTAAAGACGAAATAATTTATTTAACATGCAGTTTCCATAAAGATAATTTACCGTTGCTGATGCGGCGTTTTGATGAATTAATTTAGAGGTGCTTATAAATAATTCTGGCTTTTGCTCGAGACCTTCAAGGCAAATAAATAATTCACTTACTCGAAAGTACTTGTTTTGTCGTCGGTTATTATTATTTATTTCGATTGTGAAACATTTAAAGTAAGCACGTAGGTGCAGCTTTGAGATGGTAAATTAGAATATTGGAGAGAAGCTTACATTGTGCTCTTGGGATCGTCGCCGTTACCGATTTAATTCAATTTTTTCTAGGTTTAACACAAAGCAACTATTAAGCCGCACTTTATGAGTCGTAATTGTTGACGTCTATGACAATCATTAAAAATTTTGATTGATTACTTGCAATTGGAATTGAATATTGAAAGATGGCTGTAATTTTTGAATCAAAGTCTTAAGTAGTTCACGCTCTTAATCATAGTCTTACAAAGTTGTTAATGACATTATACGAGTCGGAAAAAAATGTTAGGCATTTCAATTGAAATCTTAATTGAATTTCAACATATTGACGTTGAAAATGAATTTTTGATTAAAAATGAAATTGATTTGAATGTGAACTTAATTGATTTGTCTCAATGTCTTTCTTTCTGTTTTAATTATTCATCGCACTAAATTTTTTTCGCATTTATTATGTTGTTGAGCTTTGATGGAGATTTCGTTGTCGCTCGCTTGACGAAAAAAAAGTAAACAAAGTCAAACAAGCGCTTGTCGATATCGCTTTGAGTTTTAAAAGATTGACGTTTTGATATCGAAATCTTTTTCTCATTTGCGAGTTTGCGACATTTTTAATTCCCATATTCAGTGAGCAAGCAAATAAAAAATCACAACAAATTGAAGTTATTAATCGTTCGGTAATCAAACCAAAGGCAAAGTAATAACATGATTTGTGAAGTTTAAATCAGCTATGACAAACACGATTGCAATTCCCAAAGCTCATGTTGCAGAATTATTTACTCTGAAATTGACTTTGAAGTTTATTAATTTAATTCACTAACAAAATAAAAAAGTTTCAAGACATTTAAGGAAAAAGAAGCAAATCGTAAGAAAAATGAAATCAATTTGTAGCACGGAATATTCCCACGACAAAACTTTTCTGAACAAAACACAAAATCGACTGCAACATTGAACATTTGATAACTTTTCAAGCGCAAAAATATCGAAACTGAAACCGAAGGTGTCCGTTGTGTGGCATGAAAAATCAGCAAATTTTGCTATGGGCTTTGAATGTGGGTCAGGGATCTAAGGTATCAGATTCTTTCTTCGGTTGTAAATCAAAAGCACAACCACCATATCGCGATTTATGTATTATATGTTAATTAGACGCATTGTACTTATGTACAAGAGAAACTTACTTGTAATGATTGTAAACATAAATGATCAATTCAATTCTTAAATTTATTTATGATGATTTTTACAGATTTCACAAAAGCACAGACAAGACAACGAAGTCAGAGTCCAAGAGCGGGACCGACGGGTCGAGCATTGGGCCTTAACCCCAAAACGTCATCATCATCATCGTCGTCAGAGTTCAGTTGTCCTGAAGAGTTCGGCTACTTTCCACATCCGTCAGATTGCAGTCTTTATTATGTCTGCGTATTCGGCGGTGCTTTATTAGAGAGCTGTACTGGTGGATTGATGTACAGTCACGAACTTCAAACATGTGATTGGCCACGAAATGTTGGCTGTGAAATGCGTGAGATTACGGCTCCATTGCCAGCACCTGCTCGTGAAGTAACGCCTCGCGTTCCAGTCTCTAGTAGAATCAGATTCTCATCATTACCGACAGAGCCTCCATCAGGGCCTTCAGGTCCATCTGGTCCATCAGCACCAGCTCACATTCAACAAATTCAAACACTTCCACCACCACCAAATCAACAACGAATTAATCCGAATCCGATCATCACCTCACGAGGCCAACCAAAAAGTTATTCAGAGGATGAAATTCTCAAAGTAAGTTGATTGTTTTCAACACACTGTCTGAGTGTCTTTAAGTAGCTAATAAAAATAATAATCATGTGAATTATTCACAGCAATTGTATGCTGAAGCTCATGACACTTTACCACCGGTAGAAGAGGAAGAATCCGACAGACAACAGCGTGTTTACAGAGGTCAGCCAAGTACCGTTACACAAGTCCAAAGAGACCGTGACGGAATCATTCATCAGCCGAGTGTCAACGCTATCCCTACGCAACAGAAAGGCGGATCTTTCGTCTTTAATTCTCAGCTTCCGTCATTCAGGTAAGATTAATAAAATTAGATTAAATAAAGCATTGAACTTTAAATTGTTGAGTGAAGAATATTGAACTTGTTTGTTCCAAATAAATTGAAAACTTTCCAATTACGATAGTGACGATGATTTACAAGACCTTGACATGACGAGACAGAAAAATTTGGATCGCAAAAGACGCGATCTTTCATCAACAACTTCGACTGAAGGTGATGATGACAGTGAAAAAATCAACGGAGAAGAAAGTAAAACGATTAAGAAACGAGCAGATGAAGGAAAATTTTTATCGTCGCTTGATGAGATTTCTGAGTTGCTTGAAGGCTCAGAAAGTGTTGATGACGTTCAACGAAGAACGCGACAGCTACGACCGTCAATAATCAGCAGTCCTTGGCGAGTGTCAAGTGGCGCATCTTATCGTGCGATCAATTTCGCGCCTTCCTCTCAAAACTTGTACAACTCAAATCAAAACCACTTTCCATCAGCGACGTCGGGACTTTTGTACAAGAGTAACGGAAGATTTTATCCGACGAATAATTTCAAACCTTCAGAAGGATTTAATCCCGTCATTAGTACTTATAGTGGTAATGGCAATAAAAATAAATACAATTCATTCAATACATACTCTGGGGAATCGAATTCTGAAACAGGTGAAGAAGTGACGCCGAGATACAAACAGTCATCGAAAATTCCTGGTCATTCATCTTCATTGTTTCCACTTTTATTCTCTTATGAAAATTATGAACCAAAGTCAAAGCTTCCAGCTAGTGAAGCGAACCAAAACCAAGATAATTATTCTTACTTTCACTTTGGAAAGCCTTCATCATTGCAATCGCAGCTGAATGCAAAGCCAGACAAGGTTAAAACTTATGCATTTCCTGTCACAAATCTACCATCAACAACGCCAAGAAATTACAATTCAGTTGGTGGATTCTTTAATAATAATCAACAGTCATCAAATCAAGGATTATTAGCGTTGAAGCCGATTTCGAAGGCAACACCGGCGCCAATCTATGAAGGCACAAAATCAGCATCTTCTTATGATTCTCGCTTCACAACGCCACAGCCAATTAAAGCAGCAACACCAGCACATCACGCTCAAAATCAATTTTTGAATAATCTTGCGTTCAATAGCCATTCATCACAAGCAACTGTCTTTAATTTCGGCCCCAACGATAAAAAGAACAAAAAAGAAGAAAACAAAGTCATTCAAATAACAACTAAAAAGCCATCTTATCATCAATATCCGATTCCGTCAAGCACGCCTAAATATATTCCAGCGTATACAACACCAAACCAGTTGTTCGATTTTAATAAATTTGTGGCTGGAATACGAGAGGCTCAACGCTTGCAAAACACTCCGAAATTCGCGGGCATTAACAATATTTCAACGCAGCTTAAAAATCAAACGCAAATTTCACAATTGAATCCGAATGGCAATATTCATTATCAACAAATATTCATAAGTCCATCAACGACCACCACAACAGCTGCACCGGATGAATATTATTATGATGATGATGATGAAGAAGAGAAAGAAGAAGAGAGAGTGGGTGGCAGATTGAATCATTTTAAGACACAAAGTGTTAAACCGCCAATCAATGCATTTGAAAGGAGACCAATAAACTCAAATGCAGCTTCTGAAGATGATGATGACGATGAAGATTTTTATTACGATGACGATGATGAAGACGACGATGAAGAAGAGTTCAGCCCACCGCCAGTTAACAAGCCAAAATATACGCCAATGTCAGAGACGATGGCTCCACGTCCCATGAATGTGACAACATTAAGACCATATTATGTCAGTGGCCATACATTTAGCACAGTTCAACCCCCACGTAGTACCAGCAGCATTCCAGCAATTATAAAATTCCCCGATGATGTTTTTCAAGCTATTCGACCATTCGCTAGTCCGGCTCCCAACATTATTCATTCTAACAAATTTAACTCGCTGGTCAACAAGAATAATGACATAACAAAGCCAACAACTTCAACAACTGAACGAACAAGTACGAAGAGAACAAAAATAAAACTTTTAACAAAACCAGCAAATACTAAAATTTCGAATATTCATCAAACAACAACAGTAAAACCGACTCGTTCGACCACCCGACGCAAGACTTACACAATCAGACCAAATCGTGGAAACTTGAAATTCAAAGTGTCGACAAAACGACCCGACTTGACGCGACTGGAAATTGACGAAAAATTACCAAACAGGTAACGAATAATGAGACCAAATTGAAGACTTGAACAGTGTCGCTTTTTTTGAATGTTGAAAAGGTTTTGCTTTAATTTAATTTTTCGTTTTTATTTCTCCAGAGTTGAGCAGTCATCTCCATCACCAAACTCTTATAATATCCCGCAAAAGTCACAAATTAAACAGAATAAGAATTATTATAATACTAGCAATTATAATCCATCTTATGATCCCTACTACACGATTTATGACGATGAGATTTACGGTGATGTTGGTAAGTTGTTGTCTCTGTTGTGAGAATTCAAAGTGTGAAAATTATTTATTTGAAATCTTCGTCTAGAATATTCTAATCAATTCAGCAACCAACAAAAGTCCACACCATCATCGACATATCGGCCAACAACCTCACAAAGTCCACAAACATTCGCACCAAAACCACAAACTCAACCGACGACTTATCTAACTCAAACACAAGCGCCGAAGACGTATAATCAGCAAATTTATGACTACGATGAAGCTCTCGTCGCACAAGTAAGTTTTATCAAAAATCTGCAAGCTATTGAAATTTATTAAAATGTTTCTTAATAAGCTTGAAGAAAGCGATCGATATGGTCAACATGAACGTCAACCAAACACTGACTTCAGGTAACAATTTGCATTCTTAAATCAATTTTCAAAATATTTTATTCTTTATCTTTCAAAGCATGTTTGAATGTGATTATCATGATTTGTTATTTAATCATTTAATCATCATTAATTTCAATTTATTTATCGATTTAAATACTTCAAAGGATATATATAAAACCTACATCATAAAATTATGTAAAAATAATTCAGATCATTAACACATTTGATGTTTGGCTGATGATGTTGCTGTTTTAACTTTAAATGTAACAACCTAAACGTGAAGAAAAATTGTCTTCTGCATTATCATAAACATTTTAACCTCCATAACTCTTATTTTATGAATGAAATCTTTTATTTATGTGAACAGAAAATCTTAATTATAATATTTAATCATTTTTTAACATTTTTTTCTTCTTTCTCTTTCTCTGTCTCTTTTTGGATCTTCAATCTTTGTCTTTATGTTTCTTCTTGATTTTTCCTTATTCTTTCTATCTTCTGATGATAAATTGAAAAAAAAATATATGAATTTAATTATGTAACATTAAAAGGGGAGACAGAAATGAAATAAATTTATCTGATCGCGCAATAATAAAAACTCAATCGCCATCTCGTAGCAATGGCGTGAAGTTTTCATCAGTTCCAGCTTTCGTCTCGCTTTCAACACCGGAACCATTTTCCTTTAAACCTACTTCATCCGTTACCCATCGAACCTTCAGACCAACAACAGTTCTTACCACCATTCCATCTACGACTCCGTCTACCACTTCCACTAAAAGAACAACGGAATATCAATATGTGACTTCAAGGTATCAATTTCTGAATTGACAATTTCAGTAGATTCGCTAGCTTTTTTGGTTGCATCTTACTATGAAAAACTCAAATAACATTTACTTTGCCATAAGTAGTTTTGCTTCATAATACTTAGATATTTATCAAACATCTCCGTTTATAGCATTGATACTAATTTAATCTTTGATTATTTCCATATAAGTACGTAAAAAGCTTGAGAAAGTAGTTGCAGTTTGTTGATTAACACAAGTCAATTATTCATTAATGAAATTAAGCCACGCTGTCTCCCCTTGATCGAGTTTAATATACTTCACTGAAATGAAAACATTAGTAAACACATGTGTGCACTGTGGGAAAATGTTCATTGCATAATTCGTTGATAATTTGAGACGATAAAAACGATCTAAATCAAAGTGTTTTGTGATTGTCGAACTTTCTTTTCTCAATTTCTCAAGAAGTATAAAAGTATGAAAGAAAAAAAGTTTCTGTGGTGAAACAAATGAGTTTGAATCTAATTTAAGGTTGATCATTAAAGACAGCATAAATTGTTTCTCTCGCTGAGTTGAACGATAATGAAATTCATAAAACTTGATTGAAACATTAATAAATCTTGATGCAACATGACATCATAAAAAACCTGAAAAATTTCAAGTTTCATTCACGTCAAGATAAGACAAAGTTTTGACATTTTAATTAAAACATAAATTTATGAGCCTAATGAACCTTTTTAATTTAATTAAGATAAGCAACCATGTTCAATGAACTCGTTTTCCCTCAATGCACTTAAATCAAATATTTACACAAAATCATAAAGAAAAACAAAATAGTTTTGAGAAAAGAAAAACACAAAATTTCTGACGCTCTGTATATTATTGTATTTCCCCAAACAGATCATCGCTGTCGGAAGGTAGCAACAATAAGACAGCTAATAACCGTATTAGAATAACACTTTCTGCTCGCGCGGGTTCCCATGATAAACCGATCCATAAAGTTTACGTTCCTTTTTCTTTCCCATCCCAATCCCAATCCTCAAGCACACCATCAATCCATACAGCAGTTTACACTCAATCATTGCCCTTAACGACTTTGACATCGACCACCACAAGTACGATTCCACCCCAACCTTTAATTTCAAGAGATCCGTTGCCATCTGACCATTACTACTTTTCCGATCAAGACGCTCCCCTAGATTATTATGAAAATGTTGACGAAATAAATATTCCATCATCATCAGTATCATTAAATAAAAATAACAAAACTCATTCATCCTCATCAATTCAAGCTTCATCTTCATCAACTCTTTCTCATTCATCCACCCCATCTCAAATGATTGTTCACGTGAATGATCATCGTGCAAATCAGAATCGTTTTCGATATAAATTTTCTGATTATTTAGAACCGTCTCGTTACGATCAAAGCACTTTAAAATCATATTTCATGTTGTCATCATCATCTTCGACAACTGAAATAATTTTTAGTTCAAAGTTCAGATCAACAACGACGACAACAGAAAAGCCCCCAAGTACGACATCAACCATTTCAACAACGACTCGTGATCAAGAATCACAAAGGCAAAAGATTCTCTCGTTTATCGTGTCCGAAAATCAGCCGTCAAGCTTCAAATTGTCAAATCAAAAATCTACTAACAGAATTGTTAATTCAAGTAATTTAAGAGCTTATGTAAATACACAATTGCCCGAAAGCACAACTGTTTCACACTCAAACACGACTTCCACTAATTCACCTCGATCACCAAATAATAATTCTCCAAGCCCAACGAAAACAACAATTCTCTTATCGCGAGATCAATTGAATCAAAACAAAACAATTCGTTTAACTTTAACTTCAAGCCTTGATTCTCAATCTTCACCATACAAGGCGTCAGCGTTGCCACTTAGAAGTCAAGGAACAGTTGAAGAGATTCCATTGATAAAATCAAGGCAACCGGAAACACGTCAAGTTCTTCAATTGAACCCCATTGAACCGACGACTTATTCACCTCCAAAACCCTTTCGATTTTCGATTGAAACTACAACAAAATCTGAAACCACAACAGCACTCCCTACAAGTTCTTTTATAATTGATGAAATTTCCCCTGAATTAGAATCTTTCCCTGCTCATTCACGTCGTCGACCTTACGTTAATGATTTCTTAACAAACTCAAATATTCCAACGCGATTTCCACCACGAACGACAACATCAGAACAACCAATTGATGTGACAACAGAAGCTTCTACAACATCATCGACAACAGTTCCATCATTTCGATCTGGAATTCAAAGTTTCACATCACGTGGCCTTGTTTTTAAAGAGAATCTTAATCGAACACTTGAACCTCAGAATCTTAAGCCCATTGTCTCGCCTTATATGAGTTTAGAGAAGCAGAGATTGACAAACGCTATTCGCACTACATCACCAGCGCCACGATCTCTTGACGCTTCTACATCCACCACAACATTCTTGCCTGTCACATCTTCAACCTATCGCAGCTATTTTCTCATAACTGCACCGATAAAAAACAAAACAATCCCATCAACCTTCCTTTTCCCTGAAACAACGAGTACACCTAGAAGTAGTTCTATATTAACCACAAGCACGACAACAAATTCTCCTTCTTCATCAACAACACTAAAACCTTCACCTTTCAGTGTCAAAACTGAATCGAATTCTTTAACATCGACCGAGAACAGTCGAGGTCGTTATCGCCCTTTTGTAACTTTCACATCATCAAATTCAATTGTTGAAGAACCAACAACTTATTCACCACGTTTACGGTTTAATACGCGAACTCAAACCATGGTTGATTCATCACTTCCCATCAATGATCAACCTGCTTTACGACGTAAAGTCGTTCGATTGAAATCAGCATTAACGCCGCCAGCTAAACCAGTTGATTCATTTAGTTCATCGACTGATCTCAATCGTATTGACGTCACGACTTCAACTCCCTTTAGAGAAGTCACTGACAATATTGTAGCATTGCCATCGAGAGAAACGATTCAATTTAAAACGCTTCCGTCAAAATCTGCTGAAACAATTCTGAGTAAACTTTCTTATTCAAGTGACAGTCCTAACACTGCACTTCGGCTTAGAAATAATTTTAATCAATTGGCAAGTGTTCAAGAGTTGCGTAACATGACATTTGATGACTTGAAAAATAAACCATTCTTTTATATTAGATTTAAAAATTCGAGTAATGTTGAAGCTTTGGAAACTTCAACGAAAAAGTTTCGTGCGACTGTTGAAATGCCCGTAATGAATGTTCCATTAGAGAAAGAGCTGAACAGCTTCAGCAATGCGAAAGTTGAAGAAGTTAATGATGAGGAAAATTCTCAGAAATCATATGAGAATGAGTATGAAAGTAGTCGTGATTATGACGCATATGTGGATAGTTCATCGACAACAACTGTCGCACCACCATCCACATATGATGATATTCATTTTAATACGACTTACAGTAAAATCTTTACGACATCGACAAGCACTTATCAACCGACAACAATGACAACAACGACAAGCACTTTGAGAACGACAGAGAGACAAACGACGACAACGACAACCGCCAATCCTAAAAGTTTGATCCCGCCGCGCGCTTCGCGTGTTAATAATGCAATCAAGACATCAATTGTTGCTGGACTGCCACGCCGAAATAGTGCCAGTATAAAATGTAACGATATTTCTTCCAATGCAAAGTGCAACGAAATTCCATCGAGGTATTATAATAGTTTTTCAGACCAACATTAGATAACAAAAAACAAAAACCAAAGAACAAAAACAAAGCTTAAAATTGATAGCAGAGATTCGAATTTAATTAATTTTCGACTACTTAGTCGAGTGCTTGATTCACTGCTTGACTCTGTGTGTAAATAAGCCTTTGAAAAGATTTATTTATAATTTTCCCACAGACCATTTTATTTTTCTCTTGCTCGAGCGAAGCCTTTCAAGACTTGCACAATAACTTAATAATTGCACAATTGATACTTTAGCACTAATTCACCTTTGAGAAACAAAAAGAAGAAGAGATTTTTTCAGCAGCAGTGACAATCGTTTTCTTTGATGTTTTAAATTAATTTAATTATTTGATTTTGCACATGCCATACACTCACGAGTGACTTTTAAAACTAAAACAGATTTTCAAACACATCAAAAAATTAAAATTCTTTCTCCACCTCACTAAAAAGCTTTTTTATCGTGAATTGATGCGCGGCAGGAACACAACTTTCTTTCACCAAACTTTAGTTTCCTTATCAAGTCAACATTTATCAAATAATAATTTTTCTATTCTATGATTTCATGCAACACCTCAAGAAAATATCCTCAGATCCTTATCAATCATCCTTTATAAATCATCCCGCAATTTTCAGAAGTTATTTTTGAATTGAATTTCTTTATCAAGCTCTCAAAACTTGAATTTGAAAGCTTTCAAAATTTATTTATCTCAAGCATTATGTAACTTAATCATCTTTCATTTCAGCATTAAGATTATGTTTTAATGTTCTTAACATCTTTAATCAATGTTTAATTCTTGACTTTATTTATGTATGACTCTCAGCAAATCTTTTCTTTCAAAAATCTAGATTGTTATTCAAACACTGCTAATTAAACAAAATTAAATCTTTCGGACTCAACTAACAAATAATCTTTTAAATTTCAAGACTTACATAAAAATTTACCTGCATTCGCTATAACATTAAAACTAATTTTAACCTAACATTGAAGTTTGTAAATATTTCCAACTTTTTAAAATCAATTTTTATTTCGTTTTCTTCTATTCTTTAAAAAATCTTAAAAATTATTAAAGAACACCAAGTAGAAATCGAGGCAGTTCGCAATATGCTGGAGACACGCAATCAACTGTTTCGCAAAGTACTGGCCGTGGAACTCACCCACCGTATGTTGAACTGAATATTAACAAAACTAATTAAAGTGTTGGCATTATTTTTAACGATCTTCATTTCACAGTCGACCAGCACGCCCAACATTGAAACCATCGAAGACTGTTGTCGAACATGCTCAACAATATGTTGACATTTATCGTTTCCCTCCAACGAGACCAGAGCCTTTGTATCCACAGCCAACTCCTGATAAGACAGCAGCAAAGTGTCGTAAAGATGTATGCCAATTGCCTGACTGCTATTGTGGTGGCAAAGACATTCCAGGTAACATTTCCATCTCTCTTAAGACTCTTTCAAGTGTCTTGTCAATTAAAAGTTTAAAAAGAAAAAAAATTACAAAAATTCAATGAAATCTCATGAAGGTAAGTTGACATTGGAAGAAACACCACAATTGGTTCTCATCACATTCGAAGATGCTGTCAATGATGTTCACAATAAAGTCTTTGAAATGCTTTTCAATTCGAGTGAAAGACGAAATCCAAATGGTTGCGATATTCGTGCAACGTTCTTTGTGTCTCACGAGTGGACCGATTACAGTTTGGTTCAAAATCTTTATGCTGATGGACATGAAATTGCTTCTCACACAGTTTCGTAAGTCGCTGAGATTTTATGCTGTTCTAACATCACATGGATATATGTTGAAACATCGCATTTTCTGTCATCAGCATCGCCATTGTTTCTTATGATTTTGATTTCGACTTTTTTTTACTTTAATTAAAACTAATTATTTTTTTTTTCATTTAATTTTTCTCCCATCTTCCCTCCAACAATAACCAAACTTCCTTTGCATTGATCATGCTTTTCTTATGCAATCATCAAACTTCATTATCTCATTCATAATAATCATCAATCGACGATGATCATGAAGCTGATATGCCCGTTGAACAAGTGCCACAAATTGTGTTGTTAACCTTCGACGATTCTGTGAATGATTTAAACAAGCAACTGTACCAAGATCTGTTTGAACGTGGCCGTGTTAATCCTAATGGATGTCCGATTTCTGCAACATTCTACGTTTCTCACGAATGGACTGACTACAGTCAAGTGCAGAATCTTTATTCCGATGGTCACGAAATGGCATCACATACCGTCTCGTAAGTAAACGAAATTGGAATGTTGACTTGAACGAATTCTTTCTACACAAACACGCACACACAAAAATAATGCACGAAATGAAATCTTTGCACCCAAAACATGCACGACAAAAAGGCAGCAAAATTTTGTGAAGCGAAATGCCCAAAAAAACCAAAACAAAGGTTTGAAATCATGAAACCACATTTGATATTTCACAAACATCTACATTAATAATTTTTACATAAACATCTGCATCCAATATAACACTAACTAACAAAAAACATTCAAAAATTTTCGAAACTAACAAAAAAAAATTAATTAACGCGATGGACTAATTCATATTTCAATTAATTTTTTTTCACTCCCACAAACAGCCACAGTTTCGGTGAACAATTCTCATTGAAGAAATGGGCACGAGAAATTGCTGGGCAGCGTGAGATTTTATCCGCATATGGTGGTGTTAAGCAAGCTGACATTCGCGGCATGAGAGCGCCTTTCTTGTCGATTGGCGGTAATAAAATGTTCAAGATGTTACACGACTTTAACTTTACCTACGATTCATCAATGCCGGTCTATGAAAACCGACCACCAAGTTGGCCTTATACTTTGGATTATCGCATTTTCCACGATTGCATGATCCCGCCTTGTCCAACGAAGAGTTATCCGGGTGTGTGGGAAGTTCCTATGGTGATGTGGCAGGATTTGAACGGTGGACGTTGTTCAATGGGAGATGCATGTTCCAATCCAGCAGATGCCGATGGCGTTTACAAGATGATCATGAAGAACTTTGAACGTCACTACACGACCAATCGAGCTCCATTCGGCTTGTACTATCATGCAGCATGGTTCACTCAACCACATCATAAAGAAGGCTTCATCAACTTCCTTGACGCAATCAATGAAATGCGCGATGTTTACATCGTCACAAACTGGCAGGCTCTTCAATGGGTCCGAGATCCTACACCAATGTCAAGAATAAATTCATTCCAGCCATTCCAGTGTAATTATCAGGTAACATGCTTAACGTTTTACTTTTGAGTGTGAATAAAACAATTAAAAAATTATTTAACAACCCAAAATAGGATCGTCCAAAAAGATGCAATAACGCGAAAGTCTGCAATCTTTGGCATAAGTCTGGTGTGCGATACATGCGCACATGTCAGCCGTGCCCTGAAATCTACCCTTGGACCGGTAAATCCGGAATTCGTTCATCACGAATCGACAATGATCTTGAAGTGGTGGAGAGTACTTAAGTGACTACCGTTGTATTGTAAAATTATCAACTTTATTTATTTCTTTAATTCATCTTTCATCATAATCAACAGCAATAGTTTTTTTTATAATTTCGTTCACATTCGAGATTAGAAAAATCAAAAATTATCAAAAGAAAGTTCATCTCCTTAGTTAGTTAAGTTTCATTTTCAAAATTTTCCTACAACACCTTAATAAGCTTTAAGCAGCGTGATTAACAGTGAGCGCATGTGTTACTCCAATTATTCACCCAGAATGAATTTATAGATAATTAAGGCTGTTTATGCGAGTTTGCAGTTCTTAAACGCATCTCTTGAACATTTAAATATATTTAATTAAGTAAAGAACTGCTGTAAATTCGATGAATATTAGATGAAAAAAATTTTTTGAAGATCATTTGAAGCCATTTTTGAGTTGGCAATTTCGATTATAAAAAAATTATATTAACTTTAAAAGAAGACTTGAAAGATTGCTTGAAAACATTCGATCAGCATGAAATTTTAAATAAAAAAGAAGCATTTCGCGTGTGCTGAGTAACGAAATGAATGCCATATTTACCAAGCCGTGCACAAAAAAAAATGAGAAAAAAAATATTTTCGTGGTTACATGAATTGAAGCTGATCGAACGATAAGCACCGTTGACAAGATGTCCAATACGCATCGTATAATGTCGCAACAATGTTCATTCATCATAACATATCACTGCCATTCTGATTTTATTTAAAGCAATTTTTACTTTTTCCCACATTCTTACAAGTAATGCGCGATGTGATGCGTTGCATATTTTGTCAACGGGGAGTCGATAGCTTAAGAAATTGAATAAAGAAAGAAGCTTAATTGTTTTTTCTTCTTTGAATTTATGAAATTCATACTTAAGCTCCATAATTATTTTTAAACCTTTTACTTTAAAAAGTCGCTTTGTAAATATTTTTTTTCTTTAATACTCTTTAAAACTTTTGTTTTTTTTTTCTATCAAATTTTACTCTTCACAAATCAACGATCTGTCACCCATTTAGAATTTAAATCATAAACGAAAACATTTGTGATGAACAATCAATCATGATCGATTATGTAAAATAAAGGAAAGTTAGCCGTACAATTGTAATAAATAAAAAATTGAACATGAAATAAAATAAATAAAATAAAAGTTTCTTTTAATCGTATAATTAATTTTCGCTTTCCAGAGACGATCTTGCACCACTCCTTAATTTGACGAATATTCAATGTCGACTTCTGCTATTTCTCCATAAATTTCAGTCCAATTAACTGTTTCTTCTCTTATTGGACATGAAATGTGATTAACAGAAATCTTCTTACGATGTGACTTATTAAACACTTGGCTACTCAAGATTGATATTAAAAACAACGAAATGAATGAGAGAAATAAAATTAAAAAGGAATGTAAGGCAGCAAGTAGGTTTTTGAAAGCAGCACACCCTTAAATATGAATGCATTGATAATTAATTTTTACAACCTTGCAACAATTTAATATTATCTTTATATAATTCACACTTATTCAGTTGCAATTCAATATCAACAACAGCATAAGAATTATGTAAGAACTGGCAAAAACAATCATACCGTTATGTAAAATGGCATTCCAATCCTTTTTACAATTAAATAATAATGAGAAAAGAAAACAAAAACCTCCCATGAGAATGGAGTTCATGAAAATTGATCCAATTTAATATTCATTCAGGTAGCTTTTACCAAAAGGTGAATCTCTTGGCCTTGAAGCAATGATGTAATGAGTGACAATTGTTGAATTGCCTCAAGAGAGCCTTGAAAAGTTTTTATCCTTCTAACGAAATCTTTTTCTTTCTTTCCGTTCTTCTCCGCCCACTCATAGCTTTCATTTCAAAACATTAACACTAAATTTTACCCAGAATAAAGAAGTAGAGCAGACTAAATGTCGATTTATTGCACTAAACAACTGTGGAAAGTCTCAAAAAGTCCAAATAATTGCACGACTTTTTTATCATCCTTTTTTGTATGACTAAATAAGGAAAGAAAAGCAAAACTTTCTTAAAAAAGTCATTTAACAATACCTTGAACCATTTAGGTTTAATATTTGGAGCATAAAATATTTTATTCTATGTTTTATGATTTGTTTTTCTTATTTATGATTTGCAATATTTATGAAGCTTTTATGTCTCTTCTTACGGTCACGAATGTTTGCTGTCTTCAATTTACCTGACCAGACATAAAAGCAATAAAAATATTTTGTGTTGGTCGAGAAAGTTTCTCCTTTTACTAAATTGAAAAGATCACAGCACGATATTCTACCAAATTAAGATGGACAATGGATAGGTGGTGGTGGGATCGGATAATGATAATCCGACATAATCCTATTTGTTGTTTATTGTCTAAATATTTGACCCTTCAATAATTGTCATTCATAAGAATGTGTTTCGAGGAGCTTTGAGGATGAAAGGTTCATTAATGAAGACTTTCCTGAATTTATAGATGGTCAAAGGTTAAAAAGGGAATTTCTTTTCATTTTTTGTTTCCTAGTAAAAATTTTCTATTAAACTTTACTATTCAAATTGATAGTTTCGAATTCTGATGGAAATATCACTACAAGCATTTGAAATTTGTCATTTTTCTTGTGGAAATCTTACCAAAATTTTTTGTTTAAAACTCATTAAAAAGTAAAGAAAATGCAACTCAACCCTCTTCAAATCAAAGATAAAATCAAAGCAACACATTGCAGCATAGTCAAGTTGCATCAGCATCATCAATAAAATTCACAATTAAATCTCATTCTGATTGTTTCATTCTGATTCATTCTAAATGATTTCATCCTGAAATATTCTGCCATTATGTACAGAACATAAAAAAAATTGTTAAACTTTCCAAAGGTCTAATAAAACAAAATTTTGCACCAACAATTATTGGAATTTATTTTTGCGCTGTCCTTTGGTGACAATAAAAACAAATACAATTTTAAAAATTGTCTCAAAACTGTAAATAATCTAATTATAACTAAAGGAAAAAGGACGAAACATGTTAGTTGTTGTCCGATTCTAAAGCAGTGAAGATCATTTAAAAGTTTAAGGAAAAATATTTTGGAATTCTTTTTGGATTAAATCTTAGTTTGGTCATGGCGTCGTCAGTTTATCAAGATTCGAGAAGTAAGTTTGGCTTAATGAAATTATAATTAATTAATGAAATATTTAATTAATTTATTTTCTTGATTATTCATTAGCATCTGAAGTCACAAAAATTACCACGCATCGGGATAATTACTCAGAACTTCCGCCTGTTGATCATCATGCACCATTGTATTCATATTTCAGTCAAGCGTCGCCATTACCATTGTTGACTTCACAGTTCTTAGCTCAACAAACGTTGATGTCGGCATGGCCTTTTCATCCAGCTCTCATGTCTACTTGGCCCTTTACAACTCCAATGCCATACGTAAGCCCCAACACTTCCTATCCAGCGTCAACTCGAATCACAGAATCAATTAACAATAATTACACGTTCATTGATAACAATCATGATAGTGACTTTAAGAACGAGACGAAAATATCAAGTTATTCACCTTTTTCTGGTTCAATGTCGCCGGCATCGCAAATAAATGACTCCGTGGAGATTAAGAAATTGATCGTGAAAAAAGATTCGGTGAAGCCAAAAGTGTTCGAGTGCAAAGTTTGTGGTAAAACCTTCAGCTATAAACACGTTCTTCAAAACCATGATAAAGTTCACACGGGAGAGAAGTCTTATCGTTGCTCCAAATGTAATAAATGCTTCCGACGAGACCATCACCTTAAAGTTCACATGCGACTTCACTCAGGTGAAAAACCTTACAGTTGCACTTTCCCATTGTGTGATCGTCAATTTGTTCAAGTTGCAAATCTTCGTCGGCATTTAAAGACTCACGAACATGCAACAAACTTGAAAATTCACCAAAAATTTCTACAAAATGACGAAGTCGTTTGTGAACAATCGTGTCGATCTGAATCAAGTGAAGATTGTTTAGATTTAAGAAAGTCTACGATCATTGTCAACGACATAAATCATCAGTTAAGTTCATCAATGGAATACGAAAGTCCAGAACAATCTGAACCTGAAGATTTATCTTTTAAGTCTTATTCAAGAGGATAAAAATGAACAATCGAATTAAAATGTAAATAATTTAAGTCACAACATCTATCAGTTTGTAAATGTAAATATTTAAATATTAGAAGTGAATTTATTGCCATAAGTTTTTGTTGTAGTGAAATAACAAAGTCAATTAATCTGGTTGCTTATCGCATTGGTCAATGAATAAAATGGAACAAAAAAGTAAATAAAAATTTACATTCATATCAGTTGAATTGTTAAAGAATTAAGCTAAACGGCAATCGTTGCATAAATCAGCATTAATTTTGACATGTGTTGAGAATTTATAATTTATTTATTTAGGAAAACAACAAGCATTGAGTTACTGCACTAAGTTTAAATTTATGGTCAACTTCTCTGTTGTCATTGCATAAGTAAACTACATCGATTTTAATGTTTAATTGCAACATCAGGAAGAAGTCTACATGATACTCATAACTTGATTTCCATCAGCAGTACAGGTGGAAAAATAATAAAATAAAAAATATTTAACGTTTCGAAAAGAACAAAGGACGGGCGATGAACTTTAATAGATGCTTGTAAGATCATAAATGTTAAAAATCGTCTGTCGTAACGTCATATCGAGTGAGTTGAGACTTTAATTTGCCTCACAATAGATTCGAGGTGACTTGAAACAAAAGCACAAGTGTTGTTGCTACTGCAAACGTCCTTGAATGCTTTAATGGATGTTTGTGAAAGGAATTCACCAAAACTGCAGGGAATTTTCGATTTTTGGTATCATTCCGACAGTTAACAATCGTTGGACAAGTGATAATTGTTGTTGCCAAAAGTGTTTTTACTCACAGCCCATACTTAAATGATCCAATTTGTGAGATTTCTCGACACACAACTAACGTGTGAATGAATGAACCGTTAAGACAATCAGAGCATTGCTTCGCGTGGTCTTCTGACATCGTCTGAACTTGATGTTGATTGATCTCGTTCAGTTTCGATCCAACATTACTTTCAATGGACAACAATGAGATGATTGGTAAAGTGAAGAATCAGTTTCTCCTTCACAAATATCACTTTCATAGGTTCTTCTTTGATCTGATCATAAATCATGATTGAAGAGGTGTCCGAAGTGAATAATTTCTTCTTGAATAGGATGAACTTTCGTGACATTTCAAGTTCAAAAATGAAATTGATATTCAAAGCACATGTTAAGTAGAGTGGAGAAAGACAAACATCGAGAAACATTAAACGAATTTTTCTTATGTTGCTGTTCAGTATCAGAACAGAACGAAGGTCGATCATGTGCAACATCGTTAAATTTATTCCAGATTCAATTTCCATATGCCTTTCTTAATCACATTTTCAATTAATGTATCGTTGATTTTAGTATGTTCGAAAGGAAATCACGATGTTTACATCTTGTAGAATGAATTGAAGGTGATTTGTTGCTGAAAGCATCTTAAAGACGAACGACATAAATGCGAGTTCCGTGCATTACTTGTTTTGGATGACGTTTGTTGATGATCTTCTGGTTCACGATTTAAAATTCAAATCGAATTATTCTTAACATTGCTAAGCTCCTCTAAGCCATTGTCATTAAAATTAAAACTCTTGCAAATTTTTTTTTAACTGCCTTCTCGACACTTAAAATTTTATGCTTCCATTACTTAATCTTCCAACACTTTTAGACGTTCTCTTCGTTTTATTTCATCTTCATTAAATAATTAATGATAAATACAATTAGCAGTTATCTTTAAATATCCTTCCAATGATTAAACGAATACAACATTAAGCTCGACAAAAAAAGGGAGAAAAAAATCAATGAGATTGTTTACACACATTTTTTATTTAAAGCTGTTTTAATTATTGTTTAATGTCAATAAATAATGATCATTGAACAACATAAATACATTTATTAACCATTAATATAGAAAGCGATTGTTTGATGGTCAATTCAAGTCCTTCAATTAGATTCATATGACGCAAATCTCTTAAATTTGAAATTATTCCTATGCTTATGGAATAATTTAAAGCTCAGCAGTTTGAGAGCCAGCAGGTGAACATGATTTTCACGCAACAATAAAAATTTCTCAAATATTTTAATGAATCAAAGGAATGTCGAACTTAAAGTTTACGATCTTCGACATCTTGAAACAACAATAAGCTATTAAAGTGCAAAATCTGACATGTTCACGAAGCTTCTTCATCATCACCTCAACATGTGTGCCAAATATTTATTTAACGACACTTAACAATGCCTCGTGATCACTAAAGAAGTGTTCAAATCTGTTCAAAGGTGCATGTGAAAATGCTAGAAGGAAGTTCATCAAAAGAAAGAGACTGGCAGGGAATCATAATGAGACATTACCAGGTCGTAGATGCTCTGATTGCGTAACTTTCTTCGATGATTCGAATTCAAAGACATTCGGTTAAGTCGAAAGACAAACTTTTGAAAGTTTCTTTTGTTCCGCGAAATTGGATCACGATTTGGAGATTCGGTGATTCAATAAAGCGTTTTCGCAATTACTTTTGAGACTTGAAGTGTGTTGTGTGGTTGCGTTAATTATTTTCCGCATCGCTTTCTTTCAACCGTTGACAACGACAAGGTCTTGAAGGTCTCTCGTGGGATAATCAAATGACGTAAGGGAAGCAATTCGATCTTGGGCATGGCCACATTCTCTTCTCTCATAAACAATGTTTCTTCTCGAGGATTTGCAACCTTGAATAGCATGGACATGATGCGATCATTTCCACTCGTCTGTGACGTTAACATGAGACACACGTTTATCAGGTTTTCGCTATAAAATGTTCCGCAGTGAGAGTTGGACATTGCATCTGATTTCTATTTTTTTATTGTGAATTTTCATGTCGTTGCAACGAGTTTCACCTTGAATTGTTCGATGCTGAATGCTGAATGTTGTTCATCCTAAACTAGACATCATGTTGGCTCACTAATGACTCAATGAATTATCTCGTGAACTTTCATGCCAATAAAGAACGTTTTAAAGCAGGAAACATCAAGGCGGGGAATAATTCCCAAGCGATCAATGGTACTAAGTAGCAATCAATTTGCTATGCTTCATACCAACAATGTAAGTACTCTGATCAATGTTGAATTAATTTATGAATCCATTTATGCTGTCGGTTTTCGTTGATTCAATCACGCATTGAATGTTCACGATCTTCATTCGATCTGAAACTTGCATTAATTTCACTTTTATCTGTTCGAGGTTGCTGAGCAATCTTTTATGCGGTTAGTTCAATAAACTTTGTTTTCATGCAAGTTTTTGTTTTCGTGATCAGTCGGATCATAAATGTTTTTCGCATATATTAAAAACAATCGGAGGAATGTGTAATATATTAATAATGGAAGTAAAGAAGTTGAATAACAGCTGATAAGTAATCCAATTAACTTCTTTTTTAACCATGGAGAAACTCATTTGTCTTGTTAACAAAGTGAACATAATTTGTAGCGTTTCCATTTTATTGCTTTCTTCTACCCTGTTTTGTAAACAGCTTAATTAATATTTTTGAATATCAAATTTAGGCATTCATTTCTTATCACCAAATATCTTCCTCTTTGTGAATATTTTGCTGAAATTTAATTCTCTTTTACTTTATCTTCCGACAAAACAACATTTTATTCGAATCATTAGCATAGAAATGGTGCAAAAATATGATAATGGTCACAAACGGTCATAAAATAAAGATATAAATGGAACGAAATATTTTATCCTACCTACATTCAATTTAATTCCATATATCACGTTTAGGTGTTCGATATCATAGTCATTAAATTTATTTTCATCCTCAATCAAATAAGATTAAAAATTTTATATGAAACTATGAAGAGTTATTAAAATTTTCCATTACAATAAATCACAAAGTCATCACGCGAATGAGTAATACGAAGTAGTGATAAGCAAACTAATATTATCTTTGTAATACTTAAAGCCGCGCATCTAATAAGTGTAGAAATTCAAATGTAAACTCACACTAACGACTGCTATAATAAAATAACTTCAACGATTGATGATAAGGCTCGGAGACTTTTAAATATTCTCTCTCATTAAATGAAAAAGTTTCTGTTTGTGTAGCTCAGTTGATAATTAAAATTCATTCTTATTAAGTGAAGAATCGATGTCGAAGAGGCGTAGATTTTGAAAATGAAATTATACAACAACAGGAATATCATTTGACTCATTTTAAACGAGAATGTCTTCGTAACACTCATTCAGTCTAACTTTATCTTCTCAAAGAGAAAGAATGAAATTTTCAAAGAAGGAAAATTCATCTGATACACGATTGGCTTTAAAGCTATCGTCACTTGTGATTCTTTTGACATTATGCTACTCGATGGTGTCAACATTACTTCCGGTAGTTAAAGTTACAATTCCTGATGGGTGCGCTACAGCATGCCCGCCTCAAAACAACCCTGAAAGATTTATCTGCGCTCGAAGTCGACACACTGGTCGTCTGGGAATGTTCGACAGCGAATGCTTTTTTGGTCGATATAATCATTGTGTTCGCGTAAATGAGCGTAAGTAGCGATGAATAATCGTAATAAAGATCGATTAAACTCGAGGTCAAATGTCATTTTAAATGTTTCAGGCTACGATTTCGTACGATATGGAGTTTGTCACAGCACCGACTTCTGATGAAATTCGAGCATTCAAAATGTATACAAAATGGGACTTGTCACAGCTGTCAGTAAATGTTTATTTCATATGCCAAGAATTCTCTGAATGGATCAAGAAGAATCACTCGAATTACTTTTCAGAAGTTTCACTGTAAAAAGAATCAACTTTGATGATTTCTCTCGAACATCTCACAAAGTTTGATAAGAAAAGTCTTCAATTGAGTTGCAGAAACTTGTCATATTTTGTTCACTTAATCTTTATTCTTTATCAATCAAGACGTCATCGAATAAATAAAATTTATTGCTTAACAAAAATTTATAAAAAATAATTTTCTTTCGTTTTAAATTTTCTTATTTATAAAAACGATAACATGAACTTTTTGGAATATTCGTAGACTAAGAAAAGTACGGCAGTGGCTGGAATAGTTCTACAAATTGTTGGTGTTAATCCATTGTATAAGCTCAGGAATCCTTCCTTTCTAAATATATCAATGCCAACACTAAACATTGAGGCTGAAATGCCTTGAACTTGAACTCGACTTTTAATAACGTCAGCTGGGAAGATTGCAGTCCAAAGTGAAGCACCGCCCACAGCCCCAGCGATCCTTTAAAGTCAATCAATAATTATAATAAAAATTGGGTCATAAAATATATTCAAATTTACATTGTTTTGACAGCCCCAATGTCGTCTTTCGATTGTCCAGGCCTGAATGGTTAAAAGAAATTAAAGCAAACTGTTTAAGCAATAAAAATTGAAATTTACTTCGCTAAAAGATCTCTCGTCAGTTCATAACCACCAAAGAAGAAGAAATATCCCGGCATTTCTCTTGCAAATGTGGGCGTGAGACCACGAAACATTCCCTTAATTCCTTCAGTCTTAAGAATTTGTTTTGTCAACTGATAAGGCGTCGTTCTTGTCGTTTGTTTCATCTCGTGAAGTGCTTGAAGCTTACATTTGATTAGTTCAGTTGGACAAAGCGTAAATGACGAGAAAAATGCTGCTAGAAAGCCTGCTGTTGCATTCCCAAGCAATGAAATGTCTTTGACATCAGTTTTACCTTCAAAACTTGTCGCTACAAACTTTTGACAAACGCCATAAGCTGAAAAAATATTCAAATTTCAATTGTCATCCCTGATTGTCCGCAATTAATTATCGTTTAAAAAAATTTATCAACAACATGCATAAATAAACACAAAAATAAACAGAGAAAATTCAAATAGGCAATGGGAGATGATGAGAAGTGAGAGAGAGAAAATAAACGCTGATGTTCAGTCTTCAATGTGTGCTGTCAAGATAAGTTCAACAGATAGACATCATAAATTACCATAAACAAAAAATATAAACTCATGAGAGTTGTGATACCTCAGTTGCTTTTCTGATCTCTACGTTTAAAGGCCTAACGCATCATAAAAATCATCCAATTAAAATGACCTTGAAAGTTTTCTTTTTTATTCCGCTTTTATTAGCGATCGTGTCAATGTGCTTTGCTGTGGAAAAAGTTGCAATTCCCGATGAATGTGCGCAGTCTTGTCCACCTACAGGCCAACAACTATGTGCAAAAAACACCGTAACACAACAGTTGGGAGTATTTGACAGCGATTGTATATTTGGACGATATAACAGCTGCACTAAGATAGCTCAAAGTATGTATCAACTTGATATCTGCTCATTTTCGAAACGATAAAGTTTCAACGACTTTTTTACATTGCAGAATATGAGTTTGTTCGTTATGGTGACTGCTCAACAGACAACGTTTGACAACGATCAGCTAAGCTTTGTTCAATGTTGAACGGCAACATTGTATGAAATTTGTTTTGTCATATTTACAATTACATTCATTATCAAACATAATGCCCTTGTAAGCTCAAAAATAAATATAAATAAAAACTTTGATCTTACCAGCAAACAAAACTGAGTTTTCAGCAACATTTGCAGCAACCGCGGGAATAGTTCCAGCATAAAGACCTCTTGCAATACCGTCACGTTTAAAAGTTTTAACAAGACAGTCGATCATTCCTTTGTACAGATGTGGAAATGTTTGCATTTTTACCTTGACTGTATCCAGAGGTTGGGCAGCATAAACACCTGCCACACCACCTACACAAATAAACATATTTGATAGAATTAGGTCAAAACTTATTAGTTGTCTTAATTACTGGGAAATATTAGTGATTTTTACGATTGAGATAAGAAACTTTGTGAGGTCAAGTTGAAGGCTTGTTCTAACTAACAAACAAACAAATTCATTTGTAAATAAATAATATCTCGAAAACATTTTATGAAAACTTGATAAGAGTAAGTTGTTGACGTAATTCAAGTAAGCACGTGCTATGATTAACATTAAATACTCACCTAACGATCCACCAGTAAAATCAACAAGCCCATGAATGAAGCTTTGTTCGGTGTTTGCGCCATGCATTCTTCTGTTGATTTTTTCTTTCAATTTCCTTTCCTATGTTATTTTGTAAAAATAAATATTTATGATTTCTGACAAGTACTACTCAGCGTTCAACTGATTTCTTCACTTGTTTAAAATCAACTGAGAAATCTCTCATCCTCGCCACTTATCAGATAATTCTCAACAAAAGAATTTTTGTTTGAAAACCAGACATTAAATGACGACACAAGACTTTTTGAATGAGATTAGAATATTTAGCATAAATATTTTCTTCTTTTTGCTTGATAAATTTAAAATTTCTTCTTATCTATTGTGTAGGTCATGAATAAATCAATGAAATCTATCACAGCACATTTTATTTTTATGATTTCATGTGCATATTTAATTAATTTTATTTACTTATATATTTCAATAGACTGCCACGTTATTATGATCAAATATAAACTGCACATACTTGCGCAATACAAGTATGTTAAAATTACGATGATAACATTATTAATATTCACACATTCACGTGCCAGCAGATAAATGTAAACAACACGACTCACATGAATTAAAACACTTATTACCAACTAACACGAATGATAAGTTGCTTTCACTTTTGTGAAATTAAGTGAACAAATTAGAAAATATAAAAATTATTAACAAATAAAGTTCAAACAAATAATAATTTGAAGCTTAAAAATATTTAAAAAATATTCTTAGGTAAATCGATGTTTACTTTTTGAGAATGTTCTCAAGAATTTCATTTGTGACTGACTGACAGAATTTTAAATATTTCGACCGTTTATTTTCTTATCATTTCTGTAATATCAAGAAATTTTATTTCCTTTTTCAAAAGCTAACTTTCGCATTAAGAATTTACATTAATAACACATTTTAAATATTCTCAAGTATTCATTATTGATTATTAAACTGCATTAAATTGTGCTGTAAATGTTCAGAAAAACATTCAATGTCATACATTTGTTTCTTATTTTATATCACGTTATGGAATTTAATATCGAGCACTTTTAATTTCGTTTTATATTAAAAGAAAAACATAAAGCGAATGTTTATACAAGCATTGCATAAGATAAAATTGAACTAAAATAAAATGATTTTTTTCCTACCTAGCAAATCTTGAGCTGCGCAAAATATTTTTGTTACATTTGGAAAACACTCGAAAGTATGAATGAGGGAAAAACAATCTTGAACAGTTATGTGACCGCAGTTAAATGCTTTTAATTTTTTGTGTTACAATGTTCGTTCTGTTTCCTTATTGTTGCTACAATTTCTTAAGTTGATATCTATGCTGGTCTTGAGCAATTCGACTGCTCATAAAGCACGTTCGACTGTGGTCTTAGCATCAATAACATATTTATTTCTNTTGCTTTTTTTTTTGAATAAATGATTTACTCTGATTTTTATGTTTTTCATTTTGCAATCGTAATACTTAGCAACTTCTTTGAAAATCTTCCACATGACATTTTGTAAGTTTAATTTAATTGAAGAGGAAAAATACCACGAAAAGATTTTTCATCACAGAACCTGCTGCTTAATACTCTTATAAGGCATTGCGAGCACTAATAAAGTTAATAAAAATAATTTTGTGCTCGTAACAAACTTAATTTAACAAGCACATTTGCAAAACTTTTTTCAAGTAGCTCGTGTTGGACATTTTGCAGATTGATGCATAAAAGTCGCACAATTATTAATTTATTTTATTTATAATTTTTTCTCTAAATTCCGTTTATTTAATTCATTAAATTTTTTCATCACCAACCTGACGTTGCTAGCAAAAAGGCTGCAAAAAGGTAAATTAATCCACTTGGTGACCTCATTTCTGCAGCTTGCTGTCAATTTTTCGTTTCAATGAACTTTTTATTTTGCTCACTTTTCTTGTTTCTATTTCGATCACTTTTTCTTCTTTTGATATAATAATAATATTGAAGTAAAATAGCACAAAGACTCAACATAAATTTTCACTTTCTTGCTTTAGATTTTTCTTTCATTAAATTTCCTTTATTTTTCTCATAAGCTTTGGACTTTCTTTTCAACACTTTAAAAAATATTTTATAGCTTTTTTGATTTCTTCCTTCTTTTATTTACAATTTCTTCTAATCGAATCTAAATTTTTCTTCCTTATGTTCTGGCAAGAATTTCTTTTACTTCTTAAAGTTGAAGCGCTCTGTCATGTACTTCGCGATCGCGCAAGCACTCCAATTCAACTAAATCAACTTTTACGAAATAAAAAGCTAAATGTTCGAGTTAAAGTGAATGCCAACGATCGTGAGTGGAAAAAATAAATATTTACCACTCCTGATTGAACAACATAAAAAAAAGAATATGCAACACTAAAAATCTATGCGAGAGAAAATCAGCTGAGTAAGCTTTGTAAGTGTTAGTGCTTATAGCAAAACATCAACTTTCAATGGTTTTCAAGCTTTCAATGTTTCATGATCGAATGTTTTCGCATTTGTTGAATGTTTCAAATGCAACATTAATCTTCCCCATTGAACAGTAACATGAGCAGCTTCCGAGACAAACAAAAGTGTTTTTGACCTTAAAAAAAGAATCTCAGAAAAATAAAGCTTTTATTGTTAAACACAAAACTCATCCGAATTCATTGTGCAATTAAAGAAAAAATGAATTTCCGCGTCAACACTTTAGAGATGTTGAACGCGACTAATTAAGGAAGATCTCATAAATCATTTTAGCTATTCATGATTTTTCACGCAGTGTTTTGTTACTTTTCTACATGTGGTGATGAGAATTAATTTTTAGGAGCAGACATGAGACATAATATTTATTATTCAGGCTTTGTTGGTCTGTAAAAAAATATTAGAACAATTAAAACAATACACAACATAACTCAATCCTTTACTAATTTTTAATTTATATTTATGAGTTGAGAATGACTTGAAAAAAAAAATTCTAATTACATATTTACAAAAATTATTGATCGCTTGTTGTTAATGTTAATTGTTTCTGACAACCGTCATCGTATCTGAAAATATTTCTTTTGTCAGTAAATATTCAGAGGCAGAAAAATATAGGATCAGTTAATGTTAACCTTTTAAATCTTGTTTCTTAGTAGAATGTCTGGTTTTTAAGAACTTTTTGATTATGTTCGGGAACAGCAGATAATCAATCAAACGCGATCAAACGGTTTCAACAATCTAGTCGCCATGCAAGACAAATGGCTGAATTAATTAAGCTTAAAATTGTGTTCTTAGATTTGTTTTTAAAGTTTTGCCAAAGTTCTTATGTAGCTTGATATGATGTGACGCCACATTTATGCAGATTAACTGTAACGACGATTAAACCGGAATTGAAAAATGATAATTTGTCGAACAATTGTTACAACAACGTTTTGATCATGATTTATTGCAAATAAATTATTTGCGTTTAATTCGAATTATGGAGGATGATTGTTAACACTTCATTGTTTTGTTAAAATATCGAATGAAATGTTCTACCTACAATGATATTGTTTCAGACTTCTGGCACAATTGAGTGATTTTTTCCTTCTAAGAAACAATATTTTTATGAAGCGTAGGTTTGTGAAGTAACATTCAATATTTGCAGATCCGTGATATTGAGCTTTGATCTGATTTAATATAAATTAACCGGAAAGCAGCTCTAATATCGAATCTAATATGGCTGATAAAAGGAAAAAAACAAGTCAATCGAATTATATTAATGAACTTTAATATTCAACGGTAGATGATTAAAATAAAAGATTCATTAAATCTATCTTTTCAAATAGAATAAAAATTTGAATCTAATGAAGCAACTTGAGACTTGAACTTCAATTAAGAGTCTTCACGAAGTGTTTTAGTAAAGACTTTTGCGCTTATTATGGTCACGAGAAGAGTATGAAAATCAATAATTTCAATAAACACCCACACTCAAAATATATTTAAGTAAGCTGTGAAACGAAAAAAAAAATTTTGCATGAAAACATGACTGCAAATGTCAGCTTTGTTTCATGAATATATATCAATCGATAGTTTCTCAATTGGCTTCTAACTGTTTAAAAACAGTCACTTTTAATTTCGTTTTATATTAAAAGAAAAACATAAAGCGAATGTTTAAACAAGCATTGCATAAGATAAAATTGAACTAAAATAAAATGATTTTTTTCCTAGCAAATCTTGAGCTGCGCAAAATATTTTTGTTACATTTGGAAAACACTCGAAAGTATGAATGAGGGAAAAACAATCTTGAACAGTTATGTGACCGCAGTTAAATGCTTTTAATTTTTTGTGTTACAATGTTCGTTCTGTTTCCTTATTGTTGCTACAATTTCTTAAGTTGATATCTGTGCTGGTCTTGAGTAATTCGACTGCTCATAAAGCACGTTCGACTGTGGTCTTAGCAACAATAACATATTTATTTCTAGTAGTAATGAATGAAAAAGGTCAAATGGCAATCTTAATGTTGTGCTTTAATATCGTTCTGATAATAATAAAGTGGTGGGCATAGAAAGGTTTGGCACAACTTTAAGTATTTGCTGCATTCGATGCTGCTTGGCTTGAGTCGTTAAACGGCTTTTTGAAAATACAACATAAAAGTTTTGCACAATTTAATTGAATGTTTTCATTTGCGAATTGCGGCAGGCGCACGTGACACTCCTTTCTTTGATTACAAGTACGATCTGAAGCATGCTGAGTAAGTCTGGCGGTTTGAGTGATGATTTTAGATCAAATCCAAATTGTCTTCATAAATCACATTAATGTAGATCTGATTTCTGGTTCCGTGATAGATGAATGAATGGAAAAAGTTGTAACTTTCAAATGGTGACATTATGAGATGATCAAAACCAATTTGTTGATTGTAACTCAGTTAAGCGATTTAAATGTCAACTTTCAAAGAAGAATATTAACCGATCATTGATAAATAAATAAACGGAAATGCCACAACGTTGCTATTGTCATTGTTACTAAGAAACATTCAATGGTGGAGATTAAATAATTAAGATTTCTTTACTGAATGTGAGTGGATTGCAAAGATCTGACACCAAGAAATTCATTCGAATGTAGACGACTGATGTGATTTATCCCGGGAATGCAGCAACATGTAAAAAAAGTTTTGAAATTTCTCTTAAGTGAAGGCGGTGCTGATTTCAAGCTTTAACGAATTAGAGTGAAAGACTTAATTAAGTGCAGCTTTGAATGACAAGCAAAGTCAAGTTTGGAACTTTTGAAACACTTGAATGCTCGCAATGCGACTCTTTCGCGAGTTCACTACTCAAGCGAGCCTCACTCAGTTCGATGAAAGCTTCGACGATTTCTCTGCCAATTTTTCACATTGAACATTGAAATATCATCGCATGCCACAGATTTACATAACAAAATTTAGCTCAAATTAACGTCACAATCAAATTGCCGGTCTAAACGAATTGATTGCATGCAACTCGCAAATTCCAACACTCGGAAACTTCGGTAAAGTTGTAGAAACCAAAAAAAGCATTTTCGAATCACCACGAAACAAATGAGAAATTTCTTATACGCGAACGACCTTCGACGGCCTTGATGTGCTTGCCACAGTTGATTGAAAATTTATTTCATGTCGTAACTTATAAGTGACTTGGAAACAACGAAAAAACAGCACCAGATTCTGAAATATCTGATTTAATATCGCATTGCAATTGAAGCACACGTTTTGAAGTCGTGGCGATTACTTTTGCAATTCAAGTATCAAACAGTTTGATAAAAAAATCTATAAGCGAAATATCTTGACGAAGGTCACAAGAACTTGTGATTTCTATTGAATCTCGTTCATGTTCTCGTTCATTCGCGAATATTTAAATTGGCACCCGTAATAACAAATCAAGAATCTAATTTTAATTAAATAGCACACGGCACAGTCAATGTTTAGTGAACTTCAGAAGGATTGTCAAAGATAAGTTTGTGTAATATGGAATGAGAAACTCCCAACCGGAATCAGATCAAATCTCAACATATTGCGCACTCGTAAGTCTCATAAGAACTCCAACATTGTGACTTAAAATTAGATGTGGCTAGTTGAATGTATAAGGGAACAAAGCAAGGGAGACTTAGTCAGTTGTGACCTTCTCTGAATTTTATTCAACATGCAAGCGATCGCGTGGTTAATGTCTGCTCTAAATTCAATAAAAAATCTCGAACAAAAGAAGCTTTTAATGATTTATTTTCTTCTTCCACTACTCAACAAATCACTTTTCGTAATTGAAATCTGTCGAAGTTGAAGTAGGAAATCAAAAATGTTTCATAAACCACGCGAGTTCTGCCTTCATGACGTTTTTCGATATCTTGGCGATCTGATTTTGTACTCAAGTAGCATGAATATAACGAACTTCGATAGATCTGAGCATGCTGAGCATTATAGATACGATTAGTCGCAGATATGTACCTTGGAAACTAAGCGATGTTTGATCGATTGAGTTGGTCACGTTGAGAAAGTATCACGTCTGACCTTCACTGCATGGGTTGTAGAGCGAATATTATTTATCAGTAATTGCAGTCATAAATTCATGAAATGTTTATTGAATATTAACTTCTGGGCATTAATTTGAGTGCATCAAGAGATTCAATTTTCTCCGAAAGAGTTAAAAGCAAATCAAAAAAGATTCTTTGATGGCTTCAAAACATGAAAACCATAAATTAATAATTTAAAAGTGAAGTTTGCCATTTAAAATTACGAATCAAAATATGACTTCATGAGAACTATGCCTCGTTGACGTTGTGATGACTTGGTAGGTTAAAGTGTTTGCTTCTTTCTGACAATCGCTTTATTATCACTTTACAAATAAGATTTGAAAGCGTTGAACATTTATTATAAAAATTATTTGCATGTCACTTCGCTTTTGAATATAATCAAAAGCAATAAAGCTTCATTAGCATATATTTGATGGTGAATCTAAACAATAAATAAATATCGTCACATAAATTAATGACTCGCATAAAACACATCAAACGTCTATCATATCAAATTTGTTTCACTTCAAGAAACAAAAGTGAAGCAGAATCAAAGAGAAATTTTTTGTCAAGCACATTTAAAAGTTAATTCAACACAGAAATGTTATGTAAGGCTTAGTGACATGAAATTTATTTTCAAAAAGAAGAAAATTTAAATATTTAAAAAAATTTGTAGCGAAAATTGGCGGAATTATGTAAAAGTGCGACAGCGATCAATGACAAACTGGGACAGTTCGTGTCATCATGAAATGGAAATCAATCCTCGTAAATTTATTAAAAACAAAGAAAAAAGTTATTAAGCTTAAATATCCCACCCTCGATTTCCTTGCTTGTTTCACTAACGCTTCTGTTCATGCGTGAACTAAACATTGAGTCAGCATAATGAAACTTCATGCGGTCAATGTTGAAACACAAATTTTTCTTAATAAAAGTATTTTTTAATTCTCTTCGGAAAGCGTAATTGAAAAGAGTGAGATGGATTCGGTTTTGATTATTCATGCATTTCTAAGCTTCGCACAACAACACCGTAAAAATTTGTTGTCATATTCACATTCGTGTTTCTTTTTGGACATTGAAACTCTTGCAACATGCACCAGTAAATAACATGCTGGTTGGTCCGCAGCTAATGAAAATGCCATGTAAACGATTCGACGATTTTTTTTTCCTTTTGAATTGACGGAATGTGTAAACATTTTTTTCTCTGTCTCTTTTGTGGACCTTACTTACATTGTAAATAATGATCTGAAAGATGAAAACTAACAAGCGACAAGCTGTTTGGAACGCGTGACAAATCTAATAAAATAACACCTCAGGCTTCCAATACGACACAAAAAGCATGCAAACAATCAAAATCCAATAACGTTCTGGATTGTTGACTGGAATTGCAAAATCTACTTATGTTTCAATTACCAAGACTCTGATTTGACTTCCATGGTCAATTAAGCTTCATTTTGTTTGATTTTGTAATCCGATCTTGTCGTTTTTCTTCAGTGAAGTCAAACTTACATTTCTTAAGAAGCGGAACGAAAGATTGTTTGATCTTCAACTTCTTTCTTTCATTATTGTTTCAGTTATTAAAGTGAAGAAAGAAAGAGCATGGCGACGGAATAATTAAAAAATGAATATTGCGTACGATGTCGAAGCAACTCTGACCTATCGTTATGAAATGTGTGATATTTAAGTTTCGCAGAGTCAAAGGTTAGATCTGACAAATTAATAACAAGATTCGTGACGGACAAATCAGAAGTTCAACAACCTCAAGTGTAATTCGCATGTCAGCATTTCATAATTGTCTTTCTTGACTCAATCTCGCGAAAAGTCATCAACAGTTGAAATGAAATTACATTTCTCTCAATATTTTGGACGTGTGAATGCATTTATGCTATGAATAACAATTAACTTCACTTTTCGTCTATCCAAATATGGAAAAGCTTTTCAATAACGAAAACGCAAATTCTTGTCTTTCTCTTTCATTACTAAATTAAGATAATTATCTCAACAAAAGCGCTTTTTATGTGTCTGATAATCTTAAACTAAATACGAATATTTATTGTAATTAATTTTTATGTCGAGAGTTACATAAATTAATTAAAATTTTTAATAAATTGGATCGATTTGTTGTGATGATTGAGGAAGTCGGCATTTGGTTTCATGCAATTAATGTTTTAAATTTAAATGCAAATAAATACTTGAAAAGATAATTGAAACAAGATTTTCTGAAGCTTAATTAATAATAAAGAAACTTGAAATTGTAAAGTAAATCGAAGATCAAATTAAAATTTCATCACTTTACAAACGCCCTTTTATGCTTTAATGTTACATCACTAATAGCGTCACTTTAATCTGTAATTTAATGTCTGAGATTGAGCATTTAGCCTTAATATGTGAAAGGGTTTTATGCAAATCGATCAATGTTGATAACTTAATATACATACAGAAGAAGTGAAGTCTTCATTGCAGCTTAAGGAAAGAAAATTATTAAAATAACATCAATTTGTTTGACGACAGTTAATTAACATCGCATCTCAATTTCATCGAAATTAAGTGTTTGTAAAGAAAAAAGCAACGTAAATATCTACTTAAGTGAATGTCATCATAAACAATTTTCAGAAGCATGATGAAATATGAATTTAATTGAATCGGAAAACGATAAAAAGAGTCTTGAGGATGGAAGATTACAGCTTTTATCTTATTTATGATTTATGATAAATTACAAGTGAGTAGAGTGAAGAGCGAAGAAAGAAACTTCAATGACTTTTTTCCTTATTTTTGCAGTTGATTTTATTTTTTTCTTTAGAAGGAAAACACTCATTAATTAACGGTTGTCATGATCGCAGTTCAACATAATTAAAATAGCCATAAACATTCGTCATGGATTTTTAATTGAAACCCATAATTTTGTGCAATGAGGAGAATATTGTTCCTTATTGATGCTTCAATGGTTATGGGACGAGATCGTGGTTTCATTTACCAACTTCACCTTCAAGATTGACGAGAAGAAGGTAAGTGATGCAGGTGAAAGGTAAAACCATTAGTTACTGATGGATGATGTCTTCATTTAAAACGAAGTTTAAGGTTTTGTTCAACCTGAAGCAATTTGAAAATAATTGATGGCTGTAATTCTTTAACTTTATGACAAAAAAGTGTAACTGCAATATCGAGTTATAATTTAATCGATTGCAAAGTTACTCACATAGATAAATCCAATTTTGTTTAATTTACTTTCCAGTTAGTATGCAAATTCCAATCATTTAAAAGCATGAGTAATATTTAAATCAAATCGAATATGTTCGTGTTTTTAAATGGACGCAAATAAGATCGAATTGTTGACGAAGTGAGTCACACTCGTTTACTTTTATTCTTGTATGATATTTGAATCAACATAGTGTGCCAGTAATGAAATGCGAGGGCATATATTTAGAAAAGTATGCTGTTGGCCTTTTAATGAACATTATCGAAATAACTATTGAACGAACTAACAACATGAAAAGTTATTAATGAATGAATGAATGATTGCAAAGTTTGCTTCGAATTCTGGCAGGCGGCACCTTCTCTTCGAGGTTCAATTTATTCATTCAATTAGTTCCACTGACCTTAAAATACGAACTCCATCCCCCGATAATTCAGACTAAGCCGCGACATTTATCAATGAAACTTCCATGGAAATTGTTTTTTCCTTTAGTTTCAGTTCCAATAATAATAATTTTTCATTATCAATAAATTATGTTGCGAAAGCAGCGAAGGGCAAGTTGAATGCAAAAATTTTCAGACACAACAGAATTTAAATTTAATATTATGTCGATCAGACTGAAGTCGGAGGTCGGGAAATGAACGATAATTAGCTTTTTGTGGGCATACTCGACAACAATCAGATCTTATTTGTACGCGACGATTGATTTATGTGCCCTATGACCCGATTTGATTATGATCTCCGCTTTTACGATGATGAGGTTTAAGCTCGATATAATATGGTTATTGAAACGCAAGGGAAAGAGAATATATGGAAATAATTTAACTTAAAACGTTATTCAATATGAGTTTGAATCAATAACCTTGTCAATAATTAAAGCAGCGAGATTTTTGAACTTTATTGAACTTTAAAGCGATGGTAATTAGAGTAAAGTTTCTTATGTCATTACGAATAATCAATGCAACTTTCTGAATTAAACGGAAATGGAAACAACGGCATTGAGTAAAGATTGACAGAATGAAAATCAATAAAAAGTTTTCTGGTGACGTTTTGTAAGTTCACTCGAGGAAGTTAAATTGACAAGATACAAGATTTTGTACATTTTTGCATAATTTTAATGTGTGTCACTTGAAGTGATCAAGGAAACAGAAATCAAGTTTCTCTGTGTTCATTCATCACCTACTTGCATTGATTTTAGATCTTCGTTAAAAATTGTTCAATCTTCCTACACTTCTGATCTTAAACAGATTAATGAATGAATGAATAATTTCTTGATTACACAACAATATAAATTACCTAGTTATGGATAAACACAGCGACAACCGAAAGAATAATTTCAATCAATGATAAATGACGTGATCACTTAACACTGCTTTTCATATTATGAGAGACAAGAAAGAAAAAAACTTTCAGCATTGATAACTTGCAGCGTGACGTGTTGCCTTAATTGACTTCCATCAATATTTGCAATCTGTTAATATGTATCATGTGCTAATAAGTACTTTCATTCACTTTCATTCAGTGTTTGATAAGTTGTTCTCAGGGTTTGCTTTGTCGTTCCATGGTTATGTTGAATTTGGTGCTCGGCTGTCTTTATATTTGTTGTGAAAATAATCTCTCTTTACTTATCCACATTAACGCTTTTAAAAGCAGTTAAAATATGCTACCGAATTGACCACAGGAAAGTTTTCTGTATAAACTGCATTCCTTTATCTGCTTGAGTGACCCACCAACAGCTTGCACATTCACTTAATCTAAATATGCTTTGTATTGAACTAATTAGTTGTCATATAATGTCGGATACTCTCACGTCTTACGAGACGGAAAATATTCATAAAAAAGAAAGAAAGAAAATTTAAATTCCGAGCTATAAATGTTGCAATATTGCGCAATCATTAATTAAAGGTAGCAAAAGTGAAATGCTACTAGGGAGCTGCAAGAAACAATGGACTCGACCACAAAAATCCTTAATTAAAAAAACGATATTGGAGAAAAGTAATTGAACATTTTTTTCCTTGTTGTAATAACGACATCAACAACAAAAAAAGTAGAATAAGCTTGTTGGTGATCGACCTTTTAAGCGACATTATGACATAAAACATGATTTTTTGTTTTGTTTGAAAACATTTAATAAAAAGTTTAATTAAAGTTGTTTGCTGACCAAATTAAAAACATTAAAATTGTTTTAGTCGGCAGTTTGGTTGAGTGACAAAAGCGATCTGATCATGTCTCGCTTGTATTGCCTGAAAACTTTTGCAAGAAGTTTCTGTTATAATTAATTGATGTTATCAAGAGATAAATTCACCATAAAATTGTTAAGCAGATTATTTCTTTTCCATTTTCGATTATAAAAGAAAATTAATGGGAACTCTCTTAAGTGTGTAATTTTATGAAACGATCGAGATTTGCATAAGAATTTAAATCAAGTGACGAGTCAACAATTGGAATTTTAAACGCGACGTGCACTCCTTTTTATCTCTCGCCTTAACTTTATTTTATAAACAATTTATTTTTGTCATTCGATATTCTGGAAATAATAAATTTTCCAGTTTCTCATAATTGAAACATTTGTTTTCATATTAGCATCACTCATGGACGTGAAGCGTCATAAGAAAAAAAGTTTTGCATAAAAATGTGTCGACACAGTAACGAACTATTAAATAAAGTTTTAAATCACCTGTTCAACTTTTTTTCTCTCTTCGCAACTACTGTTGGCTTTTGCTCGCATTTGTTCTCCTTTCAAATTTATTTTCGTTGCCGACATTCGTAAATTAACCGGCGAGTGCATAATAACATGCATGCAAATAAAATTCAATTGAAAACACTTCATTAAGCGTTGAGTTTACAATTTATTTCATAATAAGTGAAACTGCTTTTTGTTATCTTAGTTTCGTTGAACTAATTAAAATATTTTAATTTTTCTAAATGAAGTCATGCAATTGAAGATTGATAGACTTCAATTAAATCTTCGTCCTTTCATATCCGCCCACAACACGCTATTCATTATTTTATATTAAAAGACGTTCAATATCTCACGAATGTATAAAATTTCTACATCAAATGTATTATCTGGAATTTCTTGTTTGACACAATGATTACTCACAAGTTGTAAGAGAAATAAAATTGAAATTTAATTAAATAGATAATTTAAAATATTTGACGTGCACGTAAAAGTAATTTATAACAATAAGTAGAAGTTTGTGCCGTAAACATTTGTCATAAAATGAATTTATGTGTTATATAATATTTAGCCTATTGGTGATTTAAATTAGGTTCATAATTATGTCATTAGTAAGCAGTAAAAACGAGAGAGATTTGAATGCAATTTTAACAAGGTTCGTCTTGTAAACTTGCATACGTTCCAAATATGTTTACATGTTTTTCAGAGCTACTCTTACTTCAATAACCTTTTCCTTAATGGAACTGAAATGAAACGATATGTGTAAACGCTAATTAAAACCTTAGGTAAAATCAAACAATTTTTTATGGTCACAAGCACAAACTATGAGACGAGAAGAAAAATGTGAAATTGAATTCGCTGTTTATCTTAACTCGATGTCATGTCTAATAATTGAAACGTACTCGTAAAGTAATCGCAATCGCCAGTCAGCTGGACGCTTTAAGAATCGTGTAATAAAATCTCAACACTTTTTTAAAACAACAGTGCGAGATAAATTATGATTTATGAGGTGCAATGAAAGCTAATGTTGAGCTGCGTGTAATGAATATCAAAGCACTTTGCGGAACTGAAGACAATATGAAACATAAAAACATTGTAAATTTAATACACAAAAGAAGTGTCAATGGATCTGCGTCAGTTTCATGGAACTTCTATTAATCATAACGATCTAATGTCATTGGTTAAAGACGAGTTCAACACTCAAGACTGACACGATATCATAGTTAATATTCCGTGATACGCGATAGCTAAACTTCGATGGCATCTCTGACGAATGATGAATTGACGCAATTTCTGATGTAAAATTTTAAGCATCCGCCATTAATCACTGAGATGTTTTGGCTTTGACAAGTGATAGCCATTAGTATATTAAGTAAAAATGTTTCATAAATCGTTTGATTTACGTGTATCGATTAAATGTTTTACGGTGACGAACAATAAGTTTCTTAACAAGAAATAATGAAAAGTTAATATATAAACTGACGGGAAACTTTTCATGGAAATAAATTGACGCGTGGGTTCATTAACCAACTACGGACCTTAACACAACGTGAAATATCATTTATAGATGAGATGTTGGCGGTGACTCGCGTGAATTTTGATATTATTAAAATGTTAATCAAAAGTGTCGGATGTAAATGTGACAAACTTTACTGACAACACCTATCGACATTTAATATTGCAAATGCAAATTACCTACTCAAATATGTAGTGCCGATGCTGATCTACTATTTTCTTTCTATGCATTCCATATCGATAGCGTATGAATATCAACAAATTGTTATTTATTCAACGATCGATATTAAAATGCTTTCTTCATGCTCTGATGTCAATTGGCATGTAATAGAAACGAATAAACAATCGTATTGGTGGTAAAAGGAATTCCCTTTATTTTGTTCAATGCTGACACAATTCCAATGCAAATACAATTTATATTCAATCGCAATTGCGCCACGAAAATTCCTGCATTATCGTTCCGATCATTAAAATTGTGTTTCTTATTAAACCATCGTGATTTATTTTCGAAACATTATAAATCAATTTCAATGTAGCGCCCCATGAATGGTGAAATGTTTGTGTCGTGTAATGTATGAATAGAATTTATTTATGTTGTGCTGAAGAGAAGTTGAGAAGGAATAAAATAAGAAAACATTTTTCAAGATCGGTCAAACTGATTAAGTGAATTGGTTGGCTTTTCAAAGCATTGTTTGTGAAAATTGGGAAAGATAATTAATGAATAAGTTCGGCATGATGTTAAACGAGATCTAAAATGTTTTCATACACGTTTAAACGATTTATTGAATACTTTTAAGGTTGAATTGTTGAATAACCCGTAATCGGAAATTATTTAAATCACTGATCCAATCACATCATTAACCATTCTAAGTAGAGATCAAAATTAAGGAAATAGATTATTAAGTACATAGTGCATGGAGGTTTCTTTCAGATCGTGATTCTATAGTGAAAATCATTAGATTACTCAAATTATCTTGAAAGACCCACCAGTAAGAAAAAGTTTTGGTGGTTGCATACCTTGAAGGCGAAGATTTTTAAAATTTTGCTCACAGATGTCACTACTTACCACTTAACCACGGAAGCTTTTTCATTCCCCAAAGCTTTGTTGTGATTTATTAATGAAAAGCTGCAATGTTTTAATTTTCGTTTATTTCTTTCATCTTCCATTTCTTTTTCAACAGCGGTCATAAGAAACTTACTTAAATTTCATAACATAGTTCTACGCTTGTGATCGTGCAATCATCGTGAAACAAATGAAAAGTGTGAAAATTATGCAATCGCTGCCAGAACCATCGTGCGAAGAAATTAAATATGAATTTATAATTTTATTGCTATGATTTCCGCCAGATTCTTTTTTATAAAGCGGATATTTATTTTTTTGTGTCTTAATTTTATTTGAATGCATAAAAGATGAAATAAAATGAGATAACGACACGATGATAAAAATTGATAAAATTTCATGCACGTTTTCAATCTTTCAATTTAATATCTGAATGAATAAGAAAGTTAGCTGTAGCAATGTGATTGAAAACAATTAAAATGAAATCATTGACGTAGACATTAAGTTCCGCCTGAAAATGTTCTGAAGCAATTAGCAATTTTGATGTTTCACTGAAATATTTTCACTTATTCAAATGACATTTCTTATTCTCGTGGCGTGTTTATACCACACGAGAGCTTGATAAATTACTTTAAAATGACCATTTCATTGATCATACTCACGTGTTCCAGTTTCCTTTTTAATTTTAAATCAAATAAAAGAAACAGAAGAAAAACGACTTTGTAAAGTCTGACTAGATTCATCAGTGAACCTTCACAAATAAATTTATTAACATATTTGGTCAACATTCTAGAAATTTTAGGTTTCGGAATCATCTCGAACTTGGTGGTAATGAACTTAGATTAGAACGTGCTACTTAGAAAACTTTAAGAATCTGAGAATTTTCACTCGTTGTGGAACTTTAAAATATTCGATACGAACCGCTAAAATCTTTTTAAAATTCTTTCCGATCAACAAAGCAATAAACTTCTTTGATCATACGCATAAATTGATTTTACAAAAAATGAAAAAAGATTATCTTAAAGTTCAACGTCCGTTGAAAAACAAATCTCAATTATTTTCCATTTCCAAATATTTTTAAAGAGCCAGTCGAATGGCTTAAGAGAAAAGGGGAAAGAAAGAAATTGAACCATTAATTCTGTCTAATAAAGAAGCAACAATTGCTTTTCCATCCACTTCATTACAATTTTTTTTTAATAATTTTCTCATTTTTATCTCAGACTGAAGTTAATTAAACTGCGTTGTTATGCGCTTGTGCTTTGGCTTGAAGTTGTGGTCAGGTTTTAATAATTCATCCCATATGTGTTCGTTCACGATGATAAAGTTAAAGCTGGAAAAAAAGAATTTATATCGAGCGAAATCGCAGAAAGTAGTTAAGTACACATTAATTAACTGTTCTTTCTCTCTGGTTTGTTTCAACAGAAAACCTCTTAGACGCTTCTTTTTTCGGGATTTTAATAGATCTTTTTACTTTACATTTCATTAAGAGCACTCTTCTTTTAATTGACCACCGGCTTTTACAACAATTAAATTATAATTTTTAAACCATTTCTTTCAGGCGCTTTTATGTGGCAAATTCATTCGTTTGTTGATCTTTTCTTTTGAGTTCGGGAATAAGAAAAAAAGACGACGACGTCGAGAGATGGACATGAAATTATAAATGAAGCATTTCAAATGAAAATCGTTCTAAGTGTTTCACTATAGAAATTCTTTTATGTGCTGAATTAATAAAGAGAGAAGAAAACACGATGGAAGATCTTCAGAATGATCACAATTTTTAAATAATTGAATTCATAAATGAATTGAATGGTTTTTCAAAGATCATTGAAAGGTCTTGGATCTGTTACCTTTTTTTTCTTTTGATCTTATTGATTTTGAAACAGATTTGCAGCAAAGCACTTTACAATGCCAGAGATTAAAATTCTCGTAAAAGAACGAAAATTTTTTTTATTGAAACAGATCTAGCGGTAATTTAATATAACACCGCTTTAATTAATAATTTATAACAAAAGATCACGAGAAGAATTAATTGAAAAAATAAAATATTAAGGATTGAGACTTTTTAATTAACTTTATTAAAAATATTAATGAAGGATTAATCTCTCCATCTCAATTTAATAACTTAAACCAGAAGCTTCGATGTCGGAAAATTTCATTCAACTCCCCGCCAAACGATAGCGAAATTTGCCAACCTTTTTCTACTCCCAGAAATTGCTAATTTGATCTTAATTGTAAATCAATTCTGAAAACACTCAAAAGATTCTTTCGTAATTTGAATTTGAAACCTAAAACGTGATTGATAGTGATCGCGACATTTTAATTGAGAATTAAGATTTATGTGCAAGTGTAATCAACCGTTTCTGGAAATGAAATTCATCACGAGCACCTCATCAATTTTCTATTTGTTCTCAAAGTTCTCATCGAATACTGTTGTTCTAGAATGAATGAATTTGTTGACATCTATTAGACATTTCTTGAGCAATTCTATTAATGTTATGATCTATTTGAAGAGTAAACAACAGATGTGAAGCATCAAATGTCATTCACAAACATCGCATTTTTATAAATGACAAGCGCTTGCGCGCGTCAGGACTTTGAGGATAAATAAATCAATTTCTCAAATATGTAAAGTAAGTTCGCGTGATGTCGCAATTATTCCTTTCTACAAAATTCTCCTTATTGTTCGTTACATGATGATGACACAAGCAATGAATAAAAGTACATCAAAGTCAATCCATCGATTTTAGCCTTCACCCTGGTCAGTAACATTTGAATGATTCTTGAGTCTCGACAGAACTTAAAATAATCCCACAGCAAATAAATCAGTAAGCAAATTTTTCCCGATATATTTCTTAAGATGAAAGAAAATTAATACAAAATTTTGTGAATCGATTAATACAAACGCCTCTCGAGAAGAACTGACATTGAGTGACAAGTCGCAAACACTTCGAATAATATTTACATTGTTGATCATAAATACTCTCGCTTCCTCGCTACTCCTCTCAAGTACCAAAAAAAGAAAAGAACGAAATGAGTTTGTCATCATTCGAGGCTTGCGCAAAATCTTGATCACGCGTCAAAATCAAATTTGCATATCGCTCTCACCTTCATTGTCCCGCATGTGATTTGTTTTCGATGTAAGTTCTTTATCGTTCACTGCCTTCCATGTTGGAATTCTTTTCCTTTCACTGACAATCGATTGATATTATAAACAGAGAAAATTCATTTATAGTTGCGACATTTCGTGACGATTGCATGCAAATCTTAGAAGAATTTTAATTCTGTTCAAAGACTGATCATTAGATGTACATGCGAAATGAACTGATGCAACTTTGAATCATTTTCTTACTTTAAATTTTTTGATTTCATTATCTCAGCAAACATGTGATTGAAATATCGTGAAGTTTCAATTTATTAAAATGAAAATGATGAAAACAATAGAAAAAGTCACCTGAGCTGTTGTCAATCATCGTTCAGAGACGCAACTGTATATGCAGCACGTGAATCACTTTCCGTGATTATATTAAAGTCAGATCAATGATTTAATGCTTTGTAAGAAATAAGAGAAAAAATCTACAGTTGGGACTTCGCAATACTCACACGTGATGATCAAAATTGATTAGCGAGTTTAAGTTGTCTCCAATTGAATACACGACGGGACGAGAAATGTTTGTCAGAAGAAAAACTCTTTAGAAATCTCGCAGAAAATCAATTCTTTTGTTATCATCATTTTCATGGTGAAGATTTTCAGATAATTTATGATGATGATATCTTGCATTTGTTTATTGAAACTCATTCCATGTTTACGAACAAACATGACGAACATGAAGCAGTGAAGTCATTAAGCCAATTATTAACGGAGCTGAGAGAAATCAATTTATAGCGTCTGAAGAATCCAATTAAGAATTGTTTTCAGATTTAATGACGACGGAAATTGTCTCTTAGCGACTCATAGAAATTTATGTTTTGTTAAATCAACGGTTTTAAATTGTCAAATAATTGAAACCTAAGGATTGTTATTAGGTAATCAGCTAATCTTTAAACATAAACTATTCAACTAGAAGTCGCCAGTGGCGATATATAAAATGTTTTTGTACGTAATTTCTTACAGGCTTCATCTTTATTTAACGACTTTCTTCATCAATTTATTTTTTTCTTATGTTTTATTTGCCGAAATCTTTGTAACTGGTTAATGACTTGAAGAAGTCAAAAGGAAAAGAAAATCTTTCAAATTGCATCAAATGGGATGTTTCGATCGTTAACTGCAAATGTTGCAATTTAATTTAGGTTTGATTTTTAATTAAGTCCCCAAAAACTATTAAAGAAAGGAACATCTTTCCTTTCAAGCAGAGTCGGTGCGACGCTCCAATTACATTTTATGGATGTAAGCAAGAACTACTGTAAAAAGCTTTAATTGTGACATAATAAATAATTGAGGAACTTTATAATTAATTTAACTGCTTATAAGCGTCATAAAATTAATAAAATAATAAGATGATTTGATGTTTGCAACTTTTTCAGGAAGAAAATTAACTTTTACAACTTTTAAATTTTCAAAGAATCTCACAAAATCGACTTTGTATCCATCCAAAAACTTTAGAAGTTTAGAAGAAAAAAGAAGTAAGAAAAAAGCTAATAATAAAGCGAAAGAGAAGCCATAAAAATTCATGATATGTGAAAAAAAAAACAAGCAGGCAAGCAAGTAAATAACTTTGAAATTATACACGTTCAATGGGCGCTCTCCGATGAGGAAAGAAATGGAAGAAAGTTAACGGTGCTTTGCGAAAGAAAGAAAGAACGCAATAAGAACGCAAAAAACAAGCTCCAAGAGGCTGGGTGGAAGTGAAAAGAAAGGAAAGAAAGAAAGAAAAAACTTGAAGCGATTCTAATATGAAAGAAAAGAAAATTATTGTGCACATAAATGGTTTTAGAAAGAATCTTTCACTTGAGAGAAATGCACACGAAAACTTGCTTACGTAACTTAACATTACGTGAGTTCCAGTGACGTTGAATCGAAGTCATTTATACGTTGTAGTCAGCAGTCACCACCACAGGAGCTCATTAAGTTTCTCTGCCACTGGAAATTGATTCTTTTAAGATACGATTATGTTATTCTTACACAATAAACATTGTCTTAATAACTTTACTTATTTGATTCGTTCTCGCTCTTCTTTTTCGTCCAGAAAAGTTTGAGGTGAGTTTTAAAAGCTTTTATCTTGTCATGGCTTCACATTTATGTAATTGCAATGATGTTTAATACGATGGAAACTTTCCAGTTTTGTTTTTCTCGTCATGTCAACATTGTATGGAATCTCAACCGGCTTCTTCCGCAATCGGAAATCATTCTTAAGAAAACTTTCAAAGGCAACTGATGGAAATTCTTTATTGAAGTTCAAAGACTGTTGTGAAACTTGTTGAACGATAATTTTCTATTTATAAATATATATTTATGAGTATGTGACTTCATTTGCATTAAAACATGTCCCAACTTATGTCCAATATATTAACTCAACTCAGTAATAAGCATTTGAATGCCATCAATTTGTTTATAGTTCTCTAAGTCACTACGAAGACATCGCTTACTTAATTGCTTCTTAATTTTTCCGGCTTTGTTAGTTTTTTCTTTTTTTTTCATTCAAAGCTCTACAATCTCACAAACAGTTTCAACCAACATTTTATTTCATTGTCTGTGGATTGCTGTTTAATTAGTTTTTAATTCTTTTTTAAAATCCACATGATTGTAAGCTATGTAGATTTTTAATGAGTTCAGGTTCAAAAACCACTTATTTTCAGTGTTTGAAGTAAAGCATAAGCATAAATCATATAAATGAATGCTGATTTATGCTATTACATCAACGTCATAACGATAATCCAAATCATAGTTGTAAACGCTCTAAAGTGCAATCACTTTTTTTATTGTCCCCATGAAACTTCTCTCAGACTGAAATGAATATTTCTTTGTTAATTTCTAGATATTAGAAAGGGTTTTGTCAGTGACAACAATCATAAAAATTATAGAGGAGAAAAAAATGGTTGAAAGGGTAAGCGAATTTTATTTGCCAATTGTTAAACATCCAGGAAATATTTCTTCGATGACAGATTTAAAGAAAGAATTTTTTTCATAAAATAATAAAAGGGACAAAAACTTTTATTGACCATAAAATCCTTTTCAATGACAAGGGACGACAAATGCTTGCCACATAAAACAATAAATTGTCGCTTTCCCTTTCTGTCACTGTGCAGTGAGTGTTTACATAGAAGGTGCAATTAACGATAATCGTAAAGGGAAACAAAATAAAAAAAGAATTGCAAATCCTTTAAAGACGTTTGTTTGTCGTCAAAGGATTAGGTAAGAAAATTTATGCGATAAAATGATAAATTACGTCAAAGAAGTTCTATTTTAATTTGTGGGACGAAACTGACATTATACCTAAAAGGAATGACATTCGTTTTGCTACCTGAATCATTCTCAACCCTGTCATCAAAATTTCTTTCCTGATTTATGATAAACTCCTTCGAAAGCGTAAAGTATTTGCATGGGAAAAAGGATTCAAGTTCTCATGGCATCAAAAGAATTAAAGGATTCAAATCGAAGCATATTGATGATGTTTCGTCGTGGGTTGAATTTCCTCTAGTTGCGATCGATGGGAATTTCTGACAGGTGGCTATAAAAACTGTAACAAATATTTTATAACAAAAGGAGATCTTCGTGATTGTCGTTATTTCTGTTGAAGGGAACTTTAAGTAGCAAATAATTTTTCCATTTGTTCATCCCACAATCACATATGGAACGAAAGTGGCGGAAAGGTCGCAAGGATGTTTGGATTCGGTTAAATTTCTTCGTATCATGTTTTGCATTGGAAGTTTATTTATGAAATTTTAAGGGACTAAAATGTTGTTTACAAAGATTTCCGACTCCACACCAACGAATTTCTTTTTCTCTCTTTAATTCCATCAATCGATCATCGATACGTCTTCCTTCTGAAGAATTATTGGATCCTTTTTTCGATTTTCAAGACCTTTCGAAACCATTTTTCGCCTGTTAAACAGAAGGATGTGCGGGCAAACACGAACCCATAAACTTTCCTTTGTTTACTTTGTCTCGGTGTAATTTATTGAACATTTTTATTCACTTTTCTCGTCGTCGTGAGAAATATTTCCAAATATAAATTTCTGATGCACCTTCTTGCTGTATTAATTTGATTTATTTTTGTTGAGACAGTTCTTAGTTGTTTTGTTGGAAACTTCAAAAGCAATCAACGTAAAGTCGCTCATATTTTAGTAGAAACAACAAATCTTTTCTTTCTTTAAATGGTTGTTTATATTCTGAAGATTAAACAAAACCCCAAATTCAAAAAGAATGTTCAAGATCTTGTTAGGGGATTGTTTGAATGTTTTGTCTAAAATTCATTTTCTTTGATGATTTTTAAATATTTTTCTTGTTGTTGACGGAACTAAGATTATTTCTCCATCTTCCAGGTCTTTGTTTTTCAATAAAGTTTGACCGAAAAAGTTTCTTCTTTTATCGAATATTTTTCTTTTCATTTATCTCTATTTAATAGCGAATAAAAATAACTTTTCACCATCTTAAGAAATCAACAAATAATCATTTTTATGATTCGAATTTTTAAACCTCCGCGAAGTTTCTTGACCTCTCTATTGACGATGATGATGATCAACATTTTGACTTTAAAAAGCTCTCGAAAAGATTTTTTAATTTTCTCTTTTTCAAGTTGGAAGAATTTTCATTTCTGGTTCGGTGGAAAATACAGTCGAGACTCTCGACTTACGTTGAAGATGATTCAACATTCTTATAAATTTCTTATGAAACAAAAAACTGTATCTGAATCATCCAAATAGTCTTCATAGCAGCAATTTACGATGATGATGAATATTACATGTTGAATGATCATTTCTAGCTTGTAATTTCCTAATTAAGCGAAAATGAAAAAAATAAAAATGTGAAGCAAAGCAACAGATGGAGCAAAGTTCTCTTCTCTTGCTGTTTAAGCTTCTTCTACCTGCCTCATGAGCTCATGAAGAATTAATTAAATTAACGATTCTTCATCTTCCTTCACATTTCACTTCTTTTCCATTTCTAATTTATTTTTCTTTTTCGAGAGATTTCGTAATTTGTGTTGAAGATGCTTTCGTGTTTTCGGGAGAGTTGACCTGATTAAACGCCTGATGAAGATCCAAAGGGGATTTTTACATTCAACGAACTTAATCGCTGTTGTGCAATTATCGCTTCGTTGTTTACATCGTCGACGATCCATCACAATCCGTCACTTTCCAGTTGTTTCATTTGTATTAAATGCATAGCTCCAGGAATTCATTTTCTTTTATTGCTATGAATAACTTAAAGTCACATTTGCCTCATGAAACCGACAGTTTGCAATGACGAACGCCGCTAATTTACAAACCAAACACAATCACAACGCAGCGCCCAGTGTAATGTAAATTCAAATATCCAATGAAACGTCGTCGCTTTTGTTTGAGTTTGACTGACCTATTTAAAAGTCCTTCTTCTTGACTCATCTCGATTCGGCCGCTTAAGTAAAACTCGCAAACACACTCACAAAACTCTCAATCTCAATTTCTTTTTCATTGGAAGTGAATTTCACGAGATTCTTTTTTATTTTCTTCTTTTTCAAAGAAAATGAATCATGATTAATTGGTTGGAGTCTTTTAAGCATGTGAGTGATCTGTGATTCATCTCCCACAAAAAATTCTTTTGGTATTCATGAAAGACCAACAAACCAGCTTGTTGAGGTAGAATTGAGGTCTTCGATGGAAGAAGAAAGAAGAAATTAAGAACACGATTTGAAAGAAAACGAAAAAGAAAGATATTTAGATACTCAACACCACCCACGCATTACTATAAGAAAGATTTGGTCCAAGTGACGCAATCAGACATGCAACAATGAACTAACAAATTTGAAATATCGTAATCAAGGTCTCTCTGATTATTATTTACACAAATAACTTAACTTGCTACTCACATAAGTAGTGAGACTTACATGGCATGTGATCATCTTCATATGTCGTCTCACTATGCCTTTTAAAGTGACCTTCAAAGTTGTGAAAACAATAAGCTAATGTCATTTTTACCGTTTTGTTCTTCATGACAAGACAGCGACGCAGTCGTCTGAGAATTCATCAAAAAAATTTAAATTCTTGTTTGATTCAATGAGAAAGACTTACAAGAATAATTTTTCTTAAAGCAAGTATAAGTGATATGCGTGGGCGAAGAGAATTTAAAAGTCCCTTCTCAAAGACAAATTTGTCATAGATTTTTTTTTTGCGTTGTTAACGAAAAGTCTTTAAATTGCTTGTGTGGTTCACATCTAAATGTTCTGAGGTTTGCGCACTAATTGAAGGACATGGGGCGCTTAACGGGAACGAATTGGATTTTAAATCTTTTCGTTCTTAACGCTAGCGACATTATCCCAACAAGACAGAGTAATGGAAAGACTTTGAATGAAAAAATAAACTAAAGTTCAAACCAATACGCGACTGGTCAACAAAATATCATTCTGGACGTTGAAACTTTTGTTCAAGTGGCGAATAAAATCGGGATGATTACGTCAGCACAGCGTGCAAAATTCTGTCGTGGTGCGGCTACTCAAAAGCGGTCATGTAAGTAAAGAATAAAACGGTTCCGAAATAATAAAATAATAAAAACGTTTATTTATGTTCCCTTATAAGCTTAAACCAAGGCATCATTTGCTTTACATTTCTGTCCGTCAATGTGTCGTATGAGCTAATTTTTAAGTAGCAAAATTCCGTAGCAGGAGAAGCAAAACAATTACACTGAATGGTCCCAAAAAAAAAAAGAGTTTTATTTCAATTAAGTATTTCAAATAATTTGCGAGTCAAAAAGAATTTAATTTTTGTATTTGTTTTTTATACTAACTCTACGTGGTAATGAAAAAGCAGTTGGAAAATTTATTCCATGAAAGCTACGACACATTATGAATGTTTAATTGGGAGTCAACTCAATTCTAGTCTATTCGACAACGATTTTTCACATTTTGGCATCGCTCGGTAGTGAAATTAAGTCACTGTTGGAGTAACTCACACATATGGATACTGTAGGTGTTGTCGATTTTCTGGATTAGTTGGGAATCGAAAACGCTTCGTCGATATTTTACGGATGAAAACAACATTTACATGACCTGAAAAAACAAAAGGCAGGCAACGATCTAAACCAGGTTTTTTTCTTGATTTGCTTCCACGAAGGATTAGAATTGGCGATAAGCGCAAGCAGAGAATTATGAAAGACTTGTTCGACGGTCGGTTGGTGGTCGTTAAATAATAAAAAAAAGTAGAACTAGAATCGAGTCATAACTTCACGTTTCTTCATCTTTCACAATAAAATATAAATAAATAACCAGCGGAAAACATTGAAGCATGCAAAGATTCATTTTCATCGGCAATTGCATAACATTTAATCCCGTGAAACGGTTTTGAAACCATCATCATCATCATCTTCCATTACTCTGTCAATCCTTTCCACCTGTTTCTCTTCCGACGCGCATCTTTGTGGTCGAATTCTTTTCAGAATCCAAAAACGGTTTACAGAATGAACCATCGAACGGAAGAAACGGATAAAAGAAGCTCAGTATGGAGTGAAAGATACAAAAATGATTGTATTAATGAACAAGAAGTTTCAAAAGAAAGAAGAAGAAGTAAAGTCAACTCACAATCCATCGAAGAAAGCTTCGATTTTCATCAGAATTTAAAAATATGAAAAAAAAATCAAAATTTTTCTTCTTTCTTTGAGATCAGCAAAAGAAGAATCGAGAAAGGAAAAACCAACATCTTTTGCTTTCAAGAAATCGAAAGAAGAAATGAAATGAAAAAAAATTAATACATTAACAGTTTTCAGCTTCTATTGAAATTCTTTTTTTGTTTATTTCGGCTGTCTAAGTCAGTGAAATTCTTTGAACTTTCTTTCAGAATTTATAATTAGAAATGATATTCGATTCTAGTCATCCCAACCAACAAATATATAATCGAACTCTTCTTTATGTGTGTGACATGAGAAGAATCGAACGAAGCAGTGAGGAAGAATGAATATATAAGACACTAAGTCAATTCGATGCCAAAACAGCTATGAAAATCAACGAAGAATAATATGAGAAGCCATAGACAGAGAGAGAATAAAATAAATAAAAAAGAAACGCTACACACACGATTGAATCGCTATTTCTGAAGCAGCGGGTTTAAAGACTTAGTCCAAGGTCGTAAAATTGTTTATAAGAGGTAAGCCGCTAATATTTATGCCGCAAACCCCAGTAACACACACCGATGTACATGAAAAATAAAACGTTAAGGACTTACCTTATAAATATATATTGCGACTTCTTTTTATTGCACAACAGAATGATTACCCGATAACCTAAAGATTTCTCTCTCACTTGAATGCCTGCGACTTGTTGTAACTTCAACTTCAACTTCGTTCATAAGTGGAAGAAATTTTTTTATGGATTTTCTGCGTGATGATATAACTGATAGAATTAGTAAGGAAAAATAAAAGAATTAATCAATTCAGTCTTAATCCCATGATATATTAGGTTTGATTGATTTAATATTGTGACAAAGGTTTATCATCTTAATGAAGAAATATTGAAGACATCGTCTGTGCTACTGCTGTTTACATCCTCCCAAATTTATTTCATGACATTACCGTGTGAACAGGAAAAAAAAACATTTTGCGCATCATTAAAAGTCAGAAGTTAGGAAAATAAAATAATTTAGAAACAATTCTAAATTCTCGCATATCAAGAATCGATCCAATATCATAAATTCATAAAACGAATTTATAAACCGCTGAAAGCTGATGTTTAGCTGAAAATATTTTTAGTCCCACGAGAAAGAAGTCTTTGACCATTTAATGAAATCGTATTGGCCATTATTACCATAAAGAAGATATTTTATGATTAAAGATTTTATTTTTGGTGAACACATACTATCACTAAATAGAGGATGGAAGCAAGAAGAGATAATCGAGAAGCTTTTTCGCAAAGTTATTTATTTTAGTGAATTGTAAAACGAAGAACCTTCAATTAGATTCAATGGATGGGAAGTTTAAGTGGTCAAGTGAATGAGCGAGCACTTCAATGACTTACAAAATTCTTTCATTCTTCAACAATTCCATGGCTCCAGTCAGCCAATTAGAAATTATGTAAGAAAAGAAAATTGTCATAATCTGTCATGAATAAACATTTCATATAAGCGATGAGCGACTTTAAGATGCGAGGAGAATATGATGGGATGAGAAGACATTGTTTGCAAATTGCCAGGGCAAGATCGTGTAACTGAATCGAATGATTCTCAAAAAGCACTTCGCGAGAAGAATTACTGTGATTAAAGAAGCGACCACGAAGAATGAAAGATTTTACGTCGACATTGTGAGAAGTTCTCAGAAGACTCGCTTCGTTCATTTCGTCCATTGATTGTTCTATTTCTCTTCTTCTTTCCTAGAGACCTTTGCGCAATTTCTATTGTTCCTTGCTTTTTATTTTCTCGCGCGTCATGGACTTTTAAAAAATTTGTTAAGGGCATGAAAAACAGACGAGAAAGATGAAAGAAAAAATAAAATAATTCAGTTGTGGAGAACACAGTTTCACGTCTAGCCATTCGATAAAGTCTTTTGTTTTCTTCCACTGCTTTCGTCGACAAAATTATTTCGAGCTTATCGTGAAAGAACCTCCGGGAAAATTCTGGGTCGTGACTGAGTAGAAGAGAATATTATTAAGAAGAAACTTGACTTCACACTTCGTCAAGTTTTAGTTCTAATGAAGAGTCTCACGAATTGGCTTGTAATGTTGCTATCTCCATGAATAACATCAACAACAACAAGCACATGCAAGAAGTAAAGCCCCACAATTAAGAACCGAATCGAACTAGAAAGAAAAGTTAATACGCGGTTTGGAATCTCTTGAAGCTCAAAAATCAATGAAATGGTCGAGTAGATTGCGTGAAATGCTTTTTCTCTTAATTCTTTCTTAGAATTTGGAAGTTGTTGGAGTTCTTGTGGAACGATTTTCCAAGTTGTTTGCTTTAGCAACTCTTCCAGAAAATTCACCAAAAAGCAGAAACTAGAATCTAATGATTTACCACGCTAATCGTTGTTCGTACCGCAAATTGCTTGTTGTTCCTCCCCGCTTTGTGGTTGAGTTAAAAGTTTTTTAGATCTATCTAAATAATTCTATTCTAGAACATTGACGTGCGTTCATACATGTGAATTGAAGTGGCTTGAAGCGTGGTGGTTGAATCATCAGATAAAGATTTAGAATTGTCTAAGGAATTTCTGTTTTGTTTTTCTATTTAGGGAAGGGAATGGGTTGTGACTACAAACTACATATTTAGTTGATCTTTAAACTTCAATAATACATTTAGAAGTTAATTAAGATATTCAAGTATGGACTTGTAATTGTAAATCATTCGTCACTTACAAACAAAAAATAGAAAAACAGAAAAAAGTTCTCAACAGATGAATGATTAATATGCAACATCAATCACCCAACTTTGACTTTCAAGTCTCATACTTATTTGGCATAGACGATGAGAGAACAGTGAGACTATTTAAGAATACTCAATTCAATACATTCATATGAAGCAGTAAATCCAACTTCATCGCATTTCAATAACCGGTAAGTTGTTGATGCTTTTTTTTGCCTTCGCTGTTATTTCTTTAACTTTGAAAAGAAAAAAAAGCTTCTCAGGTTATTGACATTTTTGTCTTTAGCTGTGAGCAGAAAAAATCATGGTGAAGGAGATGGAACGAACTTGCGCGTTGATTTCTTCTTTCTATCTTTCTTGTGTTGTTAAAGTTGCTTGCTATGAGGTAATTCGTTCTCTGTCGAACGCTTCCATTGCGAATTAAAAATGATTACTTTTTTTTTATATGTACACCAAAAGAACAAATTTGATCGTTCAGGGAATTTGCGGTAGTTGAATGAAAATTCGTTCATTAGATCAGCATCGATAAAGTCAACAGCACGAAACTCTGTCGATATAGATCGAAAGAGAAAGAATATCAAAAAATAACAAATTGGATTGCTTTTATTTTTATTTTATTGAAAGATTTGTTTCTCTTTCTAACGATTTCCTGTTGTTCTTTGAGAACTTTCCTGAAGAATCGTTTTCTTAAAAATAGCAACAGGAAGTAAGAAAGAAAAAAATAAACAAGTCAGTCGATTTATGATGTCAAAAAATGTTAATTAAATCACTTCGCTTAAAATTCCGTTGTGAGCGAAAGCTTCCGTTGACAGTCATCAGTGGTCAAGCGTTCTCGGCGCCTTCAATAAAAACTTAATTTCATAATCTCACGAGAACAATCTTCCACCTTTCATCTTTAAAAGACAAGCTCGAGGAAAGCATTTCTCAACTGCGCAATAAACACCTTAAAAGAGTAAGATAGAAAGACAAGCAAATGATCAAATAGCCAAACAAGAATCGTCGTTAACACATTCAGAAAAACCTGAAAATCTTCCCGAAAAAAAGAAAAAAAATATTATTCAACAACTTGAAGTCTAAACTTTATTCGGAGAGAAAAACAAGTAAAGTGGAAAGAACCGTTAGATTGCTTTATTTTTCTTGTGTTGAATGTAAATTCATCGCGGTGTCTACATGACCGACCATACGATGATGATGTTATTTCTGGCCGCTGTGATCTCGCATGTGTGTGTGTGTGTGTGTGTGTTAGTTTGTAATATATTTTTTATTTCTAAACTTATCTTCTCTTGTTATTTAATTTACCTTATTTGATAGCTTTTGAGCAATTTTGTGGCGAAAATTCTTCTGGTGAAGCTTGAATTCCTTCGATATTTAATCTTCGCGAGAGTATTTTCTTTCATGTTTAGAATTTTATGCAAATCGAACACCGTTAAAAGGCGAGAATAAGAATATGATTTGTAAAGGAAAATTTACACAACTCGTCTTGGCATTTCTGATATTTTTGACACATAATTAGACTTTCCTGAAGCTTCAACTATTTATTTAATTCTCTCTTGTTTTGAACAATCAGTTTTATTTTTAATAAAGATTAAAGACGTCTTGTAAGATTTCCATTAACTTCATTTCAATGTCGGAGATGTTAAATGACTCGTCAGAATGTCTCGTTGACCAAAATTGTTCGTTCTATTGCTTCAAGCAAGCAAGTCAGTAATAAAACACTTTTCTATAATTCACAGAGAGAAAGAATTTCTCGTGGTTTTATCAATGTTGGAATAATTCTTCGTGTGGAACGAGAAACCGCTTTCTCGGAAGAATCTGATGGTACCTGCATGCATTAGCTAACTATAACTAAGCTTCTATGCATTTGACATTTCCATCTAAACGTAAAATTAAAATAATTTGTTGTTCTTGTTAAAAAAGAGTAAACATTCATTCAAAAAAACTTGTTGAGAAAAGAATTCGAAGATGCTTGAATAAATGTTAAAATTGAATCTCTTGTGGCCTCTAAGCGGTCTTCCACCTCTTGGATAACCTGGTGATGACTAAATTAATGATGTGAATGGCAGACAATCCTCTTGCAAATTCAAGTTTTTGTTATGATCATCAAAAATAGCATTGTGAACTTGAACTTGACGCTGTGCGTTTTGACCTTCACACAAATTGCCATTTGAGAATTAATCTTGCGCCAAACCGTAAATTTAGCATTTAAGACAGACGTCAGATCAATTCATTAGAGAATAAGTTAATTAGATTTGAAATGTCAAATGAGATTCAAGAACAAGAATTTACGAAATTTGTTTTTTCGTTGAATTTATTCCCATTAACTATGATGATGACAAAGTTGTCATGTTTCTTATTAAAACTACTCGTGTTGCTTTCTTTCTAAGCTTCCAATTTCCATTCATTGACATTACATCATAATTTTGTCTCCACATTTCTGCTATCTCCTCTTTCCGCTGCTGGTTTTTTTATGTCGTTTATAAGTTGCGATGAAGAAAAGTTCTTGCAAATTGCGAAAGCCATTAACCACCATACTTATATTTAAACATAAATACTTATTTCATATGGGGAAATAACATGAAGAAGAAAAGCATAGCGACAGATTGTATGTACCTGCTTCTAATTATAGCAAAAGCTCTCTGGATCGCCTTGTGCAACCAGTTTTTCGTGTTTTCCCCTTTACAACAAATTCTTTTAATACTCCTTCGAGGTACATTAAATCGCTAATTATTTTCGCTTATAGTTTACAGCGCATCTAGTTAACTACATACAAGTAGGTGATGAATGATTCTTTAATGTTGAATTTCAAGAATGAATTGATTCTTCTTTCTTATTCTTACAAAACATGTTAAAAACTTCCTTTCCTCAATGACTGATAATGTTTCGACTTGAACAGTTGACGTCGAATATAATCATTGTACTTAGACGAGAAGAACACCTGAAAGAATTTCTTCCATCACATCGATTCACTTGTTGATGGAATGGAATAACAAGAATGAAAAGAAGCCACTCAAAGAATTAATTGAACTGAAATTGCGCAATTTAGTGAAAAGCAATTGTTGTTGAAGAATTTTTTCTACCTACCAACATCATCTGGGAGATGGTGCGTAATGAATTAAATGCGCGCAAAAAAAAAAGCGAAACGCTTGATGGATGTGAAAATGTTTGAAGTTATTTTATTTTTTGGGTAATTGCATGGCAATAGAACTTCGTTGAATCATCCTGATGTTGTGTTTTGCAATTCAAGCAAAAAAATAAAGTTTCAGGTGAAGTGTAATCAGCGGGGATCCTTAATTTCAAGCTGCTGCCGCTATGAAGCTGCTGGAAGATTGATATTTATACAGAGGGGCAGGAGAGAAGTGATCGCAGATGAAAAACCTCTAACCCTGACTAATCCAGTAATTGAGTTTCACAACAATCATGAACGAGCTCAACGAGCCACGAAAAGATTTTTTTGCTTCTCTTTTCCTAACAATTTTCGTTTTTAGTCTTTTTTTTGGGAAGTTGAAGAAATCCATTTAGAATTCTTTCAAATTGTAGATGAGAAGAGAATAAGACAAAAGCAAAAGCAAAGCATGAGAGAAGAAGAAACGACGCCACGGAGTTATGTGTGCTTCTTCGAACGGAACAAATAGCAGTCGAAATATAAAAAAAGAACAGAAAACAGCGAAGATTGTTGGCATAGACGGAAACAGCAGAAGAGAAGAGGAAAAAAATAAAAATCCGTTGGTTAGAATATCATAATTTTCCATGCGATGTTGCTTTGGCTTAGTTCTTGATTTTGTTTCTTTTCGTTGGTTCGGTTATGACGAGTATTTATGTCGATATGTTGAGCAGAACCTTGGATATTCGTTCATTATGCTTATGTTTTTGTGTTCTATGGGCTGTTGAGATTGTTTTTAGGTCGAGGAAGATTTTGATTTGTTCGTTCGTTGTTCTCACCAATTCTCACAACTTTTGAATGTTAAATTGTAATGAAAAAAAAATTTAAGTGGGCGATTTAATTACATGTTGGAATTTGCGGGCTTTTTCTTTAGCGATCTTCTAACTTCAGGCTTAACATTTTTGTTACAAAATGTCTTTGTTTATTGTTAAGAATTTTAAAAGCAACAGTGAAAGTTTCATAAACAAAGTAAGGGATCATTGATTTATTATCAATTACTTGCATAAATACAACTCAAGTCAATAATACATTGCGGCAAAGCTTCTTATTCATCCGCCGCTTGTCGGGCGACTTAGCCTTTAATTTCCCTAAGGAATTTTAGCCTGCGGACATCATCCGCCCATGACAAGTTTCTAGGAAATACTTTTGATCTAACAATGTATCGCAATCGCAAAAGATTAAAATCGAAGCAGAGAAAAACGGAAAAAACTGCTCCAACCAGAACCTCACACGTTCTAGCAAGTGTGCTTGAAGCAGAACCATCGCGGATAAAGTAATAAAATAATGAGAAAATATGATTACGAATCTCTAATGCATTGCAATTTGAAGTAATCAAGAGGTATGGTGAGGTAATGTGTAACACCATGTGTGCATCAATCTAGAAATTAAACAGCTTAATTGACTGTTTGGATGGTAAGATGAGGTAGAATCAGTAAGTGGAATAGAATTTCCTTTCAGATTAAATAAATTTCACGTCGGCATTGATTTTCTTACAAGAACTTTTCTCTGACGGCGAAGAAATTACGCAATTGTTGCGCAAGAGAAAATCTAATCAGAAGCGCACCTAGTGAAATGATGAAAACCATAATTGAATTTCAACACCTGATCATCAGCGCGTGGAAAATTGAAGAAGTGAAAATGATTCATAGATTCTTCCTGCTTAAGCTGGTCATTGGACTTAGAACATCTAACATCAATTATTATCAGAATCGGATAGAAAGATAGCAAATTAGCAAGTATCAGATAATTTCTCACCTTCTCATCCGAACTAATCCCATCAAAACGAAACGTAAAAGTATAACAGTAATAAATTTAATTCGATTCAAAATCCATTCAACCAAAAAGAAGTTTTAAACTTTAAGAACAATCTTTGACTTTAAGAGGATTTTTTATTATCCTGTAATATCTAATAATAATAATAATAATCATTAAATTATCAAAATATCGCATGCTTTGCAACTTTGTTACTTACTTCGATGTGTTGTTTCCAAGCGAATAACTAAAGTGTTATTAATTAAAATTCAATGGCTGGCCCAATGTGGCTGAAATAATAAAATTATTTAACCCATTCGAATGCTTTATAGTTCACGAAAAGTTTATTTTTTGTTTTATTCTTTCATTTCTTTTCGGCTACAATGCTTCGATGAAGCCCAATTAATTTTACATCATCATCGCGAGTTTTTCACGAAAATCATAAGCACACTGCCGAGTGTTAGCTAAGAAGAAAGAACATGAATAAGCATCTCTGGAGCGATCATAAATCTTTCCTTCATAAAGCACACATGGGAGATTTAATTGAAATTAGTCTAACGGAATTTAAACCAATTATTAGTGTGATTTACAATTCAGCGTTTGTTTCCCATCATGAAAGATTTTTTATTTTATTTTTTTAGTTTTTGTTTTAGCACATTGCGTTTCAACTCGCATTGGAATATCAAGCATGGTGCGCATTTTCTTTAATTATTAATGAATCTTTCATCGAGCGTTCTAATTGTTGGAATTATTGAATAACACATGGTGGTAGAAAAGAATCCGCTAATCGATGGAGGGCCAAAAATCACTTCACCACTGTTAAGTTCTCTTTCATTGTTGTTTTGTGATTTCCGGTCTCAAGAACTATCTATGGTTTCGTCGGATATTCATTGCCCGAAATTACTTTTTATTTGCGAACAATTGGCAACCGAAACGGCAACCAAAATAACAATCGAAAGGTTCTTCACAGGAATAGAAAAGAAATCGAGAAGATTTTAGCAAGGAAGCGGACTAAAAAGAAGAAGATATCAAATGTCAAGGATTTTTTAATTGAGTAAGGAAATGAAGGAAGCAAAGTGTAGCATCTCATAGCCGCCCATTCTTAACGGAAATTGATTTAATGTTTAAACAGGAAGTTGAAGCGTTTCTTCCTTTTCTCATAACTTGATATTTCTTTTAAATTTAAAAATTTAATCAAGGTATAAATTTACGATCATCTATTTAAAGGTAGCAATAACAAAAGTAATAAACATTAGATTAATAAATAAATCGATTGAATTAATGGGAAACAATAATTTATGTGAGGTAACTTTTCGTGAATATTTTAAGTTTCTTGTTTGGCTTTCAGTCGTGTCAAAGTCAACTTGCTGAATAAAGCAAAAGATCATGAAGATGAAGCATAAATTTATTTAAATTATGCAGGAAATATCCAAACATAATCTGAAGACTTCAATGGCTGAATGTGATGGGAAACTTTTCTTTTCAATGTTTATTGACATTTAAAAATAAATTCTTTCTTACCAAGAACATTACTATTGCCAACAATCATAAAATTCAAACCCTTTCGGTTTTTGGGTATAAGTATAATTAATTTGAGTACATGACATTGTGCAAATTTAAATCCTTTTTCAAGTTTGAAAGCCTTTACTTAAAATTTTTAATGTGCTGCTTAAAGAAGAGTTATAAACATGACATAATTCATAAAGATAAATGTCTCTTCGTTAAAGAAAAAAAAAGCAAGCCAGAACAGAAAACTGGTAATTATCGGCAGAACACGAAATTCATGGAGATTTTACAGCTTTATGGAACGTTCTTTGATAACAACAATAAAAGTAACAACACTAAAATCCTTTTAAGGGGCGTAAAAACTCATTTTTCAGCAGAAAGAATCCTTTTAAATAGCTACTATGAAGCTACAAGCAAGCTTAAAACGAGAAGAATGAAAGAGAAAATATTTGCCTTGCCATCAAACAATAACAATTTTATGGTTCAAAGCGAGCTTGCATGGTGAAATTAGGTAGAATAACGAAGAAGTTGAAGACATTCATCATGTGGGTAATTTATGCAAATTATCCTCGAGCCTAATTGAATGTCTCGTTGCTTTTCTTTTCATCTTACATCAATTTTGATCCTTTTTCTGATGCGACAGATAAGAGCATCGTTTATATGTGTGGATGAAGAAAGAATTGCGCGTTGCATGTTACAAAATTTTGCCTCTGGCTAAATTGCATTTTTTTTGGCATTCGGTTGACATTAAATGTGCAGCAGTCGGTTGAAAAACGGCATCTTTTCGACTGTTGTCGTCGTGGTCGTCATTGTCGTATTCTTCGATTATCATAGCATTCCATTCGTAATGGTGCAGTGGAGCAATGATGAAGTAAAAAAAGCACATTTTTATAGAAACGAGTTATGTATTTTTGAAGAGCCTGGAACAATAATTGGAGAATCAGGTTCTTTCAAATAACAAATAACAATCCAGTTTCTTGTTATATTCCCTTGTTTCGATGCTTTCGCATTCCCTCTCTCTCTCTCCTTCTTTGTCTCTCTTTCTTACATTTGACCGTTTCTTTCTTTCGTTTTCCTTAAGGTTGGTTGAGATCTTTTGTAACATCGAAAAGTGCTTCATCTTGCTGCGTTCTCCTCCTCTGCCTTTAAATTCGCTTTTCTTAGGCTGTTTTTATTCCTTTTTATTTTAATTCAGTATTTCAAGGTTAAAAGATTGACTTCGAGATCGTTTCTTTTTTTTCTTTCCTTCTCGCCTGATTTTCTTCTTTATTTTAATGTTGCTTTTAAGTTTCTTACTTACTGTTATATTTTCTTGAATATCCTACGAAGCTAAGCGAGAAATTGCGTTCAAGGCTTTTACATTGTTGTCTCTTGTTCAGTTTCTTTAATCTTTACATTTTTTCTTTCAAGAAATGTTGTTTCAATATCAACAGTCGGTTTCATGTTGCAAGGCTTATAGCGTTAAAGAAATGTTTAAAAGGAGATAAAGGCTTAAGAAAGAAAAAATCTCTTTTATAAAAGTTAAAGAAAGCAAAAATTAAGAAAATTTAGTTAGATAGAATAAAATAAGAAAATTTTCTCCATTTCTAAATATGTTTCTAAGTAGTGTTGCGAAATCATGAAATTACAAACACACACTTAACGTCATACCTGCATCCATTGAAATTTACTCGTCGATCGCTCCCACACACTTACACATCCACAGAATGGAGCGTCAAGAGCGAGTCTGACTCTCATTTATTTCATTTCTGTTTCTTCAGTCGTCGTGAAAAGACGCACATTTGATGTTATCAAAAAATATTCAATAAAAACATTTAAAAAATCAGAACTTAACTTAAGAAGTCGAAGAATTTAATCTTTTGAAAGATTTTCTGCTAAAATATTCGAAAGAATCGGTGAAGATTTCAGTGAAAAGTGGAAGAGAGAAATTTGTCAACAAAAATAAAAATTTCTTGTGAAAATGAAGAAAGAAAAAAATATTAAATTAATAAGGCAAGCAAATTTGTAAAACAAAAAGATTCTAGTGAAGAGAAGAGAAAAAGAATTTGATAAAGATTGTTTTGTTGAATGAAACTGTGAACATAATTAATAAAAAATGCCGAAAATCTTTCTCATCAAAAATCGATTACATCAACAACAACTTCGTTTGTTAGAATCGCAAAATCTTATTCAAGCAAAAAATGAAGATCGGTTAAATATTGGCGACAATGTCCAGCAGGATCATGATGATCGCGAGCCACTGTCACTCGTCGCAAAAAAACGGAATACAGAGGATAATTCCGCCAACTCCCGGCAAATAGCTGAAGATTTACAAAAGAAGAAAAATGATGCAGGTTTGTTAAGACTTTTGACTTTAGCCTAAGCTTCGTTTATTAATTAAACAACATTTTCTATCCTGTTGTTATTTACGACAAATTATAAAACAGTTTAAAACTTGAAAATGTTTCGAAAAGAAGAAAAAGTCAGAAATCATTCCTCCCGCTTCAAACATTTAAATCCTCATAAATTATTTATTGTCCTATTTTCTCATCATTCAAATCAGTGAACAAACCGAACTGAGCACACAAAAAAAAGGAGAATTTATATGTGAGGTAACATGCTTCGATTTATTTTCCCGTTTAAAATTAAATAATGAAAGTCGTCACGTAAAAATTATTTTTGCACATGACGCAACATTTTGAATGCATCTTAGAATGAAGAAAAATTAAATCATTGCAAAGTTGTGAAATATTCTCATTGTTGTTGAAAGGAAAAAGAAATAATTTGCACAAGAAAGAATGAAAATTGTTTCCGAGACATTTGGTCCTCGATGAATGAACAACGGTCAGTGTTCATCATGTACAAGCTTACAAAGTAAAAATCCTAAGTCTAATTTCTACCTGAGCATCTTTCAAACCCAACCTGAATATCATATGAGATTTCTCCCACGATCGTTACTTGCGATATTCTCGAATGCAAAAGGGGATGGTTTTTGGTTTCATTTCTCTCATTCCACCGTTTTATATCTCATAACAAGACATATGCTGCTTCCTCCTAAACCTCGAAAAACGAACTTTGATTTCGGGAGAAAGAACAAAAAAAAGATAGAAACACATGTTAGTCGATCTAAAAAGGGAATTTTCATGCTTCTATTGTTCATTTACTTTTATTTCTTCATTTTACCTGCTGGCCAAGATTCTAATGTGAATGAAGAGTTTGTTGAATTAATTTAGAAATAAAAATGTAAGGGGGAATCATTTTTGTTGTTCGCAAGGGTTCATGTGACACAGTAAACAAGTTTTGTTAAGTTAATGTTCAACAGGTTGAAGCCACAAGTGTGCAAATGCCGATGGGAATATAACGAAAACGTTAGCAAATGCATTTTAATAACTTTTATATGATCAAAACGACATTTTTTAACATTTTTGAAGTGTGAGTTTCATTCTTCTCCACTTTTTATGCGTAAAAATGAATTTTATTGGTCAACGGTCCACAGATGCAACACACAAATGCACTTTAAGGTATTACATGTTGATTGTTGTTATATGATGGGCTACTTTATAAATTGCGTAACAATTACATCGTCATCCTGGCTGTGAACTTTAATAAATAAAAGACATGCGATGGTAATGGAAAAATGATCACGAACCTAGGATAACAATTGTCAGTCCACTTAAATCAGTATCACGATATGCTATTAAAAGCTTTCTTTCAAGATCTCGCAGGCAATTTTTGCGACTTTTTTTTTCTCTCCAATCCTCGTCGCCCCTGACCTAAAAGCACAACAGCAAAGCGCAAAAAAAAGAGTTATCGAAAAGAAATAAACCGTTTTGTTTTGCTATTATAATATTCACCTGGCTTTGTTCAATAACACATCGTCGTTGTCGTCGTCGACGTCGTCCAAAACATTTATTCAAGTCTATCGAAGTTGTTGTGAGAGAGAGATTTACATTTATGCCAAGACCAAGGTGATCAGACCTTTGAATTATTACGAGCTTTATCATGTATCGATCAAGCATGCTTTTGCTGTTGTCTTGGTTGGTTCTCCAACACATTGCATGCCTTCATCAATGTGCAATTAAATGCAATTTATTTGTGAATTAAAAACTAAAAATAATGAAAAAATTGCTTCAATCTCACTTCATGATCATGAGATCTGACGAAGATTTTAAAGTTTAGATAAGAGTTCTTAGCATCCAGATGATAATTTCAGAAATTTTCTTTTGTTGAAGAAGTTTCTTTCTTTAAAAAAGAAAAAGAAAAATCTAACAACGATGAGAATTTTCACAAGTCTCAGAATCTAAATATTTAGAAGGAATGGTGGGGAACGTTAAGTAAGCAGACAAGAACGAAAAACAATTACAAAGATTTTCTTTTGTTTCATCTTTTGACGTCGATTATTCTTATTTATTTATATTCTCTTGAACACAAAAGTCTCTTAGAACCATTCTCAAGTAAGACTCTTTTTGCTTTTGTGTGCAATCAAACAAGAATCACCTTGAAAATAATAATAATGAAAAAAAAAACTTTATTCACGTTGTTAAGCAGAGAAGGAAAAAAATTGTAGCGATTCGTTATATAAGAACGAATAAATTTATGTACATGAAGCTAAACATGAGAGCGAGTGAGTGAGTGAATGAGGGAGAGAATAAGAAAACAGAATTAAAGTCAAGAACAGAAGGCAATTTACATTCAATTTCAAATGTTTCTTTTGGAGACTCTAAGATTGCCGATTAAATAAGAATGTTGTTAAGACGCTTTTCTTATGCTGAAAACCGCGATTTCCCACCGCAAACTTGAAATATTTAGCTTCATACGAAGAGAACAATCGTTGGAATTAAATATTCTTACTCTTTGTTTCTTCTTCGCCTAATCTCCCATAGAAAATTGTCTCTCGATCAATGGAAGTTAGTTTCAGTTACATAAGAAAACTAACGAAGAAGCAGAAGGGAAAAGAAGTTTTCTCTGTTCCCTCTTCTGTTGCTGCCGTTGCTGCTGTTGCTTAAGAGATGAAAGACAGAGCGAGAAGAACGAGAAAAAAAAAAAAGCGAACGAAGCAAAATGGCTTGCTTTAAGTTCATTCAACTTGCTTGATGGACTTGGATTTTTTTATTCTTCCATCATGGTTGATGAATGATTTTGAATGTGGTTGGCTGACTATGAGGATTTTTTTTACATTTCTTTTTCATTACATTGGTGAATGGTCATGCGAAATCAAAATCGAAAATCTTTAAAATTTAGCGATCGAACGATGAACATGATAATGGATCGCAAAATTTACTTGTGCGTGTGTTTTCAAAATAAAAAAAAAGTCGTAAATAAATGAAAACTCCGCGTCAAGAACATCAACACAATCGAACGATAACGAGTTGCGTAGCTCGTATGTAAATTGATGTGCCACTACAAATACTGTTATATAATCGAAACTGTGTCCACAATTGAATTCATTTACACTTCTCCACTGCTTCTTTCATGTGACATCGACCATACAAAATTTAATTGAGTGTGGTGTTGGTGCTTAGCTGGTGCTTTTTTAATACTTGTTTGCCTGTTCTTTCTATTCATGCTTACTCTCTGTCCATGTCCATGTCGAACAACAATGTAACGCATTTTATTCTTTTATATTTTTTAACAAATAATTTAATCTTTTGTTGATTCTCTCCATCTCACTCTCTCTCTTTTTCCCTTTTATCGAAAATATTTTGAAATAACATTTCTAGAATTATTCATCGCTTAAAATTGTTTACAGGGATTTCCAGAGAACTATCACGAATCTATCTCTTGTAAATAAATAAAAAATAAAATGAAATCAAAAGACATTTAGAATATTTGCCAGTTATGTCACATAAATTTGTTTTTTTTGTCAACTTTTATAATTTATGTTAGTGAACTTGACAAAAACTTTGAATGGCCCTCGAAAAGAGTCATTAGATTGAAAAAATATGAAAATTTATTCACTTTGGCGATGCGCACAATGAAATAAAATGAAATGAAAAAAGGCTTATGTCGCTTTTTGTTTATTGGATCAGAGCAATGTTAGAGATTGCAAAACACAACATGTGCGTAAATCTTCAGTTGATTAGCATAAGAACTGAAAACAACACCGGACGCTTTCTAAATCATAAATACCTAAATAAATTCGTTAATCTGACGTGAGGTCTTTCGTTCTCAAGCGAAATTCCGGCAACGCAAATAAATGATTGAAATTTATTGCATTTTTCTTTTCACTGATTAAATATTTTTGTATAAAATCTTCATTAGTTTGTTAAATAGAAAAAAATTCCAATGAATTTAGAGGAAACGAAATTATTTCGAGTGGAATTAAAAACGAAATGATGAAGCTTAATGAAGCAACAAACACGAAAAGAATGAAGAAGAAAAAATTCTTTAAATTAACCCCTTAGGTGTTGGCAGTTGAACACAAATTTTGTATCTAGCAGAAAATTGTTGAATGTTTAAAAGTAGATGAGCTTCCGTTTGTTACTCATCAACTTGGCAGGTGCTTCACTTCCCATTAAAAATCTTCAACAATATGTAAAATGAAATTTAAAGTAACTTATGGTGGTTTTTTGACTGATAAACGAAATGAGGGAGCAGAAATGAAACAAACAAATTTTTCTTCGAACTTAACGCATGAGTTGCGCAAGCAAAGTAAGCAGGTTCGTTCCATGTGCACCCGTGTAATCATTACGAAAGAAAAACCAATTTCTAAAGCCATTAAAATCCCATCAGAAGTCACTTGAAAAGAAGCTTAAATAAAGAATGCATTTAATTGCATTTCATTTTATTTCGTTATGTTAGTAGAAATATTTGTTAGGTGAACTATCGGCCTTTAAAGTCATCAAGTCGTTAGCTGTCGTTTCGGCTTTCTAAATTTTTCTTTCTTTCATTTCTTTATTTTATTTTTTAACCAAAACAAGTTCCAATCCAGAAAGCTTTCCAATGGGGTAACGTGCGAAAGAACCGTTAGAAGACGATCGAGAATGTGGCTTAAAAAAAGTAGAAAATATGACGACAATGAAATTTGTCTCTTATTGCGATGAATATTTAATTAGTAATGGTTGTTAATGTTGACCATTTACGAATGAATGATTTGCACAATCTAGTGAAATTTTCTTATTCTTAAAATAAAAATAAAAGCTAAATAAAAGTGCAATCAACATGAGACGACATTCAATGTCCTCTTCATGTACGAGACAACGACGACGTTATTCGATTGAAGAATGCAAATATTTACTCGACATTTTTCTCTCTCACTTCTTTAATATTTTTCTTACTCCGTGTTCTGTTGTTTTTTCACCACTTGGCATAAATTTGCGTAATCAATTGACATGAATGTGTGAACGATGCTTTGAGAGACGTACACAGAACAAAAATAAAGAAAAAATAACACGTTGAAGTTGTCTTGACGACTGATGACTTATGGCTATTTATGCAAAGATTTATATTTAAGATGGCTGGGAAAGACAACGGGATCTTGAAGGACACGAGATGATGAACAACAAATAAAAGTAATGCGTCACAATAAACTTACGCATCAGATCACTTTCTAAAAAGTTTGTTTGTTGTCTGCAATGTCAATGAATGATGGAAAAGTCATCCTAACTCCCTCAAATTCAAACAGGTCAATTGAAAAAGCAAATGACAAAAAGCTTCGTTTTCATGTGGACAATTTTAATTAGAAACATATTATGTGGGTCGTCGTGACTCATTGTTCACCTTCGTTGACACTTTTATTGCTCTGTTGCTTCTTCTGCTTTTTTTTATTTCGATATTCGATGAGTAAACAATGCGTAATAAAATTCAACTGAATCCTTGGCGTTGCCCTTAGCCTTCACCACGAAGACAGACCGTTATCAAATAAAAACGTGTTTATCGCTTCAATGCAAGCCACAGCTGGCTATTTGTATTTTCTGGTGGTTAAAAGCGCTTCACTGGAAGTTGCTTGAAATGATAGATAGATAACAACAGCAGTTCAGTTGGCTTCATCCGAAGAATGAATAAATTAGCAGTTTTTCGTTTGATCATTGTGATGTTTTCTTTTCGCATTCTCAATTTGCATAAAAATATTTTTTATTTTCTTTTTTATTATATATATTTATTTGTTTCAGGGCTTAACATTGTAAATAATCTAAAAGACATTTAATTTGAAATTTCAATATGTTTTATTATAATTAATTCCTGAAAATAATTTTAAAGAAATTAACGAACTTTTTGAAATTTTCCAGGGTTTTCTTATGCGAAAATTGAAAATTGGAAAATGTTCATCCGATACTCAGCCCTGCTTTGTTTACATATGTTTTCAATTTGATAAAATAGCCAAAGAACTCATGACCTTCAAGAGATTTAAATTCGTATATCTCACTCACTCACTCGCGAGCAGTCCACAAATAGAACGTGTTCAGATTTCTTGTTAAATTAATAAATATTAATTTTTCTCTTTTGGATGTCGACGGATGTTAATGAACCAATCAAACGGTTAGACTGAAAGGGCTTTTCAATGTCAATGGAATCGCATTTTGACGTTTTATTGGTGATAACGAGTCTTTTGTTTGTTCAATGAAATTGAGTCTTTTTATAGACGATCGATTTCTTACGTAAGTGCGTTAGTGAGTGAGTGTTTAAGACAATAATTGACCATTCAATGAGGCAATTGAAGCACGATAAAGCATTAATTGGTATTCAGGGATGTTAAGTCTTATTATTCATTTAATGGGCCTCTAACCACCACACCCGCCTTCCGTTCACTTCACAAATTCACATCGTTTTAAATTCGCTGTGAGTGTTTTATTAAATAAGCAGCTCGAAGCTAAATATGTCATTAAAGTTGCTGTTACTGCTACTGCTGTTCAAGCTTTTATTCTAGAACGAATGTCCTTAGTCACTCGAGTACTTATTAGATCACGCGATAATTGAAGCTTTCAGTAAATTATGTACATGATTACTCATAAATCTTTGTTGGTCATTTGTTGCAACTTTGAAAAAAAAACCCAAAGAACATATTTTTTGACCCATTAAAATGGAATGTAAATAATTTCACTGCCCTCGCTGCTTTCCTTTCATCGATGCAAATAAAAAATATAACAAAGTAAATATTTACAAACAAAAATCAATGAAGAAAAAATATTCCGTTAATGTTTTGCGAAGCTTCGTAATTTAACGTCAGTAATAATAATAAAAATAACAATAAAACTTATAGATGACTAATTAGCGATGATGACGACGTAATTTCCCTTAATAAATAAAACTCTTTAAAAACGATTTCAAAATGATGTAACTTTCATGTTAGATTTTGAAAATCTTTTCCGATTCTTTGTTTTATTTCCATATTTTGTTTTATTTCAATGTTCAATGTTAATGTTTCTTCTTGTTAGGTCACAGTCATGTTCATTTCTGTCCCGCGAGCTATAAGTAATTTATTAAGCAAGTGAGAGAGTGAGACGTTAAAGCTTTTCTTTCGTTGTATTGTTGAATAACTTTTTTTTCTTGAACGAACGAAGAAAACAGTTTAGCGCTTGCCTTTACTATTTGTACAGCTATAGCTTGCCGTATAATCTTTCTGTCTTACTCTAACATTCCTTTTTGAATCTCTTTTGTTTAATTTTCAAAGCACCAACACATAACAATGATGATGCTTAAGAAGACAGCAAATATTTGAAGATGTATTGAAGAATTAAAATCATTGGAACCGGTTTTGTCTTATTAACTGAGTCTGTGGTTGTGCTTGAGTTTGCTCGCTCACTGCACTCTATGATTATCTTCTTACTTATGGAAGTTTTCAAATTCAAGTTCGAGCTCAAGCTTAAATTGCATAACAACATTTTCTTTTATTTTTTATGATTTCAAGTTTAAAACTGTTTTTGTCTGTTTTTTTCCTATGCATTGCGTGGGCATTTATTAATGTTTACAATCGATTTGATTTATTTTACAGCAACTGCTGATCTTTTTGGTGAATCTTCTGCATCACGTCTCGGTGGACTTTCAGCATATTGCGATCAAATTGAATCGGGAGAGCCGCCAAGACGCTTTAAATCATCACTTTTGGGAGGTGAAATTCCTTATGGAAGTGGATCACAGAGATTCATCTTGACACAAGCACAACGTAAAGAATATCCACCAACACCGCCTACAATTTCAAGTTCTTGTGAATCGCCTAAGAGAAGCGATGAAGAAATTATCATCAAGGAACCAACAAACATCCTCCCAGAACCACAATTGATCAACTTATCAACAACACAGAACAAGAAATCTGAAGGCGGTTCATCATCAACACTCACAGAACAAGAAAATGTTGTTCGATGTTCAGTTATTCAACGTGTTCCATTAGTGACATCGTCAAACTCACCGTCACCACCCACAGTGCAATTATCACGTTGTAAAGATGACAAGTCAATCACTTCTAATGCTGCTTATCATCCAATTGCATTGCGTCATAAACAACAAATGGCAATGTATCATCGAATTCAACAAACTCCGGTGATGATTCCCGAACAAGAACATCCAATTGATTATCACATACCAAAAAAGCGAGACATGGCACCGACAAAACGAAAGGACATCAATGGAAGTGATTTAATTGGATGTGAAGAAGATGAAGATAAAAGAATTAAAAAGATTGATTTGATTGAAGAACGCGAAAAGCGAATTCGTGAAGCGAAACGTGCGATTCTTCATCGTGCTTTGTTGCAACATATTCGTCGATTGCCACCGGGCAGTCCGATGGTCGGGCGATTAGCTGGAATCGTTCAAGCAGCTGCTGGGCATGGAAGATCATCTTCCAATAACAATGGCGGTCAATCGAGTGCATCGAACAATGCTTCATCGAACGGAAGTTCTGGTGGTTCAATCAACTTCACTGGAACTGGAAGTGGTGGGTGTGGAAATTCAGGTGTTGGTGGTGGTCTTGGAGGATCAGGAGCTGGTGGAAATGGTCGCGACAATCGATCAAATTATGGACCCAACAGCCCTCCAACTGGATCCCTGCCACCTTTCTATGAGAGTCTCAAAGGCGGCTCCAATGGCGGACTTAATGCTTACAATGCTCAAAATGGAATGAATGGAAACACTTTCAACAATTATTTACTCAACTCCACCCTCGCTCAAATGGATTGTGATGGAAACGGCGACTCTCTGACAAATATTGGCGGTTACCCTTCAAGTCCACAAGATGCCGCCAATACCAAACAATATTCCGTCTTGCAGAATGTTTATCTTCAAAATGGAATGGTCTTGAAAGATGAAATCGATTTGGATTATGATGGAAAAGGAATTGATACGTTGTCATTAAATGGAAATTTATTACAAAATTATGCTGATAATTATACTGACTCGATGATGGCTGACTTGTCGAATGCTGTTGATCCACTTCAATTGACAGCAACGTTGACATTCTCATCACCAAATGAACATGCGTTGCTTGAAAGTCTCACTGATGCTGTTGATTTGTCACAATTCTTGCAACGTTTACCATCAGACGATGATCAATGCAATGATCTTGAACTTTCATCAACACCTTCAATGACTCCCGATTCAAACGGCGAACATCATCAACAGCATCAGCAAATGGAATCATTTCAAGATCATTTGATTGGTGGACGTCATGGCGGATTCTCTTCAAATGATCGTCAACTTTTTTACAAATCTTCACCACCATCTTCAACATCTTCATATGAAAATCCACCGCCTTATCAAACTCGTGATCATAATAATGGCGGCTTACATAATTCACTTCTACAACAGCAGCAACAACAACAACAGCAGCAGCAACATCATCAGCAACATCAACAACAACATTTAAACAATCAAAGTGGATTTGATTTGGAATCATCTCTTCCTTCACCTTCCGGTGCATCACCTTACGATTCAATTCACTCGCCACCACAACAAAATCATCATCATCATCATAATAATCATCACAGTGGACTGACAAGTGATCATCAACCATCAGCATCAACGACACCATCACCGAACGCTATGACAACGATTCAAAACGTAAGTAGATCGTTGAAATCGAATAATCGTCGAGTCTCGGCAGCGAGTAAATTGAGTAATTTATTGGCATCGGCAACGACACCAGAACCGCCTATTATAGCGGAAGCTAAAGCTCATGTCCTACAGCAACGGGTAAGCAAGTTTCATTGGAAAAAGAATTTTAGAAACAGATTTAATTTCTTCTCTTTTTTATTTATTATTTAATTTAATTAAAGTTATGAGACAAGAAAAAAGAAGAGAAGAAATTTTAAATTTGATTTTTTTAATCTAACTTGCTGATGTTGATGCTTGAGGATATTTTTTTGATGTTGGTTATCAATAAAATTATAAAACAGAAACCAAACAGATTCTGGCTTAGTTAATTAAACACTTTTAATAATAATTTTCTTATCGCGATATTTACAGTTGGGACTTCCAGCAGAAGTGCAATTGGAGTTTGTTAATGGTGGTCATGGGATTAAAAATCCATTGGCTGTTGAAAACGTTCCCGGACGTTTACGTGATGATGAACATGTTCCAATTAAAAAGAGTTCATCAGCAGCTTCATCATCAACTGAAGAAGAAAATGGAAAATTTGTTTGTCGTGTTTGTTCAAAACATTTCACACTTCAACGTTTGCTGAATCGTCACATGAAATGTCATTCGGATGTCAAACGATATTTATGCACATTTTGTGGTAAAGGATTTAATGACACATTTGATTTGAAACGACACACACGAACCCACACAGGAGTTCGTCCGTACAAGTGCAATTTATGCGAGAAATCTTTCACGCAACGATGTTCACTTGAATCGCATTGTCTTAAAGTGCATGGAGTTCAACATCAATACGCGTACAAAGAACGACGTACAAAGGTGAGTTGAAGTTGAAATTCTTCTTTTATTCAATTTAATCAATGTTTTTTATTTAAATTAGATGTACGTATGTGAAGAATGCGGTCACACAACGAACGAGCCAGAAGTTCATTACCTTCACTTAAAGGACAAGCATCCTTACTCACCAGCCCTGCTGAAGTTCTATGACAAGCGGCACTTCAAATTCACCAACTCACAGTTCGCAAATAATTTGTTGGGCTCGTTCCCGATGCCTGTTCACAACTAAACAACTTCTTTTTAGACCTTTCATCAATACGTCATCATAATCATCATCATCAATGACACCATCATCAACATCATCCAGAATTCTAAATTCTCCTGTTTAAATGACGTGTCTTTGATTCTACCCCTTTTTGCTACACCACCCACCTTCACCCCTTCAACACACGCACACACAACAATGCATACATACATTTATGTACGTATCAACAAAAGCATAGAAGAAGACGAAGAGAAGACGAAGAATGAAGATGAAGATGAAGAAGAAGAAAGCGAGAAAATTTTGCATTTAATAGAAAATTAATTTTTTTTTCTTCTTTACGTTATGTCACTTCTCTGTACAAGGCTGAATTTCTAAAAATTATATTTTTAATAATTTAATTTGTTTGACGAATTGTGTAAAACTTTTCCTCCAATCACAATCTTCCAGATTTTCTTTCACATTTAGAATATTGATTAAATATTATTATTATTATAATTTATAAGAATTATTATATTTCTTCTTGATAAGAATCGATCGAACGTCGACATATGACTGCAATATTAATCATTAATCGCATTAAATATTAACAAGAAATATTACATTGATAGTTAAATTCACTTGACATTGTCGAGGATGAAGAATAAAAGAAAACTTTGATTTTCTTCGCGAAGAAAAGAAAATCTTTTTAGTTTTTAGAACAAATTATTACTTAAGATTACGCAACAACACTCAATTCTAATCTAATTTGTTTCCTTCCTTCCTTTATTCATTGATGAAAGCAAATCTGATAACATGACTCTTAAACCCTAACGATTCTCCTTAATTAAGTCGATGACTGTCATTTAAAACAATTTCTGTTTTTTTTTCTACAAACATTTTATTCAATATCGGGGTTTTAATGTGCAATGTTAATGATTTAAAGTTTAAGTGATGATTTATGATAAAAATATGTTTTTTTTATAAATAATGAAATGATGATTTCGAGCAAAACAAAATAAAACGTTACGAGATTCAGGAGGACAATTCAAAAGAAATTAACTTATGTTGAGTAATATGTAGTAAGAAACAATTTCTCTTTAATTAAAATGAAATTAAATTAACGATTTGGTGGTTGGAAACAAATTAAAAATGCAAAACAACGCCGGGCAAGCTACTCAATATCTATGAAACATGAGATAAATATTTTTCGTATCATGCGTAATTACTCGATTATAAACATCTAGTATTTCATAGAATTAACGATAAAATAATTTGTTACTCGAAAAAAAATGTGTTTTATTTTTATTACAATAATAAACAAGAAGAAATCTGTTTTGTAATCTCGATAGCTACAAAATTATGAATTGAAGAACAATAAAAAAAATATTTCATATCGATAATATCAAATGAATGATTTTTAAATTGTGAGAGATTGAAGAATTAATTAAATGAATTAAGGGTTGAAATTGTATAAGAAAAGTCAGAAATTTCAAAAGATTTGAATGCGTGGATACACCAGTGAACATCAAACTTTTAATTAAAACATTTGTATGGTTTCAGAACTTCCCCAGCTGTTGTATATCCAAAGGTAAATCCATGTCATTCATTCATATTTCTCATCATAAATTTGGTACTTTTTCCACAGTATATCGTTGACGATTGTGCTGCCGCCTATTACATCGAGTAGAATTGCACAGATAGTCACTTCGCTCCCAGTTTTTATTTTATTTCTCGCGAATCAGCCATCAAATTCACATAAAACTTTTATTAGTTTAACACCAGACCTATTGTTTAATCGATGTGAGTGAAAATTCGTGCAATAATTGATTAATATCCGGGATAATCTAAGTGTTAAAAATACCTTTACTCACAGTGGATTGTAAAATAAAGTTTCTTGGTATTGTGCAGAAAGAAAGAAAAGGAAAAAAATATCTATCGTAAAAAAAATTGCGATTATGTTATCCCAACTGGTTTATGTTGACTGGAAATTAAAACGATAGGAATAAAAACCCATAGGCAGGCAGCTAAAGCTAAGAAATAAAAAAATTTATGCTTGAAAATTCTGAAGTCGTGGGGGGAAATAAGTGAAATTCGTCAACGTTAGAGCCGAAATGGAAATAATGAGGACTGTCGTTCCAATTCTACTAATTAGTGTCATTGTCTCCAATCAATTAAAGCATAATGCATAAATAATGTAATTTATCAAAGCAACAGCATAACATCGTTTCAACCAACATATCATCAACCAATATTTTTTACACAACATAAAAATTAATTGAAATTTCAAGCTGCAGAAGTGAGACGAAATTTTCTTTTCTATTCTTTGGTTTCTTCCTAAAAATCCAATCTTGAAACTACACACACACACACAAGTTGTGTTGAAATTTTAGCATAAAAAATACGAAAAAGCCGAAAGCCATCATTTTAATATTTAAAAGCGTCGAATAGTAAAAAAAAAACAGAAATGAAACCAACTTTCAATGGATATTACTCAACAGCCATTGCAGCTTTGCATTTATGGATTATTATTGTTAACATACAGGTGAGTGTTTATTTTTTTCATATTAATTCTGATTAGACTCTCATTGGGTTGAAAGAAGAAAAATATTTATCAAGGGAAACTTCACATAATATTTGTTGCTTTACTACTTTTATCATTCTCCATAAAAATCCATCCCTGACCTCGTTCAACAACCATTCACGATTCGATTGCAAACAAATATGTTTAATCTCTCAATTAAGCAAGGAAAAGATAACTTTGCTCATTAGTTGCTAATAAGTTTTCTCATTTCAACTGAGTCTGTTGTACATTTTTATATATATTTGAACAGGACGTTTCATATTGCAAAAGATAAGAAGAAAGAGAAAGATTATTAAAGAAATTGTCTGCATCATAAAAATAAAAGAAAGAAACGAGTCAATATGCAAATTAAAAAGCTGGAATTATTTCCAATACTGCAAATGAATGTTGGAGTGTGATTTATGTTGAACTTAAAGTCGATTGTTGTTGATAATAATAACTTGAAACTTAAGTTTGTTTTCGTTTTAAAGGAAAGTGAGTAAATCTCAATCAAAATCCAACTAGTAGCGTCGATATATTGAGGATTGGTTCACACAACAAACTACTTAAGACTCACTCAGCGATGCTAGTTTTATGGGCTCTCATTTGTATGCGAAACGTCAAGACAAAACCTGTTATTTTTTCAATTTTTATTCCACTCATTGAAGTGTTGCTGCTTTTTTTCTTCTCTTTGTTGCGTTTCATGCCTTTTTGCATATATACACACATAAGCATAAAGTTTTGCCATCAGCAAGAAAAAATGAAAACAAGAAATCTTTTCCAACACTCGTTGAATATCTTTGTTGTCAAAACAGGGCGATGCTTGTATGTGCGGTAATTTAGGTAACTCTTGTGACCTCTTAAAGAGAGAGAATAATAAGAATAGAAAGTTTCTTTTCAATACTTTTCTTTATCCATGTCCAATCTGTGTAAATTTTTATTATCGCAAAGCATTGCACCTCGCTCGATGCACACATCAAAAGTGCGTTACGTCTCGCAACCCTTGATGTCTCTGTTTTATTGTCCCGAGAGACTCAATTATTACATCATGTAAATGTCTAGTTTTGCGTTATGACGACCCTCGCATTTCGGATTTATTTTCATTATAAAATTCTCCCAAAAAAAAGTAAGTCACATTACGTCGCCCTTCACATATGACTGCCATTGAAAATAATTCCATTTTTTATTGTGCTTGATTCGATATTTAGATGTTACAACTGTGATTGTTTTCTACCAGTTTAATGTGGCATTAAATGAAGAAGTGTGGCATGACCTTTGCTTCTTCACTTCCCTTTAACAATTAAACTTCTTTTGGATGATGGAAGATTGAAATGGCAAGCGAATGATGATGATGACGAAACCGTTTCTTCGTCTCATTCATTGTATGCGTTAATTTGAATATTATTTAAATTCTTTTGATCATCATGTGATCTACTGCATCGATATGCCAAGTCACTTGACTGTCGTTATTTTCTCTTCTCCCCTCGCTTTAAAATTTATTTTTTAAAAAACGTTGATGGATAAAACAACAGAGGGAACGATTGTGATGGAATTCCAAGACTAATTAAATATTTCCCTTCGCTTCTCACTTGCTACTTTTATTGAATAACAAACAAGTGATAAAAACAGATAGTCTCGTCATAATCATGATGTTGAATGATGGAATTGCAACGAGAATGATGCAGCTATAAATAAATAATAAACACACGAAAACTTCCTCTTACAACTTACACAACAAACGATGAACAATTGTTCTGATGCAATTATCATCCGACATAAAACTGCACATTTTCTCACATTAAATTTCATTTTATTTCATCTTTTTTTTCCGCCCTAAGCACATTTTTCATTTGTTCTCGTCGTCATGGCGCAACTCGCCACACAGCCATTTAAATTGCATCTAAGTTCAGTTTATTCTCTTAATGTTGTCATGTCGAATGAGTTTTGTGAGAAATTTTTAACTTTTTTGTCTTATTTTGCACTCATCTGTCGTGTGAGGGAACATTAAGTTGTTCTTTCTTACTAATCGTCTCGAAAATTTCTTTATTTTTGTGTGAAATTTTGAATTTCTGATGTTCTTTCATCATGAAACAAGTAAATAACAAAAGAATTCAAATTCTTTATTCATAGTTCTTTGAATGTTGAAACCATTGCTTAAACTATAAATTCATTAACGTAATTTGTCCGTTTTCTCGGTTCTTAAATTTTCAGAATATTTATTAACGTTAATCGCACCTTCTGAGACTATACAAAATATTTTATTTATTCATGTTGACTAAACAAATGTTTTCATTAGAATTTATCACACTTTTTTATTGTTATTGGAGACAGAAGAAAAATTAGTTCAACTTGATCGCACGTTACAAAGTATTAAGCGAGAGATGTAGCTACATAAATAGGAGCAAATACGAGAGTTGATGAGATTTATCGCATTGGAAAAGATTAGACATTACGGTGTCATGTTTCAGCATTCAAGTTTCTTTCTCAAACTCATTCATCCACTCGATTCTGCTACAACATTGAAAGGCACACTTGTCCGATATAAAAAGAAAGAAACAAATGCGAACACCACATGTCGACTTTACTACCAGAGAAAGAGATAAAAAAGAAGCGAAAAAAATTGTTTTTATTAAAATATATTTACTCTCACTTAAATCTTTTTTTGTAACATCCGTGTTTAGATTTTTCATGATGATGAAAATTTCTCCCCTTCTCTCTCTCTCACTTTGTTAAATTTATAAATAAAAGAATAGGAGGAAAAATAAAATTAAATTTATCGGGATGAATCATGATGACTTTTGTTTCGTCTATTTAGGAAAGTTTTCATTCATTTCTGTTCGAAGCTTAACGCAAATCTTGCGGCTAATGCTGGTTAATATATCTTCATCAATCTAAAACGAAAATTTACTGTTGTTTATCCACAACTTTTACTTTCCATTGACCATTTTTTTTCTCTGCCCTAGTTTCGATGCTCGCTTCGGTTTTTATTTTGCACAACAAACTTTGTTCAAAGTGAAATCCCCAAGGCGTGCACTCACACAGGCAGAAGAAAGAAAGAAATAAAGTTTGGTATTTGAATTTATTTAGTGATGGAGTGCCAATGCAATCAATTAAGTAAGAGATTGAATGAAGAATTTATTTGGTTCATTGTGCCATCGTCTCCTTTTCTTTCTTCAACCAACTACTGCACCTTTTCACAGCACGATATAATTTCATTTAATTTCGCTTTATCTAATGCAAGAAAAAGGAGAAATTCATTCATTACTACATTACATTTTCAACGGGGAGTTTCACGCCCGATATCGTTACATTTATGCTAATGGATTCATTCTTATGCTTAAGTCAAGTCACTGACAAAGTTCAGCATAATGTTCGGTAGCTTTTCGACCGTTTAACTCAATCTAAATAGAAATCAGGAAATAATTTCCTGCACATTTTGGCTGTTGCTGAAAGTTTTCGGTTGTAAATGAAAGAAACAAGGAATTTTTTTGGGTTGAACATGGCAGGAAAAGAAAATGTGTGGGTGGGAGGGTTGAAGGGTGAAAGAAAATGAGAAATTGGGAATTTTATACCGCACATTTTTCCATATTTTCTTCGTGTTCTGACTGTGATTTATTATTTCTATGATTAACGTTCATGTTTCGTTGTTCTAAGTTAAATTAAGCTCTTGACAGTCGACGTTGAATCCATTAAATACTTTTGCATAATTAAGGAAACGATTTCGTTGTTATCGGAGACAAGTTTCATCTTAATTTTCCGCAAACACAACGCTTGCACGCACTACGGGAGATAAACAGGAAAGTAAGGAAGAAAAGAAATATTTAAGTCCGGATAAATCTCAATTTCGTTTGGAAATGTGTCGACACACTTGAACTGAATGATTGATGATGTCACCAGCAATGTTTTATTTTCAAGTGAAGTTCCGCACTTCTTTGAACACATGTGATGACATGATAAATATGTCGTCAACAAACAGACGTACACAATTCGTCCTATTGAGATTTATAATACGCAATTTATACGAAAAAAAATGTAATTTTTCAATTTTCCATTTGATGGAAGCCTTTTCACTAAATGTGATTCAAATTTGTTATATTTCCTTTGTGAATTTGATTCAATCAGCGTTTTGTCGATTGCGATAAATGTTCTCAACAGCTGTAGTTAAGGAAAGGAGGGAAACTCGCAATTATTTGCATTTACAAAATGCTCTTCACCCCATCTCGATGTGTTTGTTGTTATGCAAGAGAAATCGTTTTTCAAGTTGAATGTCATTAACATCCGTTGACGTCGTCGTCACTAGACAATGTCGGACGATGATTGAATCTCGAGACTTTCTTCATTTGATGGATTCCAACACGTTTTTCCGAATGCAATTCACGATGATGTTTATTAATTAGCTCAATGACTATTAAAGTGATTCCATTGACTTCTTTATTTGATGCTGCAACGAATAGGTCGCCGAACCATCACAAATTGTAATTTTAGGGATTTCGAAATTCTTTAGAAATTTTATTTCATATCAAAAATTGCAACGGAAAATGAAAAATTGCTCATAAAAGAAAATTTCCCGACTTAAGCTATCCATTTAGTGAGACGATAAAGCAGTTAGCTGAATCAAATATCTCCATTCATAACTCATCTCTATTATCTGCTGTTCGCAGCTGCACATCTTTATGATTTGCAATGAAATTGAATCAGTTACAGTGTCAGAAAGCGTTGAAGTTAATTGGAAATTGGAATATAAAACAAACAAGCGAGTTGTGACTTCTTTTGTTGATGTAATAAAGTGAAAAGTAATGAAAAAATTGTTGCGAACAAACAGCTTCCGATAAAGGGAAACTACCTTAAATGTCATCCACGATATAATAATAAAATCCGAAAATTTATTCACTATTACAAATTTAGTGCTCATGAAATTCGTTTGCTGACATTATGATGGGCGATAAACTACTTACTAGGCTTTCGTTTTATTGCATGTTGATCCTTGTCATCATTGTTATATTGTATAACTCTGAGCCAGTGATTTCATAGACATTTCAACGCGAAATACTTGGAATGAGATTGTTTGTGATTTTGTAATCGGATAACGTTTCATAAAAATCGTGATAAAATGCTAAGCGCTTCTGTTGCTTCAGCAAACTAATGATTTCGTTTCTCTTTTTCTTTATTTAGTTAAGGAAACGACAATCAGATTTGCATAATTCTATCAAAGATTCTTGAAACGTGACTTGATGTCACTTCTCCCACACATTAAATTTACTTTGAACATCTGATACCTTCTCAGAAAGAAAACAAGCTTGTAAAGTTGATAATTTTGATCACATAAAAGCGTATGATTCATACGTGAAACATGTTGAATAATATAGAACGAAATTCCTTCTTTTTTATTTATGACAGTTCAAGAAAAATGAAATTTAAAGCATTTTTCATGTCTTTAACATTTTACGATGTCATTAATTAGAACAAAATTGTTAATATCATCGTTCGGTCAGATCGCGTCATTTAAGACAACAAATTAAAGAAAATTTTACGATCTTTACCCAGAAATCTCAATAAAGTTTCATTTTCAATCTCAATCAAAATTAAACACCGAAAGAAACAACAACAAAACGCATGATTTTCCATCCGATTGAAGCCAACTTTGTTCTCTCTTCCCGTTAAAAAATGGTTGCAATTCATGAGTGTGAGTTTATTGGATATTTAATACCATCAAGATAACCTTGTTTGCTATTTTTTTCTGTACCCACCATTACCAGTTAACAAGCAAAACTACGAAAAAAGATGAACTTTAAATTCACAAAGGCAAAAAAATGAATCAATGGGAATGGTCGAATGAATCTGTTCATAAAAAAAGGTTCTTTTTTGAATAAATATGATTGTTGAACGAGTGCGAGAAAGAATGTACGGAATTCAATTCTTTCGTGATGATTTTTTTGATTAAATTTCAGCATTAGAAACTTTATAATAGGGCGAGGCTTGAGGGTGGATTTAAATTGGACTTAAACAGTCGAGAATGGAATTCTTTTATTTTCTATTTCACCCTTTGTTTAGCTTTATTGATAGAAGTAAAACGTCATTATCAGTGAAGTCTTATTGCACAACACAAAATAGTACAACGAATGACAAAATAGAGGTCGAACAACGTCGAACATTCCTCACTTTATATTGTCAACAAACAGACTTTAAATGGAATATTTTCATACCTTTTGTCGGCTGCATAACTTTCATCTTTGCATGTCTTTCTTCTTGACAATTTTAAAAAGTTTGATTAAAGTCGAACAAAGCAAAGACAAATATTTTCCAACTTTCACAAGTAAATATCCTCGAGGGCGCTTTAATATCATATATCACGTGACTAGAAAGGTGAAATATTTAGAAAGGGATGAATTTGTATCTTAGGGTTGTTTGATTACTTAGACATCTCTCGAATAATTTCTAAATTGAACAAGAGAAACGTAAGAAAATATTTTATTTCTTTTCCTTTTCATTCGATGCGCTATCAAATTCTTCTTCATCGACTCCTTGACATTATGATATCGATATCACATCAAAAGCAATCATTCTGACAAGTGGAGGGAAGAAATCTTTTCCTGCTCAAGGGGATCTTGCATTTACCTACACAAATTTCTATTCTCTGAATCAAGAAATGTGGAAAACAACACAAATTTACAGCATTTCCTTCTTTTCTCCGATATCTAAAAATATTTTACTTTGTAAATGTTGTTGTTCATTCATCCCTCGAAATCTTAAATATTGATGTGAACTTGGAAACGTGTGCGAGGGCGAGTACGAGAAGGGAAATTGAAAATTCATTAGGGATTCGTCTAATCCACCTACATAGCGTCCTAATTCATCTTTTTTTATATTTCTATGTTGTTCCCCTCTCTGCCGATAAAAATTAACGTAAATATTTAATGTATTGTGTCAATAACGAAAAGAAAGAAAGAAAAAATTGTCGTAAAAGAAGAAAATCGAAAACTTGTAGTTTGTGTTGCTTGAGTTGTTTGGTGGTTTGTGGTTGACGGAGAAATTTGTTTGATTTCACTTCGCTTTAAAACAACAACATGAAGTTTAAAGAAATCTTGATGTTGTTCAGGAAGAAGCTAACATGAAGTTGATACATTCAATGACTCACGATGTTCTTTTTGAGGAAATCTTTCTACGTAAATCATTTTTGTTAGCGGGCTTAAAAGCTTCTTTTTCATCTTCATCATCTTACTTAGTCATCATCATTTGCGGCCTTAATAACCATGAATTCAACAACTTGTTTTGTGCTACAGTGGAAACTTTGCATTGCAAACTTTTTGCTATTCATTTAAATATTTATTCAGATTTCAGCTGCTTATAAAATCTCAAACTCAAATTCATCTTAGCAAAAGTTCAAAGCATTCTTTAAACTAAAAAATGTTAATTATGAGGAATTCTTGAATTCTTGAAAATAATTTTTGACTTTCAAAATAGAATACTTGAATAGTCTTTTCAAAATCGAAGCAATTGAAATGAAAACTAAATGCGTGGGAGGGAAAATTTGAATGTGAATTTCATTTCCATATTTCATTGCCATGGGCAATAATATTCTAGGATAGAATTTCCATAAACTTTGCTAAAACTCTTAATTAGATTCTTAAAGGGACGTAAAAGGTTCTTTTATCATTCAGCTAATGGAAAAATAATTAAATTTCTTAGAAATAATTACCGATGATATCTGAAGGGTTTTTGAATAATTTAAAACACTTTAAAGTGAGACACTCGAAAATCTTCTTCAGAAAATCTTTCTTAATGTGCAGGCAGTTCATAAATTCCATTAAATATTATCAAGAGACTCTAAATGAATGAATGAGATTAAAGTCTCTAAGACGATTCGTTCCCTGCTTTTCCTTCTATTCATATGTACGTGAAAATTGATATAAAACAGAGAAGTGTGTGGAATTTCATACAAGACGGAAAGCAGGGTGGAAAGAAGATTTCCTATTGACAAAGGGAAATCAGACGAGATTTGGGTGATCATCTTGCTCATCCCTGCACTTTCCGGTGAGAATACCAGGAATAATAACAGAAGGTGTTTCATCCGAACGTGCTTCCAATGTTCATGAATTTGCAGTTTGTTATGTTTTCCTATTTTCTTTTTTCTCTTCTTCAATTTTACTCTCTCGCTAGTCGGCACAGCATTCATTTCCATCTTTCATGTGCCGAGAAGCGTGAAAAATAAGTCGAATGAGTTCCAAAGAAAGAAAACATTTCTAAAACTCAAAGCAACATTTCTTTTTTGATAAAAACACTTTAATGTGGTGTGCAGAAATGAAAAGGCTTCGTTTTTTTCCTTTTAAATTCAGTAGATATTCGTGCACGTGTGTGTTTGAGTGAGTGTTTACGAGTGATTGCGTAAAGTGAAGGGGGAAAAGAAATTAAAAGTTTTTTTTCTTTTTTGGGACAAATAAAATGTCAAGCGACAATATTTACGCTCAACTCTCGTTACGGTTTCCCTCGAATATTATTTTTGTTTCCAGTTTTGTTGTAAATATTTAAATTGGAATAGATGGAGATGCTTCGTAGCCACTGGAAAATTTCTAAAATTAAGCTCATCATCTTGTTTTGTTATGTTTACATTTTCATGTTTAAACTGAGAAATTCTTTTGCACTGAACAGCTAGTGAATGAACTCTCAAATGAGCGAGTCTTTCACATACTTAAAATCTCATTCACGACGTTTTAAAATTTCCTGACAAATTGAAAAGATTCTTCAAATGTTTTTTCGTTCACGACGAGATTTCATTTCATCGCTCAGTTTTTGTTATTTTCAATTTCTAGATCATTGAAGGTTTAAATTTTTTATTTAATCAAAAAGCTATTGAATATCGATTCGTTTCATTAAATATTCTGAGAGAGAAGAAGAAATGCGGAAAGTTATTTAAAAAAAACGTGAAACGTTTGTTGACGTAAATCTCGGTCGTTGGTTTTTTGATTGTTGAGATTGTCGAGATATAAAAACTGTCAAGACATCAAAATGCCTTCATTGTTTAAGCATAGCAGAATTATAATTTTTTATTTGCTTAATGCTGAGGGAGCGAAGTGAAAAGGAAATGAAATAAAATTGGTAAATTGCGGTTTGTTGACGCTCCTCTTTCATGTTTGCGTTGAAATTATATTTTGAGTTGCAAAATCAATTAGCACGAGAGACTGCCGAACATTTAAGTGTCTGAAATCATTCAACTACCGATTGCATATGTGCAATTACTGGATTTGTGTGTTTATTTAGACATAAGCAAGCTCGATTAATTGTTTCACAACTAACATTTCCAATTAAAAAAATTATCTAAATCAACTCAACAAATGAAACATCATGTTTAGAATAAAGTAAATAAAAGATTCTAGAATTGTTTGATAATAAATTCGACGTGTACACTTTCAATGCCCCCAAGAGAGTTTTAACGAGTTTCCAACTTCATTTCGCTCTAGTAGTTCACTCATAAAACTTTTCCCCAAACGTTTACAACTTATGAAATTCGATGTTTAAGTACAAAAGCAATTATTCAAGTTTGACTGTTGAGCAATTTACGAGCGATTATGTAAGTTCAATTTATTTATATCTAAAATGAAACATTTGCTTGTTCTACTCGGTCAATTTAATTTCTGACACGACTTTATGTTTAAGACAAGTAGAATGTTTTGATAATTTTCAACTGAATTCCTCAGCATTGCAAGCGTCAACCATTACGATTTCATTTCAGACAGACATGTCCATAAATACATCGTCAACAGCATACCAATCGACAATAATAATAACAAGAAAAAATGTTGAAAATGTCTCTGTGAATGGACGCTTTCTAAATTGATATATTCACAATCTTCAAATCAAATCAAGTGATTTGTAAATTCAAAGCTTGTCTCTCGACATAAACCTAACAGTGACCGAAAGCAAATTGATTTACGTTTCAGCTTTAAAAAGTTTTATAACTTCCGAAACAATTTTTTGTTTTCGATTTAGAACAAAAACATTCAACGAGTGAATCTCATGTGAGTGGCGTATTTTTTATCGTGATAAATTTCTGTTTACAGCAGAAGCATCATGCTGTTGTTATATTTATAAGTAGTGAGAAGGAAACATTAAAACGACAATTTAATGGAAGGGAATACTTTGCTTCTTCTTTTACTTCATTTTTCTTCGCTCCCTTTATGATAACAAGACGGCAAAGATAAATTGAAGGGCTGTTTGTTGTTCCATGCATGATTGAATGACGTCGATGCTTTTTCTTATTCTTCAAGGAATGAGAACGAACTTAAAGTAGGGAAGACGAACGTATGTTTTACAGCGATTTATAATGAATGATTGTGTCTGAATCTTGCTTAAATTATTTAAGAATTTGGTTTTCACAGTGGGGATGCAAATTACAATTTACAAACTGATGAGTTCTAAAGCACCTTAAAAGCACGCAGCAATTAAATGAAGCTTTAGGGGAAAATTGTTAGCAAGAAAGTCAATTAATCGTTTCGAAACGTGACGTGCTCGTAAAAATCCAATTAAAAATTAAATTTTGAAATCACAAGTCGCGTCTCAATTGATTGGTTGTAAAATTTATTAAAGCGTAGTGTAAAAAAAAGTTTTTTCTTATTTGAAAATGTTATGCAACAATCTAATTTTTTTACGTAGTTTAATTAATAAAATTACCTTCAGAAGATATGTAAAAGCATTGATTATCACTCTAATTATTCTCTTCAAATAATTTAAATAACTTTTGTTACAATTTTGCTTGTCCATTGAAGCGTGGCAAAAGCAACAATAACATCAACATTGTCCCCCCTCGATAATCAATTTTCTGTTTCGAAATCGATATTTGTTGCAAAATGATCTCATAATTCATGATATTTTTTTATCTTTATTGTTGCAGAACTGTTATAGTGCCGACCTTGTGATAGAAATTTCTGATGTTAATAAACAACAAGATGGATTCTACCGACTTGTTTACGATCCACCTTACGGATATCCACCGCCAAACACGACGATATCATCACGAGAAATTGGCGACTCGATTCAGTTTTCAAACGGTCTTCCGGGCACAAATTATAATTTTTGGCTCTACTACACAAACCAAACACATCGTGATTGGCTCACGTGGAGGGTTTCGATTACCACAGGTAAAAAATTTGAATAAATATCAAACAAAAATTCGCCGGTGTCTCTAACATTTGATCACCTTGATAACTTGTTTTGGAATTTAAATAAATTTTATATTAATGATGAAATTCTTCTAATGATCATGCAGCACCTGATCCGCCAGCTAATTTATCAGTGACTGTGCGAAGTGGGAAAATCGCTCTGATAACATGGAGTCCACCAACGCAAGGGAATTTCTCTTCATTCAAGCTGAAAATCCTCGGATTATCTGACTATCAATATGCCAACAAGACGATACTGATTGATGACGATTCGTTTCAATATCAGATGAAAGATTTAACGCCCGGCGCCACATATCAAATACAAGCATACACAATATTTGATGGAAAGGAATCCGTTGCATACACCAGCAGAAACTTCACGACGAGTGAGTCGAGCATTCCTTCAACCTTCACATTTGCATTAAACTTTTGGTGGTTTTAAATAATTTATTAATCTTGATTTTTTATTTAGATAACAGATTTTTCTTCTTATTTTTGAACTTTTTAGTAGTGATTCCTTTTTTATAATTTAACATTTTTATTAAAACTCTTTTAGATTGTTCTGAATTATTTGGAAAGTTAGAGGAATTTTGTAGAACAGAGCACTTTGAGTTGGTCTACGGTACACTTAATTATTTTAAGGTTTATATTTCTGGTTGAATAATGGTGGAAAGGAAGAAAAAAAGAAGCTTTGAATCTTTAAATTTCTTTTCTTTTTGTTTAAAGATTTCTTCGTGCATATTCGCATATTTTAAATTTTCTTTATGAAAATCTTCCATACATTCGCATACATGCGAACGTCAATGATATGCGAAACTATTTGAAAATGTCGTTGGTCGACAACCCTGAAAAGCAAAACAAAACTAAAATCTCAAATGCACGAAGAAAATTGTTTGTCTCAATTCTCTTGATTCGTTTCGTTGTTAATAATTAATCAAAGCTTTTAGTTTTTAATTGTTGCTTCCCTAGTAACCTACATATATGTGATTATTTGCTGTTGTATCGTGATAACTTGTCGTTCATCTAATCTAACTTTTAAACATTTTCTTCTTTCTCAATCAATTAACGCTTACACGAAACGATGCGCTCCACGCAATAAACAACATTAACACACAATACTAATCAATTATAAATGTAAATATTTATGCAAACACGTAGAGCGACTACGCCATAAAGATTTGTTGGATATTAAGATCTTAAGAGGTATTTGTTGGTGCAAAAACTAAACTAAAGAATATTAAAAATAAAAAACCTTGCTTGTTGATTAAAACCTTGAAGCTAACATGATTTTTTCTCTTTGCTAATTACCGTGAATATTAACAGAACCAAACACTCCCGGAAAGTTCATCGTTTGGTTCCGAAATGAGACAACTTTACTTGTGTTATGGCAGCCGCCGTATCCAGCTGGCATTTATACACATTATAAAGTCTCAATTGATCCGCCTGATGCCATTGAAAGTGTTCTCTATGTTGAGAAAGAAGGTGAACCTCCAGGGCCGGCACAAGCTGCATTTAAGGGACTCACACCGGGACGTGCTTACAACATATCAGTTCAAACAATGTCTGAAGACGAAATCTCATTACCGACCACAGCTCAATATCGAACGGTTCCGTTACGACCGTTAAATGTAACATTCGACAGGGAATCAATAACTGAAAACTCATTTAGAGTTCTTTGGGAGCCTCCGAGAGGTAACAGCGAGTTTGACAAGTATCAAGTGTCGTTGTCAACGACAAGACGACAGCAAGGCGTACTAAAGAGTGATGAGAGTCCCGTTTCATTGGAATTTAAAGATAATTTAGAACCAGGAAAAACTTATCAGGTTGTTGTGAAGACGGTCTCAGGAAAAGTCACGTCATGGCCTGCGACAGCTGATGTAACACTCAAACCACTTCCAGTTCAGAATCTCGTTAATTTAGCAGAGTTTAATGGTGTCGTCACTATCATGTGGACACCCGACAATTCAAGCACTCAGGAAGAATACCGAATTAGTTATCATGAAGTCGATGGGTCGACTAATGGCGATTCAAGTTCAATGATGACTGATAAGATTCGTTACACGCTTGAAAATCTTCTTCCAGGTCGAAACTATTCGATAACAGTTCAAGCAATTTCCAAGAAAATGGAATCAAATGAAACAACAATTTATGTAGCAACGCGACCATCAGCTCCAATTATTGAAGATTTGAAGTCAATTCGTGAAGGTTTGAACATTAGTTGGAAGAGTGACGTGAATTCCAAGCAAGAGCAGTACGAAGTGATGTACACGAGAAACGACACTGGCGAGACGAAAACTGTCTTAACAAAAGACACGCGTTTAGTGTTTAAAGCACTTTATCCAGGTGCTGGTTACATCGTAAAAGTCTTTGCTTTAAGTAATGGCTTACGAAGTGAACCGCATGAATATTTCCAAGCTGTTTGTAAGTTTTGCTTTCTTGTTTTGTTATTTTATTTATTTATGATTTATTTTTGACAGATCCAAACTCTCCACGTAACATGACAATCGAAAAAGTGTCAAGTAATTCAGTATTGGTTCATTGGTCACCACCAGAGAATTCAATATTTACTGAATATTCAATTCGTTATCGAACGGAAAGTGACAAGCAATGGGTTCGTCTGCCATCAGTCAATTCAACAGAAGCTGATGTCACTGATATGACGCCTGGAGAGAAATATACAATCCAAGTGAACACCGCAAGCTATGGAGTCGAAAGTCCAAACCCCCAACATGTAAATCAAACTGTTCGACCCAACCCAGTATCGAACGTTGTGCCAATTGTTGACTCGAACAACATAACACTCGAATGGGTTCGTCCTGAAGGAAGAGTTGAAACTTATGTGATCCATTGGTGGCCAACAGACACACCCGATCATATCCATTCAAAGAATGTCACAGAACAGAACATAAGTAGGTTTAACAAGAAGTTAATGTGAATGATAATCAAAATTGATAACTTTTTAATCTTTTTTTCTTAGCGCCAATCATTCAAAACGATCGTAATGGTGAAGTGAAAGAAGAACAGCCTTTAGTTCATGTCCTAATTGATGACTTGATGTCGGGCATTGAGTATAACTTCCAAATCCAAGTGTTTAGTTACACTTTGGTCAGCGACATGGCATCACTTCAAGTTCGAACGATGCCACTAATTCAATCAGAAATCTTCATCGTCAGTGGACTTGATCCGAATGAGAAGAATTCTGTGACATTAACATACACACAAACACCACAAAATCATAGAATAAAGTTTGATCATTATCGATTCTCTATTGGTGATCCAAACATTCCCGAGAAAGAGAAATTAGCGAATGATACGAATAGAAAAGTGACGTTTACTGGTTTAATGCCTGGTCGATTGTATAACATCAAAATGTGGACCATAAGTGGTGGTGTTGCAAGTCAACCAATTCAACGTCAAGATCGTTTACATCCTGAACCAATAAAAACTTTGAATGCAACAAGAATCACTGACACTGAGATTTCTCTTGCATGGGACAAACCACAAGGCGAGTTCACGTCGTTTGAAGTTCAATATTTGGTTGACAACAATTACGTTTCCAACATCACCAACGATTTGTTCATTACAATTAATGAATTGAAGCCACACAGAAACTACACGTTTACTGTTGTTGTCAGATCAGGAACTGAATCGAGTGTATTAAGAAATAGTGTCCCAGTGTCAGCTGTTTTCACCACAGAGGAATCAGTTCCTGGGCGTGTTCATAAGTTCAATCCAATTGATGTTCAACCAGGTGAAATTGTCTTTGAATGGAGTTTACCAGTTGCTGAACAAAATGGAATTATTCGTCAATTCTCGATATCTTATAGTCTTGAAAATGGTTCACATTCGCAAGTCAAGAACTTCAGTCCGGATAATCTTCGTGGAACTTTAAGAAACTTAACACCTGGCAACACTTACATCTTTAAGATTCAAGCGAAAACTTCTATTGGATATGGACCTGAAACAATTTGGAAGCAAAAAATGCCGATTCTTGCACCACCAAAACCAGGAAATCAAGTTGTACCAACTGAAGTTCATCGAAGTTCGAACACTATTCAGATTCGTTTCCGGAAAAATTATTTCTTGGACACTAATGGCGTTGTCATCATGTACACGGTGATTGTAGCTGAGGATGACAGTAAAAATTCATCAGGATTAGAAATGCCAAGCTGGCACGATGTTCAATCTTATTCAATCTGGCCACCATATCAAGCTGTTGAACCTTATTATCCATTCAAGAATAGTTCGATAAATGTTGAAGATTTCATCATTGGAGCTGAAAATTGTGACAATCGACAAAAGGGCTACTGTAATGGACCGTTGAAGTCTGGAACAACTTATCGTGTTAAGATTCGAGCTTTTACAGCACCTGATAAATTTACTGACACCGCATATAGTTTCCCAATACAAACTGGTAAGTTTAATGAAACATTTCTTTAAAATCAACTTCAAATTTTTATTCTCTCATTTCAATAAACTTCGATTTTATCAGAAGGAATAAGAGTGATTAAGGGTAAGCGTATGAGAACTCGCGTGATAACTTTCAGTTGTTGTTTGTCGCTTTGTTTTGGTTGTTTTGCTTAGATGATGGTACATTATTTTTATTTACAAATTTTCTTTCAAGTAAATTCTACTTTTTGATCTACTTTCGATCGGAAAATTTTTGAAAAGTAGAACTTTTAACGGCTTTCTGGGAAAGCTCATTCATGTAAAAAATTTCGCATAAAAGTTCCATGTTTTCGTATGAAATTGCTTTCTTTTGTGAAAAAGCTTTTCCTTCTAATTGAAAAAATTCCTTTCCCATCCATTCAATGCTTTCATAAAGTTCTTGAGGAAATTAGAATGGCCGATGGTGAGTTTTTAATTCTTTTGATGAGTTCTCGTTGTTGTATAAAAGTTTTGAAGAGTTTAATTGAAAATATGATTGAATACTGAATGAATAAAAATTAAAAAACTTTGAACTTTTAACAGATCAAGACAACACATCGCTGTTTGTAGCGATAGCTGTGCCATTACTTCTCATTCTTATCTTATTGATGACATTGTTGTTCTTAAGACGACGTCGTTATGGATGTAAGAGAACAACCGATGCTCGTGCAAATGACAATATGTCACTTCCAGATAGCACAATGGAAACAAGTCGACCAGTATTAATTAAAAACTTTGCCGAACATTATCGATTAATGTCGGCTGATTCTGACTTTAGGTGAGGTTGCTTTTGTAATCAATTTGAGTTCACCAACCAATTAATTCTCATGTCACAGATTTAGCGAAGAATTTGAAGAACTTAAACATGTTGGACGTGACCAACCTTGCACATTCGCTGACCTTCCATGTAATCGACCGAAAAATCGTTTCACAAACATTCTCCCATACGACCACTCACGATTTAAACTTCAACCTGTTGATGATGACGAAGGATCTGACTATATTAATGCAAATTACGTGCCAGGACATAATTCACCTCGTGAGTTTATCGTTACACAAGGACCACTACATTCAACACGAGATGACTTTTGGCGAATGTGTTGGGAAAGTAATTCAAGAGCTATTGTGATGTTGACGAGATGCTATGAAAAAGGAAGAGAAAAATGGTGAGTGATGTTACCTTGATTAAATTAGGAATTAAATTTCAAATGAAATCTTTCATTTCAGTGATCATTACTGGCCAATGGATACAGTTCCAGTTTATTATGGTGACATCAAAGTTACTCTCCTTAACGATAGCCATTATCCCGATTGGATCATCACCGAATTTATGATGCAAAGGGTGAGTTCAAAAAAATAATCAAAATTGATTGGATTTTATCAATTTTTCTTAATAGGGTGAAACTCAACGAGTTCTTCGACATTTCCATTTCACAACATGGCCTGACTTTGGTGTGCCAAATCCACCACAAACACTCGCTCGCTTTGTTAGAGCTTTTAGAGAGCGTGTTGGACCTGAAACAAGGCCAATTGTTGTTCATTGCAGTGCTGGGGTTGGTCGATCAGGCACGTTCATTACATTGGACAGAATCTTACAGCAAATTCAAGTTGCTGATTATGTTGATATCTTTGGTATCGTTTACACCATGCGAAAAGGTTTGTTGATGTCTTTCTTAAAGTTCAAACAGAAAATGTAACCATATCAATAATTGTTATAATAGAACGTGTTTGGATGGTGCAAACTGAACAACAATATATTTGTATCCATCAATGCTTAATGGCTGTGTTGGAAGGCAAGGAAAATACGGGACCACAACGTGAAATTCATGATAATCAGGGTTACGAAGGTGAGTGACGAACTTAAACATTTCAATAATAAATTTATTAAAGCTTTCGCCACTTAAACGAGCTTTAAGTTGGAAATTTTTATTTTAAAACTCACGAAATTTATTGTGATTTAATTAATATTTTTGTGCAGCTAAAAACATTCAATTGCACAAATTTATCCCTTTTGTAATAAACTTTTAATACAAGTAAAGCTGCTATAGAAAGTAGATCGATTGTAATTAACATTATCTTAAAAAGAACATAAGGCGTAGACTTAAAGCCTCTAAACTTTTTCTTTTTCCCTTCATTTTGGGTTTGGTACATAAATTGGATCACAAAGAGTTTAATTATTTCGATTTAATTTATGAACGTTCCCAAAAGTTGGCGGCGGGTGCTGGAAGTAATTAATGATAAAAATCTTTCTTTTTATTTTTTTTATTTTCCTTCTTCACTTTCATCTCCATTTCACATAAATTAACAAAAAATTTTGTCCCCAAATTTCACCCTAATAATTATGATAATAAAATCTTTAGAAGTAAATCAAGCGACAGAGGAAGGTGAAAATGAAGTTAAAAATGAAAATAGAAAGACTCATTTGGATGATATTGAAGAAGACGAAGGAATCGATGATGACGATGATGAAGAGAAAGCTTTGGTTGAGAATGAACCTGAACAGAATGCCGATGATGAGAACACGTTAGATACGACGACAAATACAAACACAACGACAGATAACACCACTACAACGATAGTCAATGATAGCGATGCGGGTAATCAGTGGAAGGGAGAAAGATGACATCAGGAGAACGATGATACTAGCAAGCGAAGTAGCAACACTAGTATCATCAGTCATCAGATTGGCATTGGGAGTGGCAGGGGCACAAAAGTTCTCATCGTATGCCAGGATAACGTTATCGTTGAAATTAATGGTCGTCATCCATCAAACGAAAATAGCGACATTGAAATGGACACCAACGGCGATTCGTTACAGGACGATGACGAAGAAGATGACGAGGCGAATTCTGAACAGAAGCTACTTAAGACGTGCAATAATAATAATAACAACAACGAAATTGTCGCAGTCAAAGTTCCATCAGAATCAAAAGACATGCACAATGGTGTCGGTGTTAACGGTTTCGATGAACTCTGCTTGAAAATAAATCAAATGGGTTGGTAGATCAAATAACTTTAACTTCAACTTGCATGGCTTTATATATTGAAGGATACAAACTTAATTTTTTATATTAATGACACACTTTTATAAATTTCGTTTTTTGTTGTCTTGTATTTATTTGATAAAAATACTTAATTTTAAGCCTAACAAAATCAAACTAACATTTAACAATATCCACCTGTTAGTAGACATAATTTATTGTTTTTCTATGTTTGTCGATGTTTTTGGATGCTTTGTTGATGTGATTTTAATTATACTTAAAGGCAATTAAACTAATGAGACCCTCCGGTTCTTATTTCTTTTCACAGATGACGAGGGCATTGCTGAGTCAGGAATTTAAAGCAGAAACCGTCATCAAGAGACATTTGTGATTTCTTTGTTTTATTTTTTGACTAATCAGGCAACTGACAGTGCGGGGGAGGGAAAAACGGAAATGAAAATCGATATTATTTCATATTTGTTACCACTGATGTCACTCACATACTTAGAATCATTTATTTACTTTCTTTCAATGTCAGTTATAGCTTTAGATAAGTTCTGAATTATTAATAAATGAATGAAATGGCTCTAAAATTTTTGAACGCAAAGTCTGAAGTTTAAATGAAAGGAAAAAAGAGATTTTTTCTTTTTTTCTCGTTTTTTAAATGTTCGAAGTGTGACATCACGCGGATTTAATTTGTTGAAGTAGTTTTAACTTACTGTTTTTTCCAACTATAATTATACAAAAAAGGATACTTAATGCCTCTTATACACCCACATCAAATTAATTAATTATACAAAAAATCTATTTGTAATTGTTTCAAGATTTTGCGACATCACTGTCTTGTATTATCACATGATATTTATGCTATTTAATCTTCTATTATGTTAAGTGACAAATGCAACCTAAAATCTTCATATCATAATCGATCAAAAATGTGATGTCACAAAACCTTTCAAACATTCTTTTTGTAATTGTTTACATTTTACACCCGTAAATGTTCACATAAAAATTAAACAAATCAAACTATGTAAGTATCTATCGGTGTCGTTCATATCTTTTTACTTTCTTCTACATGAAATCTAAGTCAAATCTTATTTTTTTGTTTCTATTTTTAAATAAGAATTGGTAGAGTCAAATCAAAATAATGAAAATAAAAAAAAGTTCTTTTTAATCGATCATTGGACGGATTTTAAATGTTAATTTTAACATAGATTTAGATATGTAATTATCATCGATAAACGCTATAGATCAATAAAAATGGAATTTTTTTATTGAGGAAATAAAGTTGTGATTACTTTAACTTTATCAATTGAATCAAATCGTGATTAATTTTCAGATGTTTACCAGGAAATATTAATAATAGTCATCATTTATGCTTGTAATTAACCTTTCATAGAAAATTTGTCAGGCATGCTAAGCTTTAAAATTCCATCAGATTAATTTTGTACATGTCAAAAAAAGTTGAGAGCTTCTGGATAATAAAAGCTCATTGGACACCTGAGTAAAAGTTTTCGATTTTGTTCATACGTAATAATGAAAAAATTTATTCAAACTTCAGTTCGAGTTTAGATAACAATGAAAGTAGTTTTGTTTATAGGAATTTTCACATTGATAAAAGCATGGAAAGTGGGAGAGAATGAAATTGAAAAGTATGATAAAACTTTGATGAAAGCAACAAAAAGTTATTTAAAAAGTTATTATGAACAAAACGAACTCGACATTGCAGCAGAATTTTCGGATGAAAATCTTTGTCAAATGTTGCACATGTCTAATGCTGGATATAAAGTGAAGCTTCAATGCTTTGCTCATGCATCTGTTGGGAAAATGAGCTTCGAATCTGGTGTGATAATTGCACAACGATTGTCAAGCGCTCTTGAATTTCTTCGAAAATTATTTGCTGCTCAAAAGGTTAAAGTAAAAAATAAATATTTAGTTGTGTTGCTTAATGAAACTGACAACAATGCCGAAGAAATATTTAAACTTTTTTGGAGTAGAAAATTTATGAATGTTAAAGTTTTGACTGTAGTCGATGACATGACAATTCTCTTGACATTTAATCCGTGGAAAAGCCGATTTTATTGTAACAACACAACTCCAATAATCATTGCAACTTTCAAAAACGAATCTTGGCATGATGCAAATGTTCCAAGTTTGAATTTCCACCAATGCCCGATTAAAGTTGCAACTTCTTCTTATGCACCTGCAGTAATTTTTGATGAATCTAAAGAAGGTCTTGAAAGGTTTAGTGGAGTTGATGTTAGGTTGGTTAAAGAATTGTCAAAAATTTTAAACTTCACTCTTGAAATTGACTTAAGAACAAATTTCTTTGGATATATACAAGATAATGGATCAGCATCTGGTGCGATAGCTGAAGTGGTCAATGGAAATTCTGATCTAGTTATTGGATTTTATATTTTAAATGAATTGAAAACGAGATTTCTAAGTTTTACTCAACCACATCTTTATTTACCAGTCGGAGTTATAATTCCACCAGGAGAATTATTCACGTCTTTGGAGAAGTTTCAACAACCTTTCACAACAATAGTGTGGTTCTCAATAACTGGAGTCCTTGGATTAGGTTTCATCATAATTTTCATCTTACATTTTCCGGTGCAGAAATCCAAATTATCAGAAGCTTTCATTGTGATAGCTGGGACAATGCTTGGCTTGTCACATAAAACTTTACCTCAGAGAAATTCTACAAGAATCGCTCTTATGGCTTTCATTTTGTTCTTCATGATCATTCGAACTTTATACATTGGCGCGTGGTTTAAATTCCTGCAAGTGAAACAACGACATCCAGAAATATCAACAATAGACGAGTTAATTGAAAGCGACATCGAAGTTTTAATGTACCCAACATTCGAACAAATGATAAGAGGATGGAAATTGCACAAAAAGTGACAAAATCAGAAAGTAAATAAATTTAAGTTCTTTAATATTTCTCCATTTATTTCAGAGCAAATAGTTTGTCATTTTCAAGCTTTTATCAGAAACTTATGATGATGAAAGAGCCTTTGAGTAATCTAGCTGTTGTAGCCACAATTGATGAAGTTTATTATCATAATAAATTTAGCACTGACACTCCACCTCACATTTTTCTCAAAGAATATTTATTCACGGCACCAATTGCGATGTATTTCACGAAAGAATCTTATATTGTTGAAATTTTTGACGATAAGATTAATTTGATAAAAACGGCTGGATTATTAGACTTCTGGAGTTCTTATCTCATGGATTCCGATTATTTATACGTTGATTTGGACAAAGATCACGAACCAGAACAAATGAACTTTCAACAATTATCAGGAGCATTTGAAATTTGGGCATTTTGCTGTAGCTTTTCTTTTCTCGTTTTCCTATGTGAACATTTTCATTACCGACTTGCAAATTATTTATGTCATTGTCAACGATGAAAAATAAATATCATTAATGGAGAAATCACATCATAACTCAATATAAAGAAAATATTTTTTTAAGAATAAAGAAAATTATTTATTGCATGTTAAAAAATATTTTTTCATTTCCCGCATAATTTTTGGAGTTACGAAGTGGCTTCAGTTTTATTTTTATCATTTTGTTGTTTAATTTTGAGCAATGCTGTCAGTTTTCAGTGAGAATTATTCTGACAGCAGCATTAAAAAGCTTTATCAAAAGCTTTTGAACTTTTGATTTCTTCATTAAAAGCTTTCAACTTAAATAACATTTCAAAACTCATTAAGTTAAGTAATAAATGGACATTAATATGTAAATGTAAAAGTGAAAATATGAATAATTACAAAGTAGAAGAATATTTCCGACTTGTGTCGCTCAAATCAAATATGAAGGAAATATTTGATTTATGATATCAATTTCATTCAACGCCATGTGAATTACTTTTCTGTAGAATTAATTTTGACGTTTAAGTGAATGAGAAATTGATGTCATCAATATTGTGTGTTAACAATGTCTAGGTAGTTACTTTTCTTGAATTATTTCAGTATGCAAGAAACTTACAATCAAGAATGAAGAGTTTTCAAATATCGTCGTTCATGGTTTTATTAAATTTTTATTTTTGTCTAACACAGAAAAGTTTTCAGATTTTAAATTACGATAACAAACTTAATGAAGCAATAAATGAATTGAATTTAGATTTTATGTCAAAATTATCTTCTAATATTCGGATTATAACAGGAAGTCAACAAAAGTTCTTAAGTGAAATGAAATTTACATGGAATAATTTAATGTCATTTGAACTTATGGAGATATCAACAATTAACAGTTTCAAATTATTGCCATCACGTGCTAACATATTCCTAATAAATTCATCACACGACTTTGCTTTGATAAACATGAGGAATTTTGAACGCGGTGGATATTTTCTTATAATCGTTGAAGATTGTTCAAAAATTGATTCAGATGAAATATTTCAAGCGGCATGGAAACAATACATTTACAACGTTAATATTTTATGTGAAAATCAAGGGATGTTAATCGTTAAAACATTTATTCCCTTCCAACCGACATCATGTAGCAACACATCATCAGTCACTATTCAGAATTATTCACGAAAAACCATACGAAACTTTTTTCCTGAAAAAGTTAAAAATCTTTTCGGATGTCCAATTAAGCTTGCAACATTTGAATATCCGCCAATTACAATGAGAGAGAAGTTTGACAATGGAACATTTCGATATTATGGAAGTGAAATGGATTTAGCTTTTGGACTAGCAGACGCGTTGAATTTTTCATACGAAATAACGTTTATCATGAGATCGGGAGCTTCAGGTTTATTACTTGAGAATGGAACTGCCACGGGCTTATTGAAAGACACAATAGAAGGCGATGTAGAGTATTTAACAGGATTTTATTATCTGACTTATGTGAGAACAAAATACATGAGTTTCACTCAATCACACTACAGCATTCCATTGATTATCATGATTCCACCAGGTGAACAATTTTCACCTTTCGAGAAGCTTTTCCAACCCTTCGAGAAAATCGTTTGGTATTGCTTGTTGGCTTCATTCGGGATAAGCATTATAGTCATTATGATAATTAATCGGCAAGGAGAAAAGATCAAAAACTTCATTTTTGGAGAGAAAATTAAAACTCCATATTTAAATTTAATCATACACTTCGTTGGGAGCAGTCATCACGTTCTGCCTTCGACAAACTTTGCTAGAAGTTTGTTAATGATGTTCATGTTATTTTGTTTAATTCAACGAAGTATTTATCAAGGTTCTTTGTATTTATTTCTTCAGTCAGATGGACGGAAACCAGAAGTGACATCAGTCGATGAAATGATTGAGAAAGATTTTGTGTTTTACATTCGAGAGACTTTGGAACATAACATCAGACATATGAATTTTTACAATCGGTGAGTTTAGATGCTATAAGAATATTTTTCTTAATCTGATTCTTCTCACTTTCAGCCGAAAAGTTGTTCAATTTAATGATTATCCTGAACTTCGATTAAAGACTTTAGATTCGTCATTTAAAGGTGGAATCATTCAACCACTTCTTGAAGTGATTTACTTGAATGAACAGAACTATAAAAATTTCACGTTCAACGTTCTCAAAGAATATTTGTTCGACGTTCAAATCGTGAATTATTATCCGAAAGATTTTTATCTTGCAAAAGCTTTAAATGACAAAATTGGCACACTGAAAGCAGCAGGACTTGTGACGCTTTGGATGGATCGCTACATTGATAAAAGTTATATTAAAATTAACAAACAAAAAACCAGCGCAAGAAGATTAAATATCAAGCAACTCTTTGGTGGTTTTCAAGTGCTGCTTATTGGAGTCTCATTAGGATTTGCGTGCTTTTTATTAGAAATATCTTCACCTCTAAAACATTTTCAATTTCTAAGAAAAATTTTCTTGTGAAAGACATTAATTAATTTTTAGACATTTCATTTAGTGTAAGAATGTTTTCATCGATGTCATTATAAATTTTTTTACGAGTTTCAAGAAAAATTAAAAATGTTAAAGCTTTCAGAATTTTTACATTAATAATTTTAGATTCCGATTTAGATAATTAAACCTGATTTGATGAAAACTTTTGGTACAGTTCCTTTAATATTTAAATTTTTAACACTTCTCGATTGTTATGCAGTATATCAAAACCATTTTAATATTCAACTTTCTTAAGAAATCCTCAAATATTACTTCATTTATTGAAGTTTTAATGCAAACAAGATTTTAGTAATTTATTCTTTAATATCTTTGGAAACAACATATAATAAGATTGAAATAATGTTATCATCTTCATTGGTGGAATACTTCATAGTAACACGATAGGATGATTCTGGGAAAACAGTCGCTGTTGAGCCTGGTCTACCAGCTGTAATGTTCAACAATTCATGACGACCCTAAAATTTAAAATCAATAAATTTCAAATAATTTCTGGTTTATCAATGAAATTCAATTACAATTAATGGACATGGTCGCAGTGACCTTTCTGGAAAAGTATGTTTGACCATATCTATGACATAATTCATCACGTTACTTTTAGTTTTAGTTCCGTTTAAAAATTTGCAAACGTCCAGTTTATCACCATTTACTAGAGATCGAAAACCTTTTCTTATTTTTATACTGAAATTGTAAGTCAGCTAAAACAATTGAAGGATTTAATTGCATCATATCATAGACAAGGAAACTGCTTACCATAAATGATTCGATTTTCTTAAAAAAATCCATGACAATATTGAGTCCATTCTGTTCTTCTGCAACTGGCTTTACGGAACATTCTAAAATCATCATACTTTTATTTGAACCTGAACAAGTTACTGAAGTGAATGAAATAACTCGTTTAGCCCAAGACAAATCGAGAACTCCAAAAGCTCCAAGAATCATGGATAACGTTAGAGTTTTAAAAACCTTCATCTTCAATTATTCGCATAGGCACTGAAAATCCAGACACAAAACACAACTCTGTTGTTAAAACTAAATTTTCCTTAATTATTCGTAAAATTATAAAATGTTTAAAAACAATCATTAGTAATGACTCAGGAATTTACGCTCCAATGAAAGTTTCATCATCATCATCATCAGTAATGGGTAGAACGAACTGTTCTCAGCAAGTTTGGCCAAACTTGCCCGTGATGAGTTTTTATTTTCTTCTCAACACTTATCTCCAAAATGGAAATAGTGCGAGAAGTAAACTCGTACCACACCCGACTGATGTTCCCATGATGATGGAAACTTCAGTTAACCTGCGAAATTTCTAGATGGTAATTTCTTAATATTGTAGAAAGAACTATTTTAATATTAAATATTTAATATGTTAATATTATTAGATACTGTTTTAAAAATAATGTATATATTTTAATACGCGACTGTCCTTTCAGTTTTTAAAGAAACGAAATTTAAAAGGAGATGAGAGTTAGAAAAGAGAGAGAGAATTAGCAATGTGATCATTGTTTTATCTATTTCTGCTTTACTCTTCATTTTTGTTTACTTTTTTTCCGATTAATTTTTTTAATTTGAGACAAAAATAATATCTAAAAAGGTTAAATTAATAGAATTATTTTTCTAATACTTTATAAAAATTATTTTACTTCAATTGAGAAACATCCCGTTTACTTCTGATCATTTTGGNTCAAAATTTAAAATATTTAAATACAGTCGACTCTCGTTGTAGCTGAGAATGAATCTCCAAAATAAAATATAAATTCATGCTTTTTGTTCTGTTAACAATTCTAAGGAATGATTCATGATATGCAAATATTCACATGACCTTAAAATTCATCAAAATATAAGCATAAAATTAAACGTCTGGAATCGACATGAATATCACAGTTAAGACGTAAAAATTAGATTCAATGCAAAATTAAATTTTATTTTGTAGAATTTTAATCTTGAACATTAAAAGCATCAATGGAAAGCTTGATCGAAGCCAAATTATCATCATTTCCATTATGAAATCGCAAGAAAAGACTGTAATTAGCTGTGGGAGCGTTTTTTTTAGCATCTGTTTTACCAATTGTGATGTTCAAGAACTCACGATGACCCTTAAAAAAAAAAGTTAATGTTTGTTGCATGTTCTTTGCAATAGCAACACATAATTACTTCTATTGGACATGGTCCCAGTGCCTTTTTTGGAAATTTTTCTAACATACCCATTGCAAATTTCATGAGACCAACAGTCATTCCATCATAAAACCTACAAATTTCTATGTCATCTCCTTTCGCAATTGTTCGGAAGCTCTTTCCTAATTTAGCACCGAATTCATAATAGATCTGAAATTTTTTTAAATCAAAGATTTTTAAAGTTTATTTTTTCATGTTGAAAATAATATTCTTAACCATAAGTTTATTGACTTTTGTGAGGAAATCCAGAACAATGTTGAATCCTGATTGATGTTCAGAGACCGGCTTAACATAACATTCCGATATCACCAAAGTTTTATTTGATCCTGAACAACTGATTGAAGTGAATGAACTAATTCGTTTGGCGTAAGAGATTCGAAGAAGTACGAAAAATCCAAGAAATAAAAACAATTTCAGAGCTTTAGAAACTTCCATCGTAACAATCACAAGTCTAAATATGAAACTCCATAGTATGAATATTTAAATGAGAGATAAAAATAATTAACTAATTACCTTTAAACGCCTAATAAGTTTAAGTTAATAATTTTTCAAACCTTTTCATCCGACGAATATTTTTTAAAATTTTAATTACGTGAGCTGCTGATGGAAGGAAGTATTTAAACTATTTGGAGTAACAACATTGAGTCAGTGTTCAATCTTATAACTTCATGCCTTAAGCAATTATCTGGATCTAATGTAATATCATAATTTTTAGGGAACGTAAGAAAAACCTTCGGGAGAAGCTTGGCATAGCGTTTTTAGAACTTGGTTTACCTGCTGTAACGTTAATACATAGTTCAAAAGATTTTCTGGTCAAGCTCATACCATATTTCATGACACTTAGATATATGTGAATAAGAAAATTTGAAACTTCTGAAAGCTCCAAGTTGTTAAAAACGTAAGAGCCTTAAAAGCTTTCTTTTAAATTTTCATATGGCGTCATATCATTAAGCTAAGTTCTTGTTCAAAATTTAAAATATTTGAATACAATTGACTATTATTTTGATTGAGAAAAAAACATGGATATCATAGATAAAAGATCTAAAAATTAGATTCAATTCAAAGTTGCATTTTATTTTACAGA